TATTTCCTAAAAAGGAGACGGAGGTTAAGAAACACACAGTAGTCAACTCAATTCAGCAATAAAAGCCCCAGCAATTGACAAAAGCAGCATTTGTTTGAAGGAGAAATTCTAAATATGAAATAACGAAAGTTTTCCTTCCCACAAGATTCCTTTCCTTTCTCTTCGTACTAGGCAGGACCCAAGCATAAGATAAGTTTTCACTTTGCACGATACCAAAAATTTAAAAAAAAAAAAGCAAAAACATAAAACAGTTGTCCCGTAAAGCTTCCACCACATGCATTAATAAATTTTAGGTGGTGGAACTTAGATCACAAGAAACTAGTAATAAAATTAATGTCAAATGAGTTTATAGCACTTTCTCCACATTAAATACAACAACAACAAAACCTCATCCCACCAAGTGGGATTGGCTACATGGATTGCCCTGTGCCATTGTCAATGACCAAATTTTTGGTTGATTGTTAACCAAAAGATCTCACTCAATAACTTCATTGAGCCCTCTCTTCAATCTTCCTCTAATCCTTCTCAAAGGACTCCACATTAAACACAAAATCCAATAAACCAAATATGCATCACATTTCCACAAATAAATGGAAGGAGAGGACGGCTCATAAAACATGTCAGAGTCATGCATGCTTCCATTTAAATCACACAAGATGGGCCAAAATATAAAGTTCAGGCAGCCTTGCATTGCATTTAAGATTTGACAAATAGTTGTCCGATAAATGCACAGTACATGCTCTGGAGAATATCAATCACAGCACATGAACTGCATATGTAACTATCACATACCATTTAGATCAACTTCTCCCCAGTTACGCCCACTAACAGAGAGCTGCTTTTCCTCTGGCGTAATCCCACATGTATTTTGAAAAAAGCTGGTTAAACTTGCCACATCCTACAAATAATTATTAAAGAAGAACAAGAATGGAAGTTAGCATATGCAAACATTCCAATTTTAGTCATGTAGGGGAGAAAACATTTGATAAATACAGATATCAACACGGTACGTAGCTTGATCAATGTTTCAAAGACAGTTGCAACTATAAACATTCATTAGGCAGAAGAATGAGGCGTTTATATATTTGGATCAAACAAACAAATAATAAAAGCACAAATCTGTAAGGTGAAGAGAGCAACCTGGTCACGAAACCCAGTGAACTTGTAGAATAAACCATCTTTGATTCGAACACCAAGCTGATTGCTTCTTGGGACCTTCATCCAAGTCACTCCCATTATGTCAGCTTTATCAACCTCAATTGCTTTACCGCCGCCTTGTCTTTTCCATAAAATCCCTCCAGAAAAAATTTTCATCTGCCCTGGATTCTGCAACCCCAACATATCAAAAGAATTACCATATGTACTTTCAGTTATCTATTAATAAATTTAGGGGAAATTTTCTTTGTTGCTTCCCTTAAAAAAAAGACAACGAAAAAGAGTGTTCGAAATTTAATTTCAGGCACAATAGAGCAAAATTTTACATGAACCAGCAGATGCCACCCATGTATGGGGCCCTACTGCTCAGACTCGTCGACGATAAATAAGTTGAAGAGAACACCATATTAAATCAAGCAACCACTTCCGTTCGATTCCAGAGGGGGGTCGGGCAAAAAACCAACCCCAAAAAAAAAAAAAAAAGAGAAATGGCTTGTCTCACCCATTCGTCATTTCCTCCCCATTCCCCTTCAGAATTTATCAACGAGGGGTAACCTTCTAGGGTTTTAAAAAAAAGAAAACGACACCCACAGAGCCATGACTTGACGTTACTATCGGCTGTTTTCACTTTTAGTTCGTCAGATAACAAAACAATTATTTTATATCAATTCACCAAATTTTCATCGAATTCGACAAATACATTACTAGGGTTTTTAGAAAATCAACGAGATGACAAGTTTTAAACACTGAATTTTGCGCTCAAAATCGAACCCCCAGAAAAAAATTGGGGAAGAGATTCTAGGGTTCATTGAGCCGAAAGTATATTAGGGTTTCCAAACAAAAACGCATAAAAAAAAAAAACAACAGCTTAACCAAAACCCATGTAAAAATAGATAAATAAGTGAAGAGAAATTCCAGCTAAAGACGATAGACTGAATAACCGATAAGTGATGAGGGCAGAGTAAGAGAACTTACGGTGCCTCCACGGCCGCCGAGAGCGATGTTGTTAAAGAGATGACCGTCCGTCATGGCTGAGAAAGTGTGCTAAACTCTGAGCTTGGGGGCAAGACCCGGTTTTCCGCGGGAGAATTTATATGTGCAAAACGATGCGCAATGCGCATATAGGGTCGAGGCGCGAACCGCCAATCTTTCTTCTTCTTTTTTTTTTTTTTACCAGAAAAAAAAGTCCTCAATTTCTGAATTAGTCCATGTACTTTAAATTCTTTTAATTTAATTCCCTCCCCATAACATATTTATAATTAGTACTTGACCTTTCGTTTTTTTTTTTTAACCAGCGTACTTGACCTTTGAACATGTTTACAATTAGGTTAAAGTATATTTTTAATTTTTAATCATTTAACGTTGTAAAAGCTTTTTATTCCTTTCTTTAACTTTAAAAAATATATTCTTAATTTTATCTTAAAATCATTAATAAAAAATAATAATATTAAAATATTAAATATTGATAAAATATTTTTAATATTGACATATTAAGTTGAATTTTTAAAAATAACTATAATTATTACCCCCAAAAATCACTATTTAAAAACTAATAATTTTAGAATTAAAAAACTAAAAATATACATTTTAAACTTAAGAGATCAAACTAAAATCTTATATAAAGTTAAATCATCAAATATATATTTGCCTTGCAATTATTATATTCCTATTTCTTCTACCAAAACTAGCACTGTTAAAAACATGAAGTGATGAGTTAGTAGTGTGTTCTGGTATAAATCAAACTATCACCCTCAGACCGAAAAAATAAAACTATCATCCACCTGTCCATGCAAAACTAAATAATCTAATCCAACTACTTCGGCTTAGAGAAGCAATAGCAGGCCATGATGGCTCTGGCCTGGGCAGTTGAGTTTAGAACTACAAAATAGATGAAGCGGCTCAAGGACAAGTGAAAATTAGTCTCACCTGTTAATCACTTCTCTCCACTCAGCGTCCTCAAGAACATGGAGGTGATATGAAAGAATAAAGGATGGGAAAGGCGCAATGGTTGAGAGAGAGGGAAACTGACCCTTCAAACCTTCAAGTTTTCTTCGTATTACATATATGTGTTATATATTTTCGAGCCCCTTAAGATTTATGTGGACTTCATTCTATATATAATTGTTAATTACAACCCCCCTCCTTATAAAATTTTGGATTCACCCCTGGAAAGAGGGAAACAGTTTCGTGCCCGGATGTTTCTTCTTGTGCTACTTCATACAAGTCAGGAAAATTAGTTAAACATTATTCATGTTCGTAAAATTTTCAAAAATTACCGCTATCTTTAAAGATCCAATTAATTCCAACGTCCTATTTCTGTCCAATGAGGAGAAAGAGAAGAATGTCCTTTGTGAACTTGAATCAACGAAGGCCATCGTTTTGATCTAACCTCGGGCACAAAACATGTGCGGGAAACAGGCAAGTAGCTCATCTAGGATAATGGGCTGTCACAGTTTCTTGTATTCGTCCTCGATACTCTTGAACCATTGAGTCAATATAACCAGGTTTACATATTTAGGACCATTCAAATTATCTGTTTTAGTTGTATAAAATATTTCTTTCTGTTCAATCCCCAAAGGCCAAAGGTCTTCATCGTCTTCCAAGCTCTTTTGGTTCTCTCAGGTCCACAACTAATATTAAAATGTCAAGCTTTTTAGCTGTCAAGTGATATAAGACGAGTGAAGTGATTATTACATTCCATCGTAAGCACCGTTGATTAAAGTACAGAGGAAGCAAATCGTAAGTGGGAAGTCCGACTAATAGAATATAATCCAATTCAATTCAATGCCAAGAGAAGACAAACAGTGGAATATAGAAGGTGATGAATCCAATAGCTATAATCATACATATCAAACCTTTTGTTGCTTGTCCTGACCAAAAGAAGGCTTACCTCCTGAGCAAGCATTGTTTCTTTTTCTTTCTTTTTTTTTTTGGGGGGGGGGGGGTGTGTTCCTGCAAGTTCTGTGTAAGTACACAAAGTTTGTCAGCATGGATCAGCCAAAAAGTCACTTTCAGAATTTCTTCCACATACACGTAACAATAACAACAATATATCATATTTGCTCATTCTGAGAAGATCGCCACGAAACATTCATATTAATGGGTTAAGCTCGCAACAACCAGACGGTAAAATTTAACTCTCATGGAGGAGAGCCATCTTGGCTTATCAACTTGGCTATACACAGTCTGGTTCATCATATCGTCCTACCTTTAGCACATATCTTATGAGTGATAATTGAAGAAAATGATGAAGGCTTGGCTTAAAACTAATTTCTCAGCTATTATTACTATCATTGAAGTAATCATTGCCTCAAGAAAAACACAGCGTTGGTTAACTTTGATTTGCGACATATCTTGCAGGATAATATCCTGACTTCCTTTACATTTGGCATCGATCTGTACAATTGCCGGTGAATACATCAATTAACTCCACATGATACTAGTAAGATAAATTCATGTTTTTTCTTTTTATCGTTATCACTTAAAGGTTGGCTTTGGACAGTTGTAACTAGACATCTCTAGTTGTTATTATATATATGTCGAAAATCGTAATTATTTAAGATTACAACCAACAGTGTGGAGTGAATTTAAAATGTCCGTAATTCGGGTATAAGGCTGGCAAACAGGACAAAATGAATTGTAGACAAGTTTCCCTGTTATTATCGTCCCCCTTGTGATAACTTCAGCCATGTTCATAACAGTAGAAACAAAAACATAACAGAGACAAAAGAAGTTAACATTATAAAAAGAACACATACCTTACAAACATCTCTCACCAAGGCAAGCAATTACAGGAGGAAAAGAGTGTACCAAGAGACCTGCAGGAGGACGTCATGATACGAACAATGGAAATGATAACAAATGGTGAAGAGAGCATAGGAAGGAGGAGGATGTTCATGGAAGGATGTGATTTCCAAGGAACTCGCACTGTCAAGAGACGAAGAAGAGAGCATGGAGCAGCTGCACTGAACTGTGATGATGATCTAAGTCAGAAGAGAGAGCAAGTTGATCAAAATTCGACCACCCATACAGCTAAGAGAAGTTCAAGATTTCGAGGTGTTAGCAGGTGATAAGAAGGAGTTTTCTTTATAATTTCAAATAAACATTAAGTTCCAGGGTCTTCGACTGTTCTGGTCAATTTGCTAATCTCTTTCAAACTGCATCTCAACAGACACAAATGGACTGGTCGGTATGAGGCTCACCTGTGGGACAAACTCTCTTGGAATGTAACACAGAAGAAGAAAGGGAAGCAAGGTAGAGTTCTTCATTTTTTTCATGTCTTATCAAATTGACAAGAATTTTTGCTTTATTGCATACTTTTCCTCGTTCATTTGTTCTTCCTTTCTAATATACCCATGTTTCATCTATTTCATTCTGCGGGAACGTGGATCGGAACTAGCAGTTTACCTTGGTAAGTACGGAATGACCTTCACTGTAGAGTCAAGACTGATCTAATCCCTCCGTTAATATTCATGAGATGATCAAATAACTTTCAATGTTTGCAGGAGCTTACGATGAAGAAGAATCTGCAGCCAGAGCATACGATTTAGCTGCACTGAAATACTGGGGAACTTCAACTTTCACCAACTTTCCGGTATGGCATAATTATGATTTATCACAATGAAAAGAATGATCTTCACCTTTGCTTGGATGCTGATCATCTCATTCCAACAGATATCAGATTACATGAAAGAGATAGAGATAATGCAGACTATGACAAAAGAGGAGTATTTGGCCACTTTAAGAAGGTTGGATTTCTTATCCTAGTAGGGTATCTCCCCTATTATCCAGGAAAAGTATTTTCAGGCTTCATCACTGTTAATAGTATTCAGTACTTACAAAAAGTAAACTAGAAATCACAAGGTAGGTTTTAAGAGCGCTGCCACAGTGAGTAACTGGGTTTTCTTTGACAGGAAGAGTAGCGGCTTTTCAAGAGGCATATCAAAATATAGGGGTGTTGCAAGGTGATAATCCTGATGAATGTGTAATGACTTGTGAACTGTCATTGTTGGAGATGATTCACAGTTACAGAGTGAAATTGTTGCAGGCACCACCAGAATGGTAGATGGGAAGCAAGGATAGGGAGGGTTTTTGGAAACAAATATCTCTACCTTGGCACTTACAGTAAGTTTTATCTTTACAACCCATCATAGGACTACAAGAGTACACTAAATAAGTCCAGAACAGCTTATCCGATCTCATGCATAAACTTTTTGAGCTCATCAAAGCCATGCGTGTTTCCCATTAGGCACCCAGGAGGAAGCTGCTCGTGCTTATGACATTGCGGCCATTGAGTACAGGGGGATTCATGCTGTAACCAACTTTGATTTGAGCAATTACATAACAATGTTAAGACCTGCTAGAGGAAATATCACAGAGCCAACACTTGAATCACAGATCGTACCAGAGTTTCAGACAATGGCATCTCCATCTAATTATACTTCAGTAAAGGAGTCCAAGACCTTGGTCCTTGACGGCAATTTTTGCAACTCAGATTACCTGAAGTCTTCACGAAAGCAAGAGGTCCTTGAGAAGGAAACTGCTTTTATCTCAAGCAACAAGTCATCTTCACCTACTGCTCTTGGCCTTCTTCTCCGTTCTTCAATTTTCAGGGAATTAGTGGAAAAGAATTTGAATATATTTGGAGATGAAACTGATGGGGAAGACACAAAGGATCGACAACCACATATATCCGGTGATGATGAGTTGAGTAGAATATTCTATGATAGTATTGATGATATCCCATTTGCCAATGATCTTAAAAGATACAATTTTCCAGGCGAAAACCACTCCGTCTTATGAGCAGAGAAACACAAAATTTCTAAAGAGCAATGTAATGCCAAGGTGAGAATCGAGAAGCGTAGAATTTCTTTAGAGCAACGTATTGCTAGGGTATGCATTTATAACCTAGAGAATCTAGTTTCACTAGTGAGGAAATGTGGGTCATTATTTGTGAAGTTATGCGATGCTTACCAATTTCCTCCATTATTGTAGAGACAAATAGCTCAGTTTTGGACTAGCAAATAATGGTGTATGCTATCGTATAATTAAGAGGCCTCTTTTCAGAGGAACACCTCTGTGTGTGTGTGTGTGGAAGCCATAGCTGACACGATTTTTTTTTTTTTCCTTCGGAGAAAACATCTGGTTAACAACAAAGACCTGAGTATTTAAATCCATTTACAACGTTTTAAAGCTAACTCATTCCTGACATACTGGGACCAGTAAACATAGTGCGGGTGTTATTTACAATAGCAATGACTAATCGATAAAAGATGTCTAAAAAGTTATCTAGATCACAAAAAGAAACCCCCGGGTCGGCCCCTGTCTGAAACAAGGTCACCTCTCAAATAGTAACAAGCTTTGCCTAGTTTCAGAAAACTAGCTTTCTGAAGAGGATTCACTGTTTCCAAGGAGGATAACAAATTTTATGTCCCAGAAAAGGAAGCTGCTGCCCCTGCATTAGGTCAGATTTAATTATTCTGAATCATGATAAAATTCTTCATTAATGATTCAGAGCAAGCCGAACTTTCCTTTTGTTAAAAGATTTTATTTTTGGGGGGTACAGACTACGAATAGTTATTTTGGATTCCGCAAAAATGACAGGTGACAAAACATTAGGTTTAAACAATGTAATCCTCCAATGGTTTTAACTTTCTTCCAGCCTATTTATGTTACAAGTATTTATTTGCAAATGATCAACTGATGTTGAAATACAGAAAAGAAAAGATGAAACGGAGAAAGTAAACTGATTGCATAGCAAATGAACTGCAGCTAATAATTCATTCAAGGAGTCTAGATGTTAAGTCCTTCCGTGTACCTCTTGTACAAGCGATAAATTTGTTGCTTTTCCTTATAATCATTAAATATGATTTCCTCAGAAGAGCATCAAAATTGATTCCTTTTATTTCTTCTAAGTTCATCCCTTCTCGCATAAACAAAAAATAGAAAGAAGAAGGCCGCAACAGATAATGAGACTAAACCCCATGGAAATGGAGGATCCCTGAAGTACGCAAGGGATGCTTCTATTTCTTGGGAGGCATGATAGACAATAGAATGGATAGCATCCAAATCATGATCAGAAGACCTTAGGTGAAAAAAGGCCATCTCGAAATTTAAATGCGACAATGCAGACACCAGTTTGTCCAGTTTGTATTTGAAAAGGTTCCATCTCTGAAAGAACTCAACATCCTCCTTTTGTTTGAGTAGATCGTCTCTTGCATATGTTTCTGTGGAGTGAAGAACATTTATAGCACTTGAAATGCTGTAATTCAAGGTCGTCAACAAAACATTTCTCCGTGCTGCATCTTTCTGCACAAAAGACAGATGACATCTTGGAGAATGGCCCAAATGTAGTCTTCCCTATACTCCATGTATAATCCACCAGAGTATTATTGTGTCTGGGACCCCATGACAAATGTGTTGGCGAAACTCCCCACATGCTCTGAAGAATCGACCCAACGAGTGGTCGTTCAAGTGCCCTTGTATTTGTGAATATAGGATGACCATTGCAGCTATAACCACTCTGAGGGTTCTTTGTCCTAACTGCAATGACCATGTCCCTGAAAGCAACAGACTGGTGATATCGATCGAGCAGCACAATCGTGTTATAATCCAAGTCAAAAACATACACAGATAGTCCGACCCAAATCCTCTCCAAGTACTTTGCTGCTTTCCTGAACTCATTAGTGGATTCGGATAATATCTGATGGAGGAGCTTAGAATCCAAATACTCACTCACGATAATAGTAGAGTTATGAAACAAAAACTTAGAAGCACACGAATTAAGTGACCTCAAAGTAGCGAACGAACAAAACGGGCAATCAGAGTATTTAACTTCATAGGCCTTAAAACTCAACGACTGGCCACGTGACAAGAGCCCATTCTCATCCCTGAACTTCTTCTCAATCAATTCCCAGTCAAGACCATAGGACTCCTTCCCTTCAATTCCATACACATGTATGAACTGAACAACCAAAGGATTTTCATAAGGAGCAGGAATTCTCAAAAAGGCACAAGAAAAACCTGGTAGGCCCTCCAAATCCGCAAGCAATGCCTTCCCGGACTGGGGTCGACCATGGAGTGCTCCCAAAGGATGAAACTCTCCCCTAGGCAAAACGCCATCCCCTGTATAAGCCGGCCAGTAATGTACAGGTCCTGCGTTCAAATAAATCCAAACATACCTCTCTGTTCCAGTGAAAAAAGTCCCCAGACAGCAGGGAAAAGCAGGGGAAGAATCCAGAGTCGTAGCTATAAGCATATGGCCTCGCCTGGGCACCTAAATTCAGCAGGTACAGATACACTCCTTCAATGGGTTTTTCCTTTTCAAATCCATGCTTAATGATCTGATCAACGGAAGTAAAGGGAATAGATAGAAGAGGAAGTCTGGGGTTCCATAAGCGTTTGACCACTTCAGATTTGATCGCATCAGATAGAACGGGAGCTAAAGAGGGAGAATGAGATACGTCGAGATGGAGCGCGCGTCTGATAGCGAGACGGTGGTTCTGGAGCTGAGAAGGGGAGATATCGTGGAAGTGGTCGGCGGGTTGAGAAGCTGAAAGGTAGGAGGATAGGAGGGAATCTGAAGCGGAGGGGAAATCACCGACGAGTCGTACATTAAGAGAGAGAGAGTGAAAGAAAGAAGGGAGGAAATGAGAGAGGGGATGTGAGGATGGGAATGGGTGAGACAGAGGGATTCTTGACTGAGGAGGGGAGAGAAAGGAAGGAGTCGTCGGAGGCAAGTGGATCGGCAGGGGCCTGATGGGCGAGAAAAGAGTCAAGGCCAATGATAGGGGAAGCAGTGGTGGTGCCAATGACAAAGATGAAAACGGTGGCGGTGGCGATCATCTTCGGCTGCAAAGAAGTAGTGGTAATGGCGGAATGAAATGGAGTTCAGTTAAGCATTATGTGTCAACATTCAGGAGTGAGAAACATTTTGGCATAACAGAGGAATTTGGAATGGAGGCAGAGCGAGGGAAAACCCGGGAAGCCTAACTGCATGCATTCAGCCGCAGTTTTTGCCGCCTGAAATAAAATGAATACGTAACGATTTATGTATTGTAAGGATCCGAGCTTGGTGAGCAGCTATTTGCATGCACCCCCAACAAATTTGAACCTAACGATTTATGTACGGTAATCGCAGCGCATTTGATCGGCCATTAGCACGAGTACACTTACACGCTCCGCTGCGATTGATAGGAACTCGTTATTTAAACAAGTGGCTTATTTTCTAAGCTGAATTAGTATAAATAACCCACTAACAATTAATTATAAAGGGAAAAAAAAAATGTCCTAACCCTTTGATTTTGTAGTAATTTTTATGTTTTAACTTTAAATCTCTTTACTTATAGAAAATACTTTTTAAAAAATACATTTTAGATGGACTAAAGGACACTTTTGATCAATAAATAAATGAAATTAATATTTTTTATTTTTTGTAATTTTTTTCTTTTACTTTTCCCTCCTTAAAATATGAAGGAAATATAATAACATGAAGAAGAAAAAGTTAGTCAGTTAAAAATATGTTGATTTGAACAAAATGTTGAGTTAGTTTGTTAAAATGTTGACTTCTTTTCGGCCAAAAAAAATAAAAGATACAGAGGAGACAGGAATAAATTTATTTGAAATTGATAAACACAAAATACAAACACTGGAAAAAAAAAATGCACATTATTCATATGTCATCAACTTACTACTCAAACTGTAAGTGATATACAAGAGCTGTATCTACTTTATAAGAAGCACAACAACAATAATGGGAAAAAAGAACTTAACATCTTCAAGACGGATAACATAGTTGACGGAATTCAGCAACAATCTTCACTCCAGATTGTAGGTCTTATCCGCGTAAAGTTCTAGTGCAAACACACTACTCTGAACAGCGTCATCGACCCATTGGCAACTCCTCAAATTGAAATGTGGAGGATGATTTACAGACAATTATCCCGAAAGGGGACAAAAGCTAACAAATTTAAGCGAGCTGTAATTCAGCCTAAAATATAAAGACAACACTGTCATGAACTCTTGACTTTTGATTCTGAGCCACGCATTCAGAAATCCACATTAGGTTCCTAATCTCTTGCTCCCTTAACCTCATATATGCGAAGAACACGGCATAATGGAACTGCAAAAAGAAAAGGGCAGCTAAGAAAGACAAAACATATAAATAGAGTTAAACCATTATAATATAATATTGAAGCCACATAATTTTCTTCCAACGCTGTGACTCTAGTAATTTTTTAACATGGCTTGGTCAGAAATACATGGCAGCCCCTCCGATATTAGTTGGTTTTCTACTGGGACCAGAAATAATTGAGAAAAACAGCAGTCAGATATAAACCTGTTGCTCAAACGCTAAGCAAAGCCTCTTCACCTCCTCCTCATAGAACGCCTTGTCAAGCATCTGGCTCTCTCCGTAAGATAATTTAGCAAAAATAGACTGATATGGAGGATATTTTTCCATAACAGCACGAACCTGCATGAGAACCAGTTCAGGTCCAAACAGCAATATTAGAAGTATTCATATACATACAGGAGTTAGAACCCACTATCTAAAAGCAGCCGAGAGATTTACGGCTTAAACTCAATGATGCGAAATGGACATGCATAACTGAGACAGGATATACATTTTTGGCATAAGTGACCAGAGTGTTAGCTGAAAATATATTTCACAATTATTGGGCTATTAAACACAATCGACTATCCAGAGGGGCACAATCTAACGGGGCCTAAGAGACAGACAAACTAAAAGAAACCAATTAACTCGTATTAATTATTTCCACCAAAGAAACTGGTCAACAAGACAACATTGAGAAGCAAAATAAAACGAACCTGATCAATGTCCTCGCAGACAGCCAGTTCCTCGTGGCCATAAGGATAACTGTTCGGGGTAAGTAAATAATTACTTAAAGAAGACGTTCGAAAGCAGCATAGAAACTTCTAGCCCAAAAAAGGCAGTACTTTAACTTCCATGAAAAGATGAATCAATATTAAGATAGGGGCTTACAGTAAACCAAAATTGGAGTACAATTTTCTGCGATCATCCCTGGTGAGCTCAGTACCAATGCTGTTCAAAGCGAAAATCATCATTTCAATTCTACAAATATCCAGAAAGACAAAAAGTTACACAAAATCTTCTTAGCTTCAACGTACCTATTTATGGTAATATTTACAGCCCTTCTATCAGCCTCAAAAGCTAAAAGGTCAGACATGATCTCAGCAGTGGCACCACCAAGTTTCTGTGTATGAACAGACATTGATAAAAATCAGGTTAAATGGCAAAATGAAAGAATGAATACTCATAAGGACAAATACTTCAGTGCAATCACCTGACAAAATCTGTAAAAGTCCTCAAGGTATGCCTTGTAAAGAGTGTTCCTCATTATTTCAATGTTCATGTCATCCAAGTCCTACGAAAGGAAAAAATTAGTAATCAAATGCAGAACACAGGGATCAGAGGCTCTTGAATCACAAGCATATATCTAATAAAAGGAGTATTTCACATATAAACACCTGAGTCTACTAAGATGAAACCGTCAAGATCTAAGTCATTGATACTCATACTGTCAACAGTTTGCTTCCATTTTATGTCTAATCAGAACAAAATGTAAAGCTGAAGAACTGCCCTCTTAAAGAGGCCATATACTAGTTGCCACTAATCTCTTGATTTTCTAAATATTGTAAGCACACTCAGTACCTTACCACCGATGAAATTTTGAGCAGACTGACTAAGGAGCCAAAACCCCAGAACAACATTAAGGAAACACAAAAGCAAATTAGGTTAGAAGATTTACATCTGATGTAATGCACTCTGAGAAGTATGGTGCCAGAGGCGTGTCAACAAGTACTAGTCTGTAGAGCTCCCGCATGTTCTGAGCCACCGCCAGAGTAGCAATGCTGAGAACAACCCATAAAACTCTAAAGTTCTATATCCTTTAAGTCGTAATGTCAGAACAATGCAGAAATAATTATACCTGTCAAACATTCCCAGCGGATGACACTTTTCTAATAGTTCTTGAACATCTCTCTCATGCAAGGTGCCAGTGACAATAAGAACAACATTATCAATCATGTGGCCATATCTGCCAGATGGGGGAAAATGAAAGAGTTATTGACCTCAAGTTGCACCTTTTGGTCTGCCTTACCTAGGATAAATTCCACCGAAACTAAAAGATGGATGCTTAACTGCCAAGCTAAGCATAGTTTAGTCAAACTTTCCTCCGAAAGTCCGAGTTGCTAAGTAAGTAAAGAGCAAACGGTTTGATGCTACGGAAGGGGTCAGCTTAGTAAGAATTGATGTTCTAAAAAAACTTTGATCTCCTTGTATCTTTAAATAAGTATGCATGCTCACTATAAAGTTCATAAGAACAAAAACAAAGAAAATAATATATACAATGAGCTAACGATCAGAAAAGTAAGACTTCGCATACGTGATATATTCCAAAAATGTTGACAAGGGCTCTGTGGCTTGGCATAACATATGCTTATAGTCATCAACAAGCTTAAGAGTGCATTTCTCCACTATCGTTGTTGTATGCAATGGAGAAGGTTCTGCAACAGGCAGATTCACGGCATAAATTGATTAAGCTGTGAAAAATAGACATCTAACTGATAAGCAATAACCTATACTGAAATAATCAATAACAAAAAAGACAGCCAGCCGTACCAATCATTTAAGGGAGAAATAGTCAAGTTCTAAACTGAAGAATTAACGCAGGATATCAATTCCATTCAAAAGATCAACACTCCAATTGCGTTTGACATCAAATCAAATCAGGTTCCATTTTTAAGGATTTGACAGGTGAAACCCAATCCCTGATTCAACGATGTAAAGGAAAAAGTAAACTAATTCGAAGAACGCACCATTTTGCAGGTAAGGGCCGTACTCAGTGGCCGACAGGTGCATCTTGATGTCATCGAGGGTCTCGCATTGGCACAAATTGTTATAATCGGCTGCTGTGAGCAGCCCCCCTCGGTGACCCCGCACGATCGCCTCCAGGTAACCACCATGAATGTTGAACGTAAGAGCTTCGAAGCCGTACATTGTTTTCCGAAGGCGATCCCGGGATCTGCAGGATGCAGGTCTAAATGAATTATTGAACAGAACAGGTGTCCGGTGAGTGATCGGGTTTGTCTTGTGATTTTTTTAAGAATTCAATCACGAAATATATTAGATCTATCCACAGTACATGATCAGTTTCATTTTTTTTTACGGCTAAAAAAATGACAAATGAAGTTTCCCTTCCTTTTTTCTTTTTTTTTGGGGGGTGGGGGATGTCTGGTTCTACTATCTAACGCTCCAGAGACAGACAGAGGAGATATTGCGCAAACAACCCTCTCTTGCATTCAAAAAGGCCAAGGACTTTAAGCCCATACCACGCTACAGGCCCATGAATGGCAAGAATGGGTATTGGTTGGGAACAATGGGCCGCAATGGGCTTGCCTTTTACCTTCGCAAGAGAAATGTCTCAAAAATCTAAAATATTTCATGAACAAGAAGAATCTTCTTTTTATGTCAAAAGAATAAACAAAATGGATCTTGTCTTGTGCATTGAATGGTCTCCAATTTGTTATACTACCTCCGGTCCTAATTATAAGAGCCAATTGATTAATTTAAGGAGATTAAAAAAGTAAGTTAAGTTAATTATTTGTCATAAATAGGTGTTGTCTTTCCTAAAATATCCTTACTAATCAAGTGTATTGATTAGAACTATCATTGTTAGAAGAGTTACTTTAGAAAAAAAATGTATAAATATGAGAGATAAAGTGGATTGGGGGTCTTATATTTAGGACCAAAATAAAAGTCAAACAGGGTCTTATATTAACAACCGGAGGTAGTACAATACAGAATAATTTTAACAATACAAATATAAAATTGGATGAAATAATTATAAGTTCATATTAAGATTAAATTATATTTTAATTTCATTTAGGAATATATTATAGAATAAGTAATATGGTGGGATGATAAGTTTTATTATATATAAAAAAAATTCTAAAAATACGTAATAATTTTGTTGCCCATGTGAAATCGATCAATTGTCTTTCTTCTTTTTTTTTTTTTTTGGGCTTGTTGAACCAAGGGCAAAAAGAGAGAATCACTCCCTCCCTTTTTCTCCTCTCTTTGATCACTTTTTTTCTCCCTATTTTTTCCCTTATCCGCTAAACAGGAGGTTAATGTTTTAAATTAATAGAATGATCGGACAATCACAGTAGTAATTTGGTAAAATATGTTGGAAAATTGGGAGACACCGTTTCCAAAAAGATGATTGGGACGTGGAAAGTCCGTGATTCACAGCCCAGAAGCAAAGTCGACTGGCTGAAATGTTGTGACGAGAAGTCAAAGACTCTCACTTTGGTGAAGTGGTCCATCAGAATCCCCCCAGGCACATTGCTGAAAGTACTCAAAATTCAATCTCCCACGTCCAATAGTTTTGAAGTCTTACTAATTACTATCTCTGGTCCTAATTATAAAAACCAGTTAACTAATTTAAAGAAATTAAAAAAGTAAATTGAGTTAATTATTTGTTCTAAATAAGTGTTGTCTTTCCTAAAATATTATTGCTAATCAAGTGTATTAGTTAGAACTACTATTGTTAGAATCACTACTATGAAAAAAAAATGTATAAATATAAGAGACAAAGTGGATTGGGGTCTTATATTTAGGACCAAAATAAAAGTCAAACAAGATCTTATATCAAGGATCAGAGGTAATATTAGCTAACCCAGTTCAACTAGAGGTTAATTAGCATAATCAAATGGGGCCAAAAGCCATACGTGGTCCCCTGTTATTTAGCTCTAATAAGATAATCACCGATTATTCTTACGTAATTACTTATATAAGATAATATCTGTTGGCGTCCCCGTAAAACAATAATCACAATCCATCACTAATATGATGTAGTGCTTGTTTAGAATGATACTACCTCCAATCCTTAATATAAGACCTTATTTCACTTTTATTTTGATCCTAAATATAAGATATCAATCTATTTTCTCTCTCATATTTATGCATTTTTTCAAGATAGTCCTTCTAACAATAGTAATTCAAACCAACACACTTGATTAGCAAAGATATTTTAAGAAAGATAGCACTTATTTATTACAAATAACTAACTTAACTTCTTTTTTTAATCTTTCCAAATTAGTCAGCTAACTCTTATAATTAAGACAGGAGATAATAGTAAGATTCTTCAAAAGTAATCTTTTAATAGTAATTTATAAAATGCAAGGTAAGTGTTTGATTTTTTTTTTCTAACTAAATAAATAAGTGCTTTTGGGACGTCTAATGATAATTCCAAACAGTCACCTACGTTGTCTCCGAATCATGCTATAAGCACTTCTAATGCATGCATTTCATTATATAACATGTACTACCTCCGGTCTTTATTATAAGACCCTATTTGACTTTTTGTTTGGTCCTAATTATAAGACCCCAATCTATTTTCTCTCCCATATTTATGTATTTTTTTCCAAGATAATCCTTCTAATAATGATAGTTCTAGCCAATATACTTAATTAGCAAGGATATTTTAGGAATGACAACACTTATTTATTACAAATAACTAACTTAACTTACTTCCTTAATCTCCTCAAATAAGTCAACTGGGTCTTATAATTAGGACCGGAGGTAGTATATTTTAAAAGCATTGTTTTTTTATTCAAATCTGGTATCTTTAATTAACTATAACACATGTCATCTAATTAAGGGGTTGTGATGGTGAGCTATTCGTATAATATAAAATGCATGTGTGAGGATTTGTCGGATTACATGATCTCCAAGAAGTAGATCGATGACGATAATTACTCTGATGAGTATGCATGTGGCGCCAAAATTTAAGATATTATGGGAAATTTTCTTTGACCCCCGCAATGAAATAGAACCATATCGAGAGGGGTCCACCAACTTGATATCGATGTTTTAAGAACAAATTAGTGTGAAAAAAGATCCGAAGCGAGATAGCCGTACACTTGGAATCTTTGAAAACAGGTTTGTTTGCGAGGACCATCGAATATCCAGTGTGATTCGCTCCGACGAATTAATAGATAATTATTTTGAACGTTCCGCCATTATTCACGATCTTCGGGAATTTTTAAGGAATTATGGATTGTGTTTGTATATGTCTTGTACCTAATTTATTTTCTGATGTTTTCCATAATTTTATAATCCTTCACGATATAGTCCGAGTCGTTAACGCTCCTATCTGATAATTAGTACGTAAAAAATTTTTGATTTGTCATTACATTACTTCCTTTTTTTTCAAAATAAAAAGGACGTCATTCAGTTAATCATTTTTAATAAAAGAAAAAGACTCATCAATACCTGATTTCAAAAAAGAAAAAAAAAAGTAGTACTGATCGATATCCTGTGTAATTATTCAGATGATATCTATAATGTCAAATCCGAAACATTATTTAATTTATTTGGTTGTTATTTATTTGGTTTGGATATGCCACTTGACGTGTTTTGAATTAAAAATTAATTAAGTAATTAACCCTATTACATAACACCAAAGGCGGGCCACTCTCCCTTCATCACCTGTTAAGGCCAACTTCATATGCAATGCCTTATCTTCTGGTTTCTTTTGATAAACTACATAAATAACGCACCAATTAATTAATAAATAATGACAGATCTCATGAAGGCCCAGCCTTCATATAATTTATAATATTCAATAAAAAATATAATTCATCATATTATTGAAATGGAGCTCCTTTTTTTTGTATTTGAGTCTTAAAGCAATCATATGTGACGCGGACGCATAAAAAATCTTACCCAGACCCGGGAAATTCTAATGGCAATGAAGCATGGTGTGAACAGGGGTCTTCATTCGGTACTTATCACGACAATGAGCACCATGTGTCTATTACTGTAATGCAATATAAACCATCCGAAATATAATATGGATGGTTTAGATTTAAAATTTTTAATATATTATTTTTGTAATGATAAATTTATTATTTTAAAGAGGTATTAGTTATGATATTATATTCATTTTTAATTCTAGGTATCTATTAAAACAAAATATTGATTAAAATATATAAAAAAATTAAATTTAATCTAAATCATTTAAAATCAATCTGGATAGTCCAAATTCTGATTAGCACGCTATGCTCATCATTGTGATGAGCATGGAATGTGCTCCATGTGGGTAGTAAGTAGTGTTTGATGAGATCCCAACTCCTTAATTTGATGTGGTGTAATAAAAAACATTTAAAATTAATTTTGTGCTGTAATTCATTTTTATTACAGAATGTGCTGGCGAGTTTGGATCGAACGATCTCGGAGGTCATAATTGTCAAGGTGAATGAGAGAGAAGTTAAGCACAGACGAAGAGACAGGAAGCAAGCATGTGTGCGCTTGTGTTTTGCAGATAAATTGAAGAATGAGCAATATCTTTTATTACATCAATATAGAGTTGGCCTGACAGTACAAGGTCCCGCTTGGTCTCAAATTCGAGTACAAGAGGCTACACGTGTTCTAGAAGGAACAATTACGAACCTTAAACTGAATTAATTGATTGCTCATATATCTAGTAATATGATTAAAAAAAGCTTCAAATGCAAGATAACAGTATCAAATATATATGTTATTGCATGCATCTGAACAAGTGCACGTTATTCATCTTTACTTGAAATTCTGATTTTGCATATAATTATTTACTTTCCTGCTGTATATATACAGAAAGCACATTCGGTTATTAGTTCTGGGATGGGGGTCTATTTACATATAAGGAAGCGTTTTGTGTCTCCTGAAAACGGACATGGATCACATCGAGCTTGGGAGCTATATGAATATACTATCATTGTACTCCTCCGGTCCTTAATATAAGACCTATTTAACTCATTTAATTAGATTAATAAAGTTAGGTAAGTTAGTTAATTATAAGAAATGTGACACGTTTTTCCTAAAACACCATAATTATCTTTCTTAATACCTCATCTCCCTATTGTACTTGATTATGGTTGAGGAAGTATCTATAGGGGTAATTTAGAGAAAATTAATAAATATGAGAAATAGATCTTATATTTAGGACCCAAACTAACTCAATAATTGGGTCCTATATTAAGGACCGGAGGAGTAATATGTTATATTTTTAAAATTGGACACCCGCAGCATGAGCTATGTGTTGAAATAGAATACCACATCTGATCCTTAATATAAGAGTTCATTTGACTTTTATTTTGGTTTTAAATATAAGACGCTAATATATTTTATCTATTATATTTTTCAATTTTTTCAAGATAATCCTTGTAATAATAATAGTTTTAACAAATAAATTTAATTAACAAGAATATTTAAGGAAAGATAATATTTATTTATTATAACTAACTAATTTAACTAATTTTCTTAATCTATTCAAATTAGTCAACTAACTCTTATATTAAAGACAAGAGATAATATATAAATCGGTTAAATGATGAGTCCCATTAATTATAGACACACACGGAATATTTATTCTATTATTTCACCAACTTGGGGTGGCAAATTGGCAATTATCTTCTGTGGGCGTTGAAATGATAACTTTCCATCAAAACCAACGCAGCAGAAAGGCTGAAGAATATAAAGTTACTCATTTTATGTTTAGTCACTGTCGAATGACAAACCCTAAACCTACCCCCATTGCCTTATCTTCGTCTCTTTTTGTTTCTTTTTTGTAGGTACCTCATCCTCGTCTTTATATATATCTTGACTCCCATGATTTGATCTCCACTCAGCAACACCCAACAATTTCTGTTTATATTCTATGATAACTAGTTTAGATTATTTATATTTTATGATAATTAATTCTTATACAATTTTTGTAAACGTTGAAAGAATATATCGTAGGCCCCTCAAAGCATCCTGAAGGTACAACTTTAGTTGTCTCCATGACGATGTTCCGTGCTGATGACTTGAACTTGATCATAAGCGCTTTGTCGCGATCCTTTAATAATCTTGCTGGCTTAGCTTGGGCATACTTTTGAGCTCCAATTGTTGATCATTAAATCATTTTAATTTTAATATCCAGAGTTACTTTCTTATAATCCAAAGTTACTTTATCATCCAAATTAAATAAAATAAACGTTTTATTGTGGAACAAATGTTAATGAAATTTTTAAGTGAATATAGACAATAATGCAGTTTACTGCTTATATAATTTCACGCTAAATAGTAAATTCTGACTTGTGTGATTAGATGATATCAGCTACACACATATATATTCATTATAGTTAATAATTAATAATTATTCTTTAAAATTCTGGCAAAAATAAATATTCTTTGAAATTACCTTTTTTGCGAATTAACTTCAAATTTTAAACACCTCAAATTAGTGGCTCTTACAGATTCAAAGCGTGCATCAAACAAAAATAACTATTTATATTAACTGACACAAATCGTCTCATCAAATAAATGAAATAAATAGAGTTAAACAAAATAATAGATTTATTCCAGTATTTTCCTTCGTGAGTTATCATAATGAGTCTTCTTTTAAGTAACGGGCTAGTTTGTATATAATATACAATTTATAAGTAAACAACAATACATATCACCTTAATTTTTGTGACACTGACATTAAATCCCATAAATTTGTGAGGATATAGATATTAGGATCTTTAATGGTCCATCCTTAGAGCGTAGCGTATAAAAATGCCTTGATTCCTAATATACCTTAATTATACGTTTTCTTTACAAGAGTTTTCTTGTATTCCTAAACACAATAAATAAGTTTATGGGTTCTTTAGATGTGCCAGTTCGTATAGAATATATAATTTATAAGTAATTCATGTTGATTTTTGTGGCATCAACATTAAGTACCACGTTAATAGCTCATCCTTAGAGTGTAACATGTAAAAATTTGTATTAAACCATAATAGTTTACAATTCATACAATTTATATGTAATCAACAATTCCATCCATCTTGATGTGACACCGACATGCATTAAGCTTACCATGAGTTCACGAGGACACTTGCCATTGGGATCTTTAACAGCTACTCTTAAAGCGTAACGTGTAAGGGTGTTTTGATTCCTGATATGCCTTGATTATACACTTACTTTACATTGTGGGCTTGTATTCCAAAACACAATACAACTTCTCTCAGATATTATGTAAAATATATGTTTATGAGTCTTCTTTTAATATATAGATAGATCACACAATTTATGTGATCAACAATACAATCCATCTTGATTTTTGCAGTAACAGCATGCAATAAACTTACCATGAGTCCACGAGGACGCTTGTCATTAGGATCTTTAACAGCTCACTCTTAAGACGTAACGTGTAAAGATGTTTTGATTCCTGATATGCTTTGATTCTCTATTTCCTTTGAATAGTTTGTACTGTGGGTTTATATTTAAAAAAACACAACTTATCTTAAATATTATATATAAAACATGGGCTTACAATTTTAGTTTTCATAACAAGATTAAGTGGGAACATGTTTGAATCTTTTAAATTAATATATAAAATGTGTCGTGAATTAACTTTTTTAATCTGTGGTTCGACCCATTGTATTGAATGGGTTGAATCAATTTGATATCAGCCATAAAACTACACTGGCTAACAAAATGTAAACTTGAAACCACTAAAATATCATGGATCAACCGCTAGTTTGTTGAGTTCAACCCCATTTAATGGCTACAATATCAGTTTGTTCATTTGTATCAAATACTATGGGCATATAAAAACCAGACAAATGATTTTGCAAATCATATCATGCTAGTTTCATATTAAAAAAAAAAAAAAAAACAATACACCTCCAGCCTACTAAGTTATCAAACACTACCTATTAGTCCTCATGAATGAAACATTTTTTATAACCCATTTTTGAAAACGCATTTATCTCTATCAGTCTTAGCTTAAATATAACTTCATTTTAATTAAGGATAATTTTGAAGAGTTGTTAATATTTTTAACATTTAACTAAAATATTAACTAAATCTGAAAATTGTTTTGTGTTTTAACTTTGCTAATCGATATCCAGTAAAAACATCCCGAGTCATATTCCCTCTGGTGTCTAATTACGTTTCTGATATTTCGACTAAGCAATTGTCCCTTCTCTGCCTTTGAAGGAGCCGAGGAACAAACTTCCAGTTAGAGACAAATTGTGACATGAGTTTTAGGAATGTCGATAAGAAGAAAGCTTCAAATTAAAGCAGTGTTTCGAGATGTTGTTATTGCTAAGTCAGGAGTAAAAACTGAACTAAAGTTTAGGAATATTGAGAGTTAGAGTATTTTAATTAAGCTCGCATATATTATGTTACATGATGTGTCAAGAGTTCATAGGTGTGTGTGTGTACATAGGCATAGCAAAGAATAAGTTGTATTTTATTACCGTGCATATCAATTCAAGAATTAAGTTTCATGCGGGTTTTCTCCATCCATTTTTTCCCACTCTTTGATCCTATCTTTATCAAAAAAAAAAAATCCGCTATAGCCCACCGGAATTTCCAAGCATGGCCCCTGGTTTTCACTTTCTAAGACCAACTGTTTTTCTTTTTCTGCTAATCCTTCTCCTTCTACTATTCTTTTATATGTCTCTCTCCATTCTCTTTCTTTCACCATCCACTCAATGCCATTTTTTATCACATTGATCTCACTCCTTTTTCCTCTAAACCTCCATCTCTGCAAAACACTATCGAAAACTCTACCCCTCGCCCCAATATACTTCCTCTTCTCTCTCCCTATTATTGGGCATTTGGGGTTGTAGAGTCTCTCGCTGCGCTTTTTCGCAGTTTTCTGCAATACCCAGTACTATTCCTGTTACCAAATTCTCTATGGTCCCTTCTTTTATTAGGTCTAGCTATAAAAGCATTTCACAGTGTCTCCTTGTTTCGATTTTCATATCGTAATTCTGCATTACGTACAGTAGTATGCTAATTAAGCTTGGTTTTTCTGCTGAATTTGAATTGCATGGGAATTGAGAGGAGGTTGGCTGATAGGAGAGACAAAAACTTTTCTGAATTACCCGAAGAGACGAACACCAACAATAAATCAATGAAGAATAACCGGCGACGTCAGAAGAAGACGTCTTCGGTTCAGAAACTATTCAACACATGCAAGGAAGTGTTTGCCTATGGTGGGACTGGGATTATTCCACCCCCTCGAGACATTGAGAAGCTGCGGTCTATTTTAGGTATGTGCTTCAATTATGTATCCAAATTACTGTCCACAATGTGCTTTGTTTTGTCGGCTAGCAAGATTTCCTATATGGGGTTGCATTCTTTTTATGGGAAAATCACATCAAAATGAACTTTTTTGCTGCGATTTTTGCCGGCTTGCTGATCAACTACATGTGATTTCAGCTGAATTTTCCATTAACAAAAACTAATCTGCATTATTCCTTACTTGGGGGAAAACAGTGCAGCTTGTTATAAAATTTATATTTTTAAATGTCGATACCGATAATGTCAAAATTGATATATTATATAATATTTTTCACCTTGAAAATACTTCAGTTCATAACTTCGGGCGATGGGCTGTGCTCTCTCCTTTGTGTATGTACTATGTTTCCCACATACATGCTTTTGTGTTTAACTTGCATGTGTGTATGTGATTATTAGAAGTTGTTCAAGTATCGATCGGTCACATAATAAATGGTTGTCCGTGAGCTTCTTGTCACAAAGAGATGACATCTACAGAAGGTTTTAGTTTGCTGTCAAATGCTAAGAACCTGATTTGGTCTGACAGAATAAAAATTTAGTCTGTTGTGTTTGAGTCCCTAGCTCTATATCATTAGCTAGACTGCCGTCCTCTTTTTGTGCAGATGGAATAAGACCAGAAGATGTTGGCCTGACACCTGAAATGCCACATTTCGGGACAAGCCGTGCCCAAAGAATGCCAAAAATCACATACCTGCATATCTATGAATGTGAAAAATTCTCGGTAAGCAAGTTATTTTCAACTGCTAAGTGCCAATTAATCTGATGGTTACTGGGAATCATATGGTGTTTTGTTGATTCGTAATTGTATATCCACATGAATCTAAAATAATGCAGATGGGAATATTTTGCTTGCCACCTTCTGGTGTTATTCCTCTTCATGATCACCCCGGAATGACGGTTTTCAGCAAACTTCTCTTTGGGACCATGCACATCAAATCATATGACTGGGTGACCGACTTGTCCCCGCACAATCCTACCAGCTTCAAACCAACGGAGAGTAAGTAGTCTACCATTTTTGTACCATTTGGTAAGAAGTATTGAAAATGAGAGATAAAGATTGGGATTAGAATTGAGAAAATCTATTAAAAGAGTATTTAGCATGAGAGATTGCTTGTTATATGGTATTAGACAAACTCATGTATGTGGGATTGAGAAATACCATAGGAGAAAGTGGTATTTCCCAATTCTACTTCCTTAGGTAATTTGCTTAATCTTACGTGACAAACAATTACTTATACCAAAGATTTTTTTAATACTTTTTTTTAATCGCAATCATAGTCCTTGTCCCTCATTTTTAATGCTTTGTACCAAAAGAAACATTTATTTAACATTGCAAACAAAGCGTTTGTACAAATTATATAGCATAAAATGCAAATGGAAGCTGTGTTATTTTCTTCTTTCCCTCTCTTTAGTAGCGCCTTAACTGGCTCTTTCTCTAAGAACTAGAGAAAAGAATAACATGTATGACTATTTGAATTATGCAGTCGAGAGTTCAGAAGTGCGGTTGGCTAAAGTGAAGGTTGATGCAGATTTCACTGCTCCTTGCAACACCTCTATCCTTTATCCGGCGGATGGAGGAAACATGCACTGCTTCACCGCAGTGACAGCATGTGCAGTTCTCGATGTTCTTGGCCCTCCATATTCTGATCCTCATAGGAGGCCTTGCACTTACTACCTTAGTTACCCTTATTCCAGATTTTCAGGTATAGATTTTGCCGCTGATCATGACACCGTCTTGTTACATTCTCAGAGCCATAATTATCGTGTGTTAATTATTTCCTTTTGAAACTCCAGTAGAAGGAATGTCCGTAGCACAAGAGGAAGAGAAGGCTTACGAGTGGCTTCAAGAGAGGGGGAAACCTGAGGGTTTACAAGTAGTTGGAGCCATGTACGGAGGCCCAAAGATTGTGGAGCACTGAACTCATCATCTTACATCATCATCATCATCATCATGTTCCTCCCTGGTCCCTTAAGTCTTTTCGATATTATATATAGGTTCTGAGTGCTGACAGATTTTCTATTAATGAAGAAAGCCGATTAGACCCCAGCCTTGTCTGAACGGCTGGTGAAACTTTTTCTGAGATCTTTTTCCCTTATGCCCCCTTTTTTTTTTCCAGTTTTAATTTTATGTTCTCACAGGCACCTAGTGATGTTTTTTCAGACGACAGTTCTGTTGTTGTATATACAGATCAAAAAACAGTAAATGATAAAAACAGATTTACAGCACCAGAAACTGATATATTATGGGACCGATGAAGCTAAGATGCAGTGGTCTTAATTAATACCATCTGAAATATCAGAATTTGTTGGCATAAATGTCATTTCGACGACTCTCACCTCAATAAAGTAGTCTCCTAGAATCTTCAAATGCATTTTATTTTGAAAGCAGCCAACTTTAATCTTTCTTGGAAAAATATATCTGTGTGGACGTGAATATATATCTATGTGCGTATATATTCAATCTTGTGAATTGCTTGTCATAAAATATTTTCAAGTAGCATATGGGTCCTACTGCTTATCACTCATATGGAGTAATTTTTTGTGTTGTTATATTAATATTAATTTGTTCGTGTTCGTTGCGGTATAAGGAACTTCATCGATGACCTACTGATTGGTAGCTCTAGAGCCGAGACGAATTATTCAATGACGTGTAGCCAGCGGGCTGATAATACTACTTCCAGTCCTTAATATAAGACTTTGTTTGATTTTTATTTTGATTTTAAATATAAGATTCCAATATATTTTGTCTGTTATATTTATTCATTTTTTTTCTAAGAGAATCATTCTAATAATGGTAATTCTAGCCAATACATTTGATTAGCAAAAATATTTTAAGAAATACAATACCTATTTATAACAAATAACTAATTTAACTTATTTCTTTAATCTATTCAAATTAGTCAACTAGTTCTTATATTTAGAATCAAAGAAGGGTAAAACATACTAATACATGTTATATGTGGGCGCGATGACATAGGAAGATTCTGTTATTTAGTCCGAGAAGAAACATATAATAATGATTTTGAGCTTGTTACCAAAATTAAGATAATGTTGCCAGAAATTTCCTTGTTGCTTCCTATCAGATTATTTCGGCAGCGCCTACCAGCCTACACTACAGCTTAGAAAATTTAAGCACTTGCACAAAACGGGACCGCAAGAGCACCGTAATATCTGGAATCTTTCACAGCACCCCATATATAATATATATTAATTTCTTTTCACAATTATTCGCGGCGCACAAAGGGAGAAAAAATGTTCTCAGCTTTTATTATTATTGACTTTCTTAATAATCAATTAATATGTGTCTATATATAATTTAAGCAAAACGTCATGTTTATATATAAAAGTTATACAATAAAATGTGTCGGTTAAAACATTAATAATAAAAATAAAAAAATGTAAAATTTGTTTGGTTGTGAAATTACTGCTGGTTTTGTAGCAAACAAATAAAAGCAATGTTCATAAGGTAGGGATATAATATAGTGTCCAAATCTCAAATATGATATTCTGTTTCTGGTTGTGGCTTTCCCATTGGCTGGGGATTCCACTTGTTCATAATTTATAGAGTTTAATCTTCATATTTTAATAAGACAAAATGTATAGAAATCAGTGGGGCTCTTCCTCCGCCTTCATCGCTCTGTAAAGCCAGATTGCTCAATTCGATGGCCAATCAGTGGGAATTTGCATGTGATTATTTTATTAATATCTTATGAAAATGAGTGATAATGGGTCCCCCGCTGGAGGATAGTGATCTTCGTCTTGTCGTGTGCACTTTGGGAAACACACAAGTCTTCAACAATTTTCTCATCTTCTCATTTCATTTCAGTAGGTAGCCATCACTCTCTTTCTTTCAATTAAAGAATCAAACATTAAACAGTAACAGGTGGAATTAAGCTCTTAACCTACGCAATAATTTACATATGTCGTTAGGTTACAAGTTTATTGGTGCTATTTTTCTTCCGTGGCTCCTCTATACACACACACTCTTCTAGTCTTATTTATAGGATATTTTTAACATGTTTTACATGTACTAAGAAAAAAAACTAAATAACTATCTAAATTATAATAAATAATTAATAAAATAGTACATTCATATTAAAAATTCGTCAAAATAACTTATTATAAGAAGGGCTAGGAAGAAACAAAGGATTATACATGTACATATCACTTGATAATGACGTGTATTTACATTAAATCACCAAAATTAACTCGTGATAATGTTATTATTACTGAAATATATTAATTGGGTTTGTACCTACTTTAATTTGAAATGATCATAATCAAAAGCACGTACGTAAGGCAAATATTCTCATTCCCTCGTCGTCGTACGTCCATCGATCCATCTCCATCTCCATCGTACAAAGGACACTTTCTTGGTTCTTTATGAATTGGAAAGAACACATCAGCCTCTGCGCTGAACTGATGAAACGCAGGTGCCAAAAGACAATTGAAGCCAAAATAATTTATTGCGCCTAACAAGTGCAAGTTCCTCTCAACTTGAAAGCGAAACGTTTGCTTTATGTTATTTACGCCTCACACAATGACACCCACACTTGCGACTAAATCAGTTTTGGTGTTCATCACTTTGATAAGTACTTTAAACTCGTCAGATCTGGAATGTTTATATTTCACTTAGATAGTCTAGATTTAATTTCTTTTTTATTTTTATTTATTTAAAATAATTATTTTAACATATATAGAATATAAAATAAGAACAATGTCTTAACTATCATTCTTTCAAAAAAAATAATTTTTTATTTAAAAATAATTAATCAAAGAATTTAAATATAGACTGTTCAAATTAGATATAAGTAGTTCAGATCTAATAAGTTTAGAGTGCTAATCAAGATGATGAGTACTGAAACTGGTTCTAATCCTACACACAACTTAGCCTTGAATTTTTATAATTAATTGCAAAAGTTCTTAGGTCGGTTAGGTACGCATATAATATCTTTAATGTTAATTAACTCTCCGCTGGGATATCTAAATCAAAGAATGAATTAATGCCAAATAATGCCAAATGCCAATGCCAATGTAATGAACGGCAACATTTGTCATCCTAAAACTGGCCAAACATGGAACAACCTGGGACGTGGGGATATCATTTTTTTTTTTTTAATAACAAAATTTTGTCACCCATGCTTTGGCTTCTTCTACCGGTAGATATTTCCCACTTCTCTTCATAAAAATTATGTTTGCATATTATGGGTGCAGAAGACGTTTTTGTTTGTTTAATAACTACGGCCAATTAAATGGCTTCACCTAAACTAAAGAGATATGTATACACAAAAAAGTGAGCATTATTTTTATGGCGGGTCACATGCATAAACGTGGAGCACTATAAAATGTAATCCTTATTGTTGTCAAAACCAAACCGGAGCTCATATTTATCTCGTTAGTTTGTTAGGTTCTCCTCTGATATGTGTTAAAAAATTACATAACGTTTACTATTATATCTATTATAAAAATATAATTATTATTTAATACTCCTCCGGTCCTTATTATAAGACCCAATTTGACTTTTTATTTGGTCCTAATTATAAGACCCAATCCATTTTCTCTCTTATATTTTTGCATTTTTTTCCAAGATAATCCTTCGAATAATGATAGTTTTAGCCAATATACTTAATTAGCAAGGATATTTTAGAATAACAACACTTATTTATTATAAATAACCAACTTAATTTACTTCCTTAATCTCCTCAAATAAGTCAATTGGGTCTTATAATTAGGACCGGAGGAGTAATATCTTTTTGTTTTTCTCTGAACCCACAAAATTAAATTTCATACGAAAGCAAGATCCGATGTTATACAAAGCTTGACTAGAATTTGAAAATGGGACCTGGGCACGAATGTTGCGGTTCCTAGAAGCATTCAGAATTCTCCATACGCTCCAAACATATGTAACTTACGGCCTCGGACTTGTCAACGGATCCGTTGCCGATGTCATGCTTCGATCATTAACTGTTTAATCGTCGATGTTATTCAATATGTGTCTATAAAAATCTCAAAACCCAACCATTTACAAGAGAAAATTATAATGTTTTTTAATGATTTTTTTTTCACATCTTGATTCTAGTGAGAATCGCGAACATGGACTTCGCACATATTAAATCGACGTAAAATAATCGATGCAAATTTAATATTGTTGTCGTTAGAATTATACGTAGAATATCTGAAACTCAATTGTGCAAGGAAAATAAAACAACAAACGTAACTGTGATGTGTTATTTATGAAAAATAAAAAGAAACTGAGGATTGCGGCGTTTTGGCATGAGTGGGAAGAAGCAGAAGATTGCGTTTGTTATTAAACCGCAGCAAAAATTCCAATCAACGACGTATTACGGCATAATTATATTTTGTTTGAAAACGTATACACATACATATGTATGTACGTATGTTGTGCACGTATACAAATGTCTGTCTTCAACGCAAAATAATAATGATGATTTTGAAATTAAACGCGTAAAAGGTGGGGTACGTAACCTGCATACGGAAACAAATGAGAATTGGATAAGCCTCTGACTGGGATAGATCAGATGGCAGTTATTAGGGAGGACAGTGAAAGGGGGGGGGGGGAGATGATGAGAGGAGCTGGCGAAAGATATTCAGATATCAAATACGGATTCGCAAGAGTAGATGGGGACGTTTATTGTTAAGGGCGGCAAGTTGTCTTATTTTAAAGTCTACACACACACACACACGAACCTCTTATCCCAATGCTATTTTCAGCTTTGGCTTACGGACCTTTATAATCCTAAGTACGCTCTCTCCCCGGATTTCCTTGTCTCGAAATTTATTTTTCCGAATGTAATCCAACATTATTTTATAATTAAATTATATTATCTCCGGTCTTTAATATAATAATTTGTTTGACTTTTATTTTGGTCCTAATTATAAAATTCTGATCCATTTTGTCTCTCATATTTATTCTTTTTTTTTTCAAGATAGTCCTTATAATAATAGTAGTTCTAACCAATAGATTTAATTAGCCATAATATTTTAAGAAAAATAATATATATTTATTATAAATAATTAACTTAACTAGATTTTTTAATCTATTTGAATTAATCAACTAACTAGCTTTTGTATTAAGAACCGGAAGTAGTACTACAAAATGGATTTTATAGCTGGGGATCTGAAAAAATACTAGAGATACTTCTATACACTCGATCCGTCATCATTATTTAGTTTGAAGAAATTATTTAAAAATTTGACACAAGCAATAGGCTCTATTAAATTGAATTCCTGCTTTCATGGACGTAGGCGCGTCCCCACTTGTTCCGCCCGCCTCCCGCCCGCCTCCGTATGTTATGCGGTGATCTCCCCAAATCAATAATTTGATTGAAGAAATATTACTCTTTTATTTTTAATATAAAATATATTTAACTAATTTGATTAGATTAAGAAAGTTATGTAAATTACTCATCCGGTTCTTAATATAAGACCCTTTTAATTAATTTGATTAGATTAAGAAAGTTAGGTAAGTTAGCTAATTATAAGAAATGTGACACGTTTTTTCTAAAATACCATAATCATCTTTCTTAATACCCCATCTTCCTCTTCTATCTGATTATGGTTGAGGGAGTATCTATAAGATTAATTTAGAGAAATTTAATAAATATAAGAAATGGGTCTTATATTTAGGACAAAAACTAACTCAACAATCGGGTTCTATATTAAGGACTAGAGAAGTAGTTAATTATAAAAAGCATGACATGTTTTTTCTATGATATTGTAATCATTTTCCTTAATATCATTTATCTCTCTCTTATTTGATTATGGTTAAGAGAATATCAATATGAGCAATATAAAAAAATTAATAATTATGAAAAATATGTCTTATATTTAAATCAAAATCAAATCAATAATTAAATTTTATATTGAGAAATGGAGGTGAAGTTCTGTTGTTTATAAGTTATAAATAATATTAATCTCAAATATTTTACCCAAATAAGTGAAACTTTTACTATAGCTGGAAAAAAAACTCATTATTTTTTAGATTTTATACTTAAAAAAAGGAAACTTTGGAGGTTTTTTTCCCCCTAAAAAAGAAGTGAATGTCGATGGAAATGGATGCAAAGATTGTAACTGTCATAAGAAAACAGGCTTTGAAGCAAGTGAAAATGAGAACGGACAAGGACGTCAAACATCATCGTACCTTGGAAATCCATACGTACGAGGAGGTTTATGTACGCTTAAAACAGGATATATGCGCCATTGCATGGCTTCGCCTTTATTATGTTACTAACAAAAAAAAATTTAAAAAAAAGGATTCCATCACTCTTTTTTCAGCAGCCTTGTGTACAGCAACTTGGTAAATAAAATGGCAACTGATTAATTATGCAGCAGGAGAAATTATTGCCTATTTTGACCGACGGGCACCACTGGATGGAAAGTATGCTGTGTCACTCTATGATCTTCAACGTCCTCTATGACAAACCTATCCCTCCCTCACTGTCTATTTGTCCTCCTTTAATTTGTCTTCATCATCTCTCTTAGCTTCCTTTAAATTTAGTGACACCATAAGCACAAGCTGCAGTGGTAGCTATAAGCTAAATAATACTCTATAAGTGAGCATCTATGGGCAAGTAATAAATATCAATTCAGAAACATGGAGGTGCAAGTACAATTAATGTTTGCTTGGTCAAACACTACACATGCAAGCTCAGAGGTGAATAATTGTACTCTTCATATTTTTCAAAGTTTCAATTACTTATGTTATACTTTTTCATCGCACTAATGTTCAATTATTTCAACGATTTAATTTCTTCCTTTTCAATCCGAATCACACAATTTTCAAATGCAGCCAAATCAATTTGATCATGACTTTCCCCCGGGGGGGGGGGGGACATGAGCTGAATGAAGATAGAGCATATTGCGAACATGAAGTAAACTTTCTATAGTACATCTAATAATCATCTAGTTCACTTCGCGATCATTACTAATTAACAAGTAGATGTATTTATTTATAAAAATTACAGCCATCAAATTATATTTGATTATTGTTTAAAATAGATTCACTTTTCCAAACCTAATATAACCTTAAATTCCTCGTTTTAATGGGAGAATTTGAATACTTTATCTATTTTGAAAATGAAGCCCGTGCTTGGTACCTAGGATTTGAAATGCAGGAAAAAGGCAGACAAAATTCAATAAAAAAAGGGGCTGGGCTAAAAATGTGTCTACTGGTTTGAAATAAATCATGAACTTCTCTCTTTTCTCTTGTTTGCTTTGGAAATTCTATAAAGCAATCAATTAGAAAGGGAAACGAAGGAGTCAAAGTCGTTAAATGACATAAACTAGAAGTAATCAATAATTTTTTTTAAAAATTATATTAGTTGAAATATAAGAATAAGTGTGTTTTTAGATAAAAATAAATAAATTAGATCTCCACGCACGACATACTAAAATTATAATAGCCACATAATTTAAAGAGTATTTAAAAATCATTCGCAGGTGCTCATTAGTTAATCTACCATCATAAAAATTCAAGTGTGAATTAATAGTTAGATTGAGAGATTAATAATAAAATCCTTTCCGATAACATGGGATACTTATTTAGAAGAAAAATATCATATCAGCAATTGAGGCATTCTGATTTGGGTCCAATCCCTACCGTTTGGACGGACATGGTGGTGGAATAAACATTTCCACAACGTTAAAGCAACGTGCAAGACTTATTTTCCGCGAGTGCCAACACAACATCAAACGTTCCGATTGACTTAGAGAGAGAGGGAGGGAGGGGGAGAGAGAATCATTATTATTATTATTTTTTTGATACAGAGAGAATCATTATTTTTAAAATATGTATTTTGAGGGTGGGGGAGGGAGCAGTAGGAGCCGGCAGGCGAAAACAGCATAAGTGAGGGGCGAGATTCAAGAATAAGACCGACCCAAAGAAGCGGACTCAAGTCAAGACCCAATCGAGATTATTATTATAAAATAAATTAATATTTCTATTAGACAAAAATCCGCTGTTGGAACAGCCCACTGGAATTCCAAGCATGGCCCCTGGTTTTCACTCTCTCAAACCAACTCTCTCTCTCTTTCAGCTAATCTCTCTTCTTCTCCCTCTTTTATATCTCTACCTCTTCATTCTCTTTCTTCACCCATCGCCTTCACATATTTCCCAATTCCATTTTCACATCTTACTTCTTTTACCCCTCCACCTATATCTCCATACATCCCTCTTACAAAGTCTGCCCCTGGCCCCTTTCTCACTCTTTTTCTTCCTACTATTTCCCGGTATTTGGGGTTTTATGGTCTCACTGCAGTTTTTCGCAGTTTTCTGGCACCCTCTTTTTCTTTTACCGAATTCTCTATGGTCCCTTGTTCTATAATCTCTTAGCAGAGCCCTGGAAGTAGAAGCATTTCGCGGTGACATTGATCCTGGTGTCTCCTTGTTTCGATGTTCGTATCGTAATTCTGCATTAAAGTGGTAGTAAGATTGGTTTTTCTGCTGAATTTGAATTGAATGGGGATTGGGAGGAGGGTGGCTGATAAGAAAGACAAAAACTTCTCTGAATTACCCGAAGAGACGAATACCAACAGCAAATCAAAGAAGAACCGGCGACGTCAGAAGACGTCGCCGGTTCAAAAACTCTACAAGACATGCAAAGAAGTGTTTGCCTCTGGTGGCACTGGGATTGTTCCGCCCCCTCAAGACATTGAGAAGCTGCGGTCTGTTTTAGGTATGTACCTTAATTATTTATATAAAATTATGGTCTCCAATATATTGTATACTATTACTGCCTAGTTTTCCTAACTAGGGATGCTAGTAATGTGAAAACCAGATCGAAATGAAGCTCTTTGTGCGATTTTTCTCTGGTTGGTGAATCAACATGTGAATTCGACTTTATTTTTCCCTTTCCCGTGGAAATATTAATCATTTGGTTTGTTTGCTCCTAGGACTGGACGTTCTTGGGGAAGTTAAGCTAAATATCCAATTTAATTAGAATTTCAATTGTAGTTCCACTGTTGCGAATTTGTGGATATTGCTTCAATTTTACCTTTTGCACCAATATTATCGATTACCTAGTAAATTCTTTAAATTATTTCGATTTGTGGGGTGTAACTCTTGGTTTTGATGTACTATGTTTGCGCCCCTAGGCATTGGACATGCCTCTGTGTCTACTGTCTAAAATCCACGCATCCATCCAATTGTTCCAAGATGTTCAACTAGCAAATAAAAAATTGTTGTTATCATGCGCTTCTTATTACCAAGTACAGTGTAGGTCTTAGCTTGCGGTGTAGTGCCTAGTTCGTGTAATAATATGAAATTTGGATAGGAAATCAAGCACAAAACATTCAATGATGACATCAAATAGAATACCTTGCCATCTCTCTTTGCTTATCTTATCGCTGACTTGTACAGCGATAATTTGGATTAGATATGCCCAAAACTGAGGATCCTTTCGTTATCAGTTAACCCAAAAAATTATCTCATTAGGGTTATGAAGTCCCTATTATCATTTCAATCACTGTCAATCGACCAACTTAACAGAAGACTGTAATTTTTTAGGGTGAAATCGTCTTTTGCGGTAGGCATAATACCCTGGAGGTTAGGACAATGTTTCAAACTCAACAACTGCGAGTAGTTAGGACATAGCTGTCAAAATATCTGAACCTGCAAAATGTGGTGAATTGTTTTATAGGAAACCATTGGAATCCACAGACGGATAGTGGCAGGCCTTGACCTCATCGCCTTTTTATTTTTCAGTTTTTCATTTCGGGGCTGACTTGACTCGTCTCCTTTGCAGCAGCAATAGTACTGAGAACCCTTCTTCCAATTTTTGTTTCCACTTGTCAGTTGTCTTCCTGGGTTTTACTTGCTGATAGAAACCATGCGACTTTGCCCTCTTCTATGCAGATGCAATTACACCAGAAGATGTTGGCTTGGAGCCTGATATGCCATATTTCAGGACAAATGGCACCCAAAGATTCCCAAGAATTACGTACCTGCATATCTTTGAATGTCCAAATTTCTCGGTAAACAAGATCTTGAACTGGTAATTTGACAGTTTATAGGGAGGCATGCTATGCCGTTGATTGTAACTGTATTTCTACATTGGATGCAGATGGGAATATTTTGCTTGCCGCCTTCTGGTGTTATTCCTCTTCATAATCACCCTGGCATGACGGTTTTCAGTAAACTACTTTTTGGGACCATGCACATCAAATCATATGATTGGGTGGTTGACTTGCCCCCTCGAACTCCCACCAGTCTCGAACCACCGGAAAGTGAGTATTCATTTTTCTTAAAAATAATATTGACCTGTTTCACTGTTTCTAAGTTATTTTGGTCTTGTACATATGCTTTCTTCAATTCTGCACTGTATAAGCATATAGCTAATGAGTTGTATTTGGGGATATGCCATTTTTCTGCCTGATATTCTGGCAGAGATGTGAAACAGAGGGTTTGAATTAAGGATAACATAAAATACAAATGGAAACTGTCTTTTGTTCCCTCTATATCTTCTGTCTCTCTAAAATGGTTCTGTTGTGAATACTTTTACGATTTATCTGGAGCATCATTGAGCGTTGGCATCCACTTGTAGAGCATCCTATAGGGGGGAAAGGCAAAAGTTAAAAAAAAGGAAAAAAAAGGTTAGGTGCAGTTATGCAGTTTTTGCATTTTGTACGTTTTGTTATCAGGTTCTCTAATAAAAACATGACAACTAAGTAGCTTTTACAATTTAAAATCATATCGTTGTGTCTTTTAGGAGTTTCGTCTACATGTTATAAGTTCATTGGAAAACCTCATCGCTAAAATGTAAGGAACTGTTGTTAAATCTTGTCTAAACGACATGCAAGCACTGTCAACAAGCATCACAGACAAAACTTGTTGCATGAGTGTTATTATGTATTTTATTTGGCAATCCCATCAGAATGCTCTAATTTGAGTTTGGTTTCACCGGTTGCAAATTCCTTTAGATTCAGAACATAGTCTGACTTAATCTTGAGCCATGTGTAGCTCCCTGTTGCACATCAATGCTTTCTTGGATTAAAGTATTATTTGTGCATTTAAAAGCTAAATTCAAGATGTTTGGTTTTTTTTTTAAAAAAAAAAGAAAAAGAAAAAAAATTCCATCACCTTCAGTTTTGTACATGAAGATAATCTTTTCTCAGACTTCTGTTATGTGTGGAGAAGCTTGAGTGGCATGGTAATATTTTGATGGAGTGGGCCTTGTTGGTCATGCTTTTGCAATCTTAAATCTCTTCTGCAAGTAAAATTTTTCTCTCTCTACTATGAACCAAACAAAAAGTAAAAAAGAGACTAATATGCGTATTCCAATTATGCAGTTCAGAGTTCAGAAGTGCGGTTGGCTAAAGTGAAGGTTGATGCTGATTTCACTGCTCCTTGCAGCCCCTCCATCCTTTATCCCGCCGATGGAGGAAACATGCATTGCTTCACGGCAGTGACAGCATGCGCAGTTCTTGATGTTCTTGGCCCTCCATACTCCGACCCTGATGGCAGGCACTGCACTTACTACCTTAATTATCCCTTTTCCAACTTTTCAGGTATTATGCCACTAGCTTGTTACTTTCTCATCAAGTCCACCCCTCAAATTGGTGGTATGCTATTATATTGATTTCTCTTGATATTTTATTTTTTTGAAGCTTCAGTAGACGGAATATGCATAGCAGAAGAGGAAAATAAGTCTTATGAGTGGCTTCAAGAGAGGGAGAAACCTGAGAATTTAGAAGTAGTTGGAACCATGTATGGAGGTCCAGAGATTGTGGAAGGCTAATCTGACGCCATATGTCACTCATCTGAGCCTTATCTGAATCGGCGGTGAAAGTTAGGCTGATCCTTGTTCATGTCTTGTTCCCCCACCTTTTAGTTTTAATTTTTCAGATCTTGATGGAACGTGAGGCACCTGGGGACGTTTTCAGCCGACAAATTTGTTAATCATTAATGTACAGATGATGAAAACAGGAAATGATAAAAAAGAGATATACAGCACCGGAAATTGATATTGGCATGAAGGTGCAGTGGCCTTGATGTCTGAAATTGAGCTGTTGAGTTCACTTAGCCTTCCTTGGGGTGATTTAGAGATAATAAACAATGGATGTTTTATTAATCAGGATTAAATATGATTCAGCTTCTGTTTCGCACCCTATTCTTGGGCTATTTTAATGTCCATTATTTCCTATGGTGGTGCCATTCCTTTCCCTGGGCGTGCTGCTTTTCAGGGATCCTCTACATCCAGAGTTGTTAATATTTTATGGAAGTTTCGTCGGGCCAAAAAGAAAAAAAAAATTTTCACATTGTACAATTCCGGTGTCCCCCGAAGGATCTGAATTCTAAACTATGTGGTACGCAAGTACCATTCACGCGCTGTCCCTGTCTTGTATCAACCTATGGACACGTGGTCGGTTGGGTAGTAATATTTCCCGGGGGACCAACCTCTTGGCTCTCTCTCTCAAGGGCCAAGGCTTTGTGGATTTTATGGCAAAAGGAAAAGAAATAGTAAGAAAATAAACGGGTATGTTTCCCTTGCGTTATCGAGAAGAATAAAAGAAGAGTCGGTGCCTGCATCGTCTTCATCGGTGTTAATTATTTCGACATGAACTTAATGAAGACATACCGTTACGAAATATTGAAATTAAGGATGCTTGTATTTTGAGCAATACTGCAGTAAGGTTGAGCCGAGGTTAATTATGTGCATGGTTGAGTTATAACCCGTCCGCATGCACGTCATGTACATTGCATACTTAACTGCAGTTGCTGATATGGCACCAGGAATCTGCATCGATCTTATAGTCATGATCATGATAAGTATTTGGGAGAATGTAAAAAGAGATTTGTCTAAACATTGAAACAAAATGTTACTTTTGAAACGAGAGAGATAAAGAGAAAAAATGAGGCAGGAGTTTAAGAGAAATTAGATCTATGTCCGTGCTGGTCAGTGCTCACTTCTCATTATCCACGGTGTCATTGAAAGCTCTTAATGTCGGTAGATGCCAAATTTAGTAATTCAGATTTCATATAAATATATGGGACAAGTATATTTGTTCTGGAGTTGGTGCTGTCTGATATGTGACATTGACACTTCGCAGCAGCCGATAGATGGATGGAACAATGAAACATGCACGTTGGATTGGATCTCTCAGAAGGGTTTCTCATGTTCATTAATTAGCTTGTTTATTTCATTTTGGGTCGGAACCGTTTACTACGTTTTGGGCCTATGGGTATTTTCAGATTTTCTTTTTTTTTGGGGCAATACATTTCACAGCTCACAACCCACGACAACAATTTGTTCTTCCCTGTCACCAGCTATTGAATAATACGTAGGCTGGAGAAAGGTAGTTGAGAACCTTATCAGAGATTTTAATACCATCGTAATACCATGATGCTCCAAATTTAATTTTAGTTTTCCCTCTGAGGGAAAAAAGTAACGATGTGTAGTCTAAAACAATGATTATGTACTACGTTTCTTTGCGGTGAGTCAATGATTGATGCCAACTTCAGGCGTACATTGCAGCGGTAAGAAAAGTTTCGTACGTTCACGCAGAAGCTAATTATGCAAGGTGAATAATATGGAGGCTCTTGAAAAGTATTATCTACAACGTTTGAAACCTCTTGTTATTATAAATAATTTTTTGATACAAAGAAATTAAAGCGAGAAGTGAATCGTCAGCATACTTTTGCTGTTTTAAGTATTAAAGATCACTTCTTCAGTTTCCGTATTAGTGGTATCTTTGTCATAAATCTCAGCAGGCGATTTTCCATTTTAGTAAATAACTTCAAAATATACAGTAGTTATTACTAGTAATCATAATAGTACAATTAATGAGCTTAATATAAAGCCAACTGTTATATTAATTACCCTCATCAATTGAGCCGTACCATTGGATCTTATCACATCTAATTAACAAAAATATAAAGTGGGAAGTCTGATACAGGAGAACGTTAGTCATTAATTAGAAGGGCATGCGTAATGGCCATAGCACATGTTTATAGCATAGCTAGTCACTTAATTCAAAGGCTAATCCTAAAAAAACCATTGACCTACTTCACTAAACAAAACCTCAACTTGGTTACTTGCCCCCAAAAGTCTCTGCCTCCACAATTAACAATCACACAAAAATCATAAGGTCTCTATAGACTGACGCAATTCGACCACCAAAAGATAAAAAAAAGAACTAATTATCTCTCCTCTCTCGTCATTAAATATTTAATTGTTCTGTGAATTATTAAACACAAGTTCTTGTTGATTACGTAAGCCGTGCAACCTCTTCAAGCTTTGCAGAATAATTAATTAAGTCGCAATAAAACACGAAGAGGTTAATTAGATATAGTAAGGCCATAGATGTATAGGTAATGCATATTTACTTTTATACGCCACAGAAAGACGACTAGCTAGCGTGCTAACAGCTAACCGGATAGACTGAAAAATATTTTCAGTACGTAAACGCTTTGAATAATAAGACCGCTTCAACGTAAATTAATTGAACACATTATCAAAGAAAGGTGAAATTAATATTATGACTGGAACCCGAATCTGTAAGGCATGAGGTCCAAAGAGGCGTCGCCAAACTTAGAGGTTAATTAATATGACTCTTATATGCCATGGATCAGATTTTGACAAACAATCAATTCCAAAGGCCAATATATATATATATATATATATATATATTTATATATAAGTGAATATAAATCACGGGGTTGGGATCAGATTGCTTATATTTAATCTCTGATTTAAAACCTCGGGTTATTACTTAGTGGCCAAGTGATTTAAGTGTAAAGGGGATCATCACTCTTCACACAGTCATGTATCTAAAGAATTAAATATATGTGTAAGTATATAATGTTCATAGTTAATGACCCTTTATATTGACACCGTCGTAGGTTTTTTTTTTTTTAAATCCAAGTGACGACTTTCAAGAATCCAAAGAGTATTTTAATTTTTTAAACAATTGCTTATAGCTTTCAAATGGATGAGATTGTTATATAGTACTCAGATCCCGAGGCATATATTTTGTATGCCAGTGAGAGACGTATCATTTTTAATTAATTGGATTCTGCGATTCAGATGCTTGAAATTTCTTAATATTGAGGTACTTGTATCAAACAATTGGTCTTTAGCCATCCAAGTTTGCATTGTTTGCGACCGAATTCATGTTTGGCACACCTAACTGAAAAGGTTGGAATTTGTAGAACTCATCAAATTTGATGACTTGGACCATCAGTGTGAAAACTTAAAACTAGTAGTTTATAAGCGATCCTTGCTTTGCAACTGAGAATTTGAGAATTTTTTAGACATTCTCTTTCGAAACCAACGATTTAGGTCACTTGATAAGTACCACAACCTTATCGTATTAATATTATATACCATTCTTTTCCATAAGTTATATGTTTAATGCTCAGTAAACTTCTCACGTTAACGGCGCGTTAGCTATTCATACCTAATTCAAATGCAAATGGTTTAGTGTCTAACTTAAAAGATATATAAGAGGAACCATGAGAGGAGACTTGTGAACAATTTTAATATGATCTCTAACAATATAATAAATTCCTTTTTACACGTAGAGAGATAGAGAATCTTGATTTTATGTATCAATAACTGAATAAACAAGGACTTCTATTAATTAAGAAATTAAATCAAGTCAATGGGAGTGTACAGCAGTGCAAGTGCAAGGGAGCATGCAAGAGGCGTATGGACCGCAGAGCTGAGAGAGCCAAACAAGGCTTCACCATTGACAAAGACGTACGTACAGATCACAGAAGAGTTCAGTCGCCGCCATGGCCAACCCATTACATATTGCTACTTTGACTCTTCAGCCATGTGACGTCCTCTCATCTATACGAAGCTCCAACTACTATTGTATACTAAGTAATTACATATACAATTTGCACTCTCTCTCTCTCTCTCTCACGATGAATGATGGCTTAGATTTCTGAGATATAATTATTTTATTCTTTCAAATATACAAAGACAGGAATGAGCTTGGCAGAAATGTTGACCTTTCAGAGTCGTGGCTGCGTAATGGGAGGAAGATGAGCACTCGGATCTGTATTGATTTATATCCTTAGCTTATGAGTTATAGTTGATTGGTTTGTGAGGGGCTATATATACAAATATGGCTATAGTATGGATTGTATTAACGAGGTAAAAGAAAAGGTCAGCCTCTGAAATGTCAGTGGAGACCACGGCAAACATGTGTGGTCCTCGTAGTCTAGAGACTGGCGAGAAGAAAACAATTTCCATTTGCCTCGAAGAAGATCGCTGTGTTCAAGAGGTTAGGAACTACAATCCTGTCTATTTTCTGTAATCTTTTCTTCTTTAGGAATTCCTGTTGGTTTTATGATTTTTTTATCCTGACTTTAACCTCAAGTGTTATCAAAATGTGTACTTTGTGAGAGATAAAACTGCATAACCTGCTTCTCATGCAGATTTCAACCATCGTCAAAATGCTTATCAGGGTGTGCATTTAGATATGGATCTTGTATCAACAGGGTTGTATAAGTATTCATGATAGTAAGGTTTAGTTGAATTTTATTTTATATACAAAGAACACTGCTTAGATGACAACGCAGACTTATAGATCAGGTATCATACAACAACCTAAATTTTGTCGGTAACTAAAATACTGTGGGAACTTCAGTTTATCTTGAGGTGGCGGAACAAGTGCTGCACAATTCATATACTTTGAATGATCCATAAGCGTTCACTCTGATCAGGGGCAACCAAACAGTAGTTTAACATAAATTGAATACGGCCCACGGCTTTTCTTATATATTAAAGCAATCATTCAGGAATTCAGGTCAAAAGCTAATTGGTTGTATGTTGTTATTGATTTTCCAATGAAGAAAGATGAAATCAAGTCTGCTAAAGAAGAGATGGGTGGGGTCAAAGAAGAAAATGAAGAACGGTTGGACATGATGCTGGACCAAGTGGGAAAGGATTACCAGTCCCTCCAAATGCGTTTCTTTGACATCTTGCGCAGAGAAGCTTCTGAAAAAGGCAAAGCAGATTCAGCTGATTCCCATGATGAAACTGAAGAGCCTGAGCTCGTGTCACTTTGCCTGGGAAGAGGTCCAAGGGACCCCAAAAAAGATACAAGAATCGGAAACACTACTAAACCTAAAGAAAGTGAAGATTTGGCGGCTCGCCTTACCCTCAGATTAGACTGCAATTGTGAAACGTCAACGGAAATGGTGTCTGATCAGAGCCCAGGAAACAGCTCAGGAGAAACAAAGGAAGCAGAAATGGGGGGAACATGGCAATCAAATAAATCTGTCAAGGCCAAAAGTGGAGAAGATGAAATTTCAGAGCAGATACCAGCTAAGAGAGCGAGGGTTTCTGTGAGAGCAAGATGTGACACCCCCACGGTTTGTATTTGTTAAGGTTTATATTTGCAGGTTTTACCTATTTAAAAGTTAACTTTGATGAATTTCTTGTTTAGTGTTTTCATGTCTAATGGCAATTGAAATGGCTTCATAAACAGATGAGTGATGGATGCCAGTGGAGAAAATATGGACAGAAGCTAGCCAAAGGGAATCCTTGTCCACGTGCATACTATCGCTGCACGGTTGCACCAGCATGTCCAGTCAGAAAGCAGGTAAGCATTATAATGCACTACATAAATTTGAAAGTCTTTTCAGAGAGATAGAATACAGATATTTCCACAAACTAGTTTCAGATTAGAGTAACCCTAATGAAATGCCTGGCTTCAATCAGGTGCAAAGATGTGCTGAGGACATGTCCATCTTAATCACTACATATGAAGGGACCCACAACCACCCACTTTCAGTTTCAGCCACAGCCATGGCTTCCACCACTTCAGCTGCTGCTTCCATGCTATTGTCAGGTTCCTCAACATCTCAGCCTGCAGATAACAGTTTTGCATCATTTACAAATGCTCCCACACTCCTTAATGGCCTAAACGTTGGACATTTTGATCCATCAAAAGCAAAACAGGTCTTCTTGCCCAACCCTGCCCCACCTTTGTTCCCCACAATCACTCTAGACTTAACTTCTGCTTCCTCCTCATCAACCCATGTCAATAATCGTCCCCCTTCAAACTTTGCTTTAAACCCAAGATTTCCTCCAACAAGTCTAAGTTTTTGCTCAAAGGAGCCAAACATTCAACAAGCAGCATTGGGTAGTGGAATCCTTCATCATGCGAAAACCCACGTGAGGTCAGTTGACCTGTTAAATCAATTTCATGAACAGTTCCATCAAAACTGCATGCAAAACCAAGCTCCTTCACGAGAGGCTTTAGCAGAAACCTTAACCAAAGCAATCAGTACGGATCCAAGACTTCGATCAGTAATAGCTGCAGCAGTTTCATCCATAATGGGTCAAGGATCCACCAGTGTGAATCAGCCAGGGGAAGGGGAAATTTCAGGGTTAGGGTTGAACTTGAAACTAGGAGAACATTCTCGGTTTGCTTCTTCCAATCCGTTGACCCAAAATGGGAAAGGATGCTTGCCAGGTTACTTCAACAGACTGTCATCAAATTCCTATGTTGAAAACTTCTTGCCTCTCCAACCTCCAGTTCCATTTTCTGTCTCTAAGAGAAGCGTGCCTCCTGCCATTAGTGATCAGGTCAATCGTTAAGTTCTCAAGAACAACTCACAGCTTTAGATTCTCTTTCTTAACCGTGTATGTAGTTCAAGCGCAATTCTGCTAAACTCAAGGAGGGGAAGCTGTCCTCTGAAATTACCTTTTATACTATCATTTAAAAGAATCTCTAAATAAAAATAGCGAGTGAGATACAAAAGATGAAAATCAGAGGCTGAAGAACAGCAGGAAATGAATCTTGTCGTCTGACACTGAGCGGATTTAAATTCCCTGCTATGCCTAGATCCATGTAATACTCAAGTACAGTGTAAAAATATGTCATTTTTATATTTTTATTTTACTCATAATAGATTCCCCCACCCTTCTCAATATGCTACATTCGAACACTTCATCAAATCCGAGTATTTCACGGAATCCAAATCCAATTAGGGGTACTAATAACTTGGAAGAATCCATGACTCTCTAACAATATATGTCGTTGGGTGCATTTTATGATTTACATTATTGTAATAAAATCTCCGGGAAAAAAAAAGATTATTGTAAAATCAATGAACGGAATTATGCAATGGACAGCATTCCGCTGGCTCGTAGAAGTAACGACACCCCGCCTTATTGCGGTTTCTGCTTTTTGAAAGTGAAGAGTACAGTTTGAATGATAAAATGCCCCTTGCTTAACTATTGATCGAAGAAAATTCAAAGATACAGCGACCATGCTTTTTCTCACAAAATAACAGCAAGATCCCACGTGTTTGCGATAGATTTTGGACGTAACTGGTTCCATTTCTAAACGTAAAGACAGATCACAAATCATAAAGTGAGAAACAAATTAGAGAGCGTACTTGAATTGCCGAACCAACAAAAAAATGAGAAGATAAAAAAAAATAAGATGACAAAATAAGAAGCAAAACCGAATAACTTGCATTGCACTAGTGTAAAGCAACAACCACAACAGAAACCGCATAATTAGGAAAAAGAATGTCATATTTATTAAGGGATTTTTCTTTCAAAATTGTCACTACATATCAAGCTGAGTGGCCCTCATGAGCACCTGTATTATGTACAACAGATTGCCGCAACAATGAACTATAAGACAACAATTCTCTGTCTCCTAACCCTATCACTTCCGGAAAGAAATCAGTCTTTGATATCCAGATCCCATAAATAAACAATACACAAATTAACACCAGTTCAAATATAATAAAGAAATTTAGAAACATTATCAACAAATATTAAACAGCTACTTAGGCGCCTCCCTTGCAACGAGCTTACTGCTTTCACTGTTTTTTTTATTCTTTTACGCAGCCCCCTGTCCTTTGTATTGTCGTAGAGTTATGTCAGGGCATTGAAATCCCAAACCTACTGAACAGAAACAGGAGTAAAATGGGGGGAGAAATTTTAGTTACTTAATAACATGATTATCAGAATGCCTGTCAATTTTCATGAAGTTCCAAGCATAATTATACAACTTGGAAGGTGGGACCATGTAATCCAACCAACAACTTCTAAACAGAAACTTAATAAACGAATTAAATAAGCCTAACGCTTGTTTTGAATTGCTTTTGTGCTAGATGCTCAATGATGATGAATCACACACGAAACCTTCATCTATATACAAAAGGCGCAAAGGAATAAAGTAATTAGTTCCTGGCTTGCTACCTATAATTCCGTGGGGAAAAAAAAAAATTCATACAAAGCCAACAGTTATGGCCTAGCCTCAAAATATTACGTTAGAATTCAGAGTCGTTTAGTCTCAAACATTGTGTTGGTTGAGTTATAACTTCTCAAGATGCACTGTAATTCCATTGGAGTGCAAAAGGGAAAGTACAAGTCCTTACCAATTTCTAACATGCTATCGGTTTCTGACATGGCTGTTATGAAACTTTCAATAATTCATGGAATGCCTCTTGCGGTATATCAACAGAACCAACTCGTTTCATTCTCTTCTTTCCTTCTTTTTGTTTCTCCAATAGCTTCCTTTTCCGAGTAACATCACCGCCATAACATTTGGCAAGGACATTTTTCCTCATTGCTGAAATCCTAAAATATTGTAAAGAGCGTCAGCAGAGCAGAAAGAGAAAAGTCACTTCAATCTCCCAAGGCATGAGAATCAATGACTTGATCCTCCATCCTATCCTTTAGTTAAAAAGGCTCAGAATCCATTTGCTTAACAGCTACTGAATATAAAAAGATTTATAGATGGCGGAATCTTGATCAATCTTAATAATTGCGTAACAAAAGCACACAGCTCCATACCAACCCCTCTACTGAATCAGTCACTCGCAAAGACACATTAGCATAACAGAAACTTACGTCTCCCTTGCTATAACTTTTGACCCAATAGCAGCTTGTATGGTTATCTCAAACATTTGTCTGCACAAAATTTAGAAAACATTGCTGTTAATAAGGCCAGAGCAGAAGTTTGAAACTAATACTCTCTTTGGATGCAAAACGAATACCTGTCTATAACTTTCTTCAACTTCTCCACCAGTTCACGCCCTACTCTATATGCTTTCAACTTATGAACAATGGTTGCCATTGCATCAACGGGTTGTCCATTCAAGAGAATGTCAAGTTTCACCAAATCAGATTGCTGATAACTGCAATAAAACCCGTCAAATGCATCATAAAGGAGGAAACATGCCATACCAAATTTAATTTCACTTGCCTATATTATTTGATTACACAGGACAGCCAATAAATACATAAAGATAATTTACAGATTAGAACACTCCTTTCCATCAGTTGTTGTAGGCGTTTTACACTTTTTTAGATTAACAAGCATCACATTACAGCATGTCATCATTGTATAGGAGCAGATAGGAACAATGCACAATATTAATCATGCCAAATAAAACACAGGGAAAAAGAAACAGGTTCTTACTCCGCATCCTCATAATCAAATGAAGCATAGCCTGATGTTAGACTTTTTAATTCATTGTAAAAGTCAACAACAATTTCCCTCAAAGGCAAGCGATACTTCATGAATGCCCTTTGACTGCAGAAGTGAAATTTAAATCATCACAGCTTCAGCCACAGATAAGGCGGTCAAGTACGCACTAAAGTCACAAAATTTCAAGAAAAAGAAAAATGAAAAAATTGCGTAACATCTTTCCCTTATTAATGGCAGCCGTAGAAACACACACACACCAACACTCACACACACACACACACACACACACAGAGACCTGTCAATGAATGAGTACTCCAATTGCTGGCCTCTTCTCTCAGAGCAAAGGGTAATAACAGACCCCACATACCTTTGATCAGCAACAAATAAGATAGTAAATATGAGCTTTGTTAGCATCAAATAAACTTTCTCCAGGGTTTGCAAGAGCTTACTGACTAGGAATAATAATTGTAGCTATCACTGTTGGTTCCCAGCATGCTGTCACTCGTTGCTTGGGATTAGAGGGTAACGCAGCAGGATTCTCAACTTGCAATTTGCTGGAAAAGCACAGCAATTATATTAGTAAACAACAGAGGGAATTTAGCCTGACATACCCAACTTTATTACCTACCTTCCATCCGAATACTCAAATATATATGGTACAGTTGGAACGGTTGAGATAACATGAGCTCCGTACTCCTGTTAGTTCACAATAAAAGGCTTTATCAGCATAGCAAGAAATGGCGCAAACAAATTAATGCTTATTGAGAAAACCAACCACCAATGCGGATTCATAGCCAGGTGAGTTGCAGGACAAGTCACATTGACAATGTGTGGAGCACAACCAATAGAGGAATTTGCCCGTTTCATTTCATAAGAGAAATATTGACCATCAGCCTGTAATTATTATTTGGATTCCATAAGAAGACATGTTGTTACCTGTTCAAGCCGCTGATGAAAAACATCCATGTGTAGCAAGCCTAAGAAACCACACCTGCTTTTAGATCAGCAGAAACATGAGAAAATCATCCCACTCAAAGCCAACTACAAGCATATTATAGTAGAAAAATAGTCTCCATTCTTTCAAAAGTAGATACTAGACCTGAATCCCAGACCTAGGGCTGTGCTACTTTCTTTGGTAATAGAGACGCTAGCATCGTTACATGTTAGTCTCTCTATTGCATGATTGAGGGCTTCAAAATCAGATCCATCCGCCGGATAAAGACCAGAGAATACCATATGTTTTGCTGGCTTAAAGCCTACAGTTTGGAAGCATCGAATCTATATTTAAAATAAAGACATTTTGGATAAGGAAGACAAAGGTACAAACCAAAACAAACTATAAGTGATAATGTTGGCACAGATACGGGCTGTAACAAAACTAATGTCACATTTATTTGATTGCTCATGCATTTTTAAAAAAGAAAAAAAGTTTTCAAAAGAATAAAATGCACTTGGGTCAGTTCCAGTAACTTAGAAGTTCCAAGTTTATGATATGCCTGCAACGAATAACAAGAAATTCTTGGTGGTAATGAGGAGTAAGAATAGCCGGCATGCATGGAACTCACAACCCACCATCTGAACCGGCAGATAATGAATTTATATATAGTTCCTTCATCAGAAAGTTGTCAACTAATGTCGGAAGATGGAAGATAAAGCATGGTAGCTGTACCTGGAAGAGGCTCTATGGTGCTTCGAGTATGGAAAAGTGTATCTCCAACGCGCGCATCTTTGGTTGAACGCATGCCACTAACAACATAACCAACTTGTCCAGTAAGCAGGATTCCAGTAGATTTGAGTTCAGGATGCATGATGCCTACATCCAAAGCTTCATAAGCCTGTCCAGTTGCAGCAGATGAAATTTTATCCCCCTTGCGCAGGGCACCATCAACAACGGCAACATGGCATATTACCCCTTTGTATTCATCATAATAAGAATCGAGCAAAAGCATGCGCAGGGGAGAACCACTCTTCCCAGGAGGTGGAGGCATGCGCTCTATGACAGCAGGAAGGACTTGCTCAAGACCCTGTCCTGTTTTAGCAGATGTTAAAAGTGCGTCACTCGGGTCAAGATCAAACATTGATTTTAGTTGCGCTTTAACACCATCAGGATCAGCAGTCGGCTGATCTATTTTGTTTATGACAGGAATAATTGTTAGGTTGGATTCAAAAGCAAGATAAAAATTAGCAACAGTTTGCGCTTGCACTCCTTGAGCAGCATCAACAACTAAAAGAACACCCTGACAAGCAGCCAGTGACCTCGACACTTCATAACTGAAGTCTACGTGCCCGGGAGTATCAATAAGATTTAGCAGAAAGTTAGCTGGACCTTGGTCGTCACTACATGTGGCTTCCTGAGTGCTGTGCTTGTAGAACATTGTTGCTGTCTGGGCTTTAACTGTGATACCCCTTTCTCTTTCTACCTATGACATTTCTAACTTCAGCATATAAGTGGCATTATGGAAGATGAGATTAAAAAAACAAGGAAAGTAGTTTCATCCATCAAAGTTACAGATTATTTCCCCAGTAATAAAAGGCATGTGGAACACTACTGCAAGGCAGATGTTAATAGATGACAAAGAGGCTGCTAATTCGAAGCAACAATTTTAGAGATGCCCTTTATGGTAAATGACGCTCTTATGTAATCTAGTACTGAAAAAAAGATGTTGCACTTTAGAGTACCTGCAACTTGTCAAGATACTGAGGCTGACCATGTCCCTTCTTGATAGTCCCTGTAAGCTCGAGCAGCCGATCAGCAAGAGTGGACTTGCCATGATCTATATGTGCAATTATAGAGAAGTTCCTAATTAGCTCTGGGGGGTATTGAGTCAAATCTATGCGACTGTTTTCTTTGCTGTTTTGGCGCGGTTGAGAACAGAACAATGCGCGGCTCAGAGCAAGGCGACGACAGATTAGTCTACTTTCTAAGTCCAATGATTTGCCTCCATAAATGGTCGACAATGGTGAGGAATTAAACCACAGGGACAAGTACCTAGCTTGTCCTAGCCTCTTCGAAGCTCTACTCAGGTAACCCATTTCAGGGTTTCAGGTTTCAGAACTGCTCGCTCAGAACAGAGGCGAGAGAGAACAGAACGAAGCCGCAAGCGACGTCGTTGGGGCATCTGATCTGAATTCTCAAGGGTCGTCAGTGGCTCGAGAAGGGACAGACATCCTACTTTATGGGCTTGAAGATTTCTTGACTGTGGATCCTAACATGCCAACAAATGACCCGTTAGTTGTTTAAGGCAGATCTGGGCCCAAAGGCCGCTGTTTCGTTGCTGATCAAACATTTCTGAGGCTCATGAGTTTGTCCCACTCTATTCCTGCTAGTAAGTCTGTTTTATGTTGACTTTGAATAACTCGAACGAAATCTAACCGACTTCATGCCTCCCTATTTCATGGTAATAATTTTTCGTAAGATCAAAAACCGGATTATATTTATCTTTAAGTTTTTTGGTCAGATACATTTATGTTTACTAAACGTTAAGAATTCATTTAAGGAAAAATTTTAGTTAGCCTCCCCTAAAAAGATTTAATCTCCAGATTTTGAAACTTCATTTTAACTCTTTTAACCAAAATAAAATTAAATGTTATAGCTGGTGGCCGGCCAGAGCGTCGGCTGCTGAAATGAAGTTTAGGTCAGAAGAACTGACATAGAGTTTCAGGATTTTGTGGGAACTAAAATTTTTGCTTAATTCAATTAATTTGTCCTACATATCAATATGGCAACGTATATAACGGATCACTCACAAATATGTAATTTTCATTCATTTTGGTCTACTTCATGAAGAAAATCATGAATCTAAACACTGATGTTATTACAAAGGGATTTCAATTTATATTTTACAATGAAAAGGCCCGAATTTATAGATCTTATGCTTTGAGAAAACAACAAAATGATACGAACCCATCACAACTCATCATAAAACTACCACTCATCAATAATACACTCTTTTATAAAGACTGCACTAAAATAAAAGCTAAAGCTTCCAACTCATGATTCACGCAACATAATGGATTCTCTTTTATAAAAAGAGACATAGAGGGAAAGTAGACGAAAATCACAAAATGAGAAATGAGCCAAAAGCTTTGATAGATAGCTGGCTCCCACTGTTCACGTTTATATATAGGGAAGCGGTACAGGGTAACCAATATACAAGAGCCACGTACTGATACAAGGACATATACAATACAATGGTGATAACTTTATTCTCATCCTACAGCAATGTCTACTATTATAAAATGATTTTATTCTCTGACTCTCTCCCTCAAACGAGACGGGGGGATACACAAACCAAGTTGGCGGCGAAAAGCAGAAAACTGAGGGAAAGTTAAAGCTTTGGTCAAACAGTCAGCTACTTGGCATGGTGAAGGAATATGTCGAACATCAAGTGCTTTCGCCAATACTTGATGCGAACAAAGTGAATATCGATTTCTATATGCTTTGTTCTCGCATGTTGGACTGGGTTTGCTGCTAAGGCATTTGCACTGAGATTATCACACCAAATAATCGGAGGATGCTTTAAGAAGAGACCCAGTTCAAATAATAAAGAGCATAGCCAGTTGACCTCTGCTGCAGAATCAGCCAAAGCACGGTACTTAGATTCAGTGCTTGATCTTGACACAACTCTCTGTTTTCTCGAAGCCCAATTTACCAAAGTATTGCCCAGATATATGCAGAAACCTGCCATAGACTTGCGATCATCCACATTTGTACCCCAATCTGCATCTGTAAAAGCTGTCAAATGTAGGTTCACAAATGGTTTAATGTGAAGTCCATAGTGATAAGTTCCCTTGAAATATCTAAGTATCCGTTTCACCCCCTAAAAATGAACATCCGTGGGTTTTGATAAAAACTGGCTAAGTTTATTAACTGAAAATGCAATGTCCGGACGAGTTGTTGTAAGCCATTGAAGTGCTCCAATTGCTTGCCGATATTTTGTAGCATCAGTGAGTGGTTCACCATCATAAATAGAAAATTGTCTTCCTGTGACCATTGGTGTAGTTACCGGTGCAGCATCAAGCATATTAAAACGCTTAAGAAGATCAAGAACATATTTAGCCTGATTAAGAAAAATGCCAGAACTATCTCGCACCACCTCAATACCCAAGAAATAATGCAAGGGACCCAAGTCTTTCAAAGAAAAGAGAGAATTTAGCCTATGCACAAAGGACCTTAAATAGGACGAATTATTCCCAGTAATCAAAATATCATCAACATAAATCAAAATGAATACTGTGAGTCTGTTAGTGCGAAGCATGAATAGGGACATATCACTTCGAGCATTCTTGAAACCCCACTGCAACAAAGTTGTTCTTAATCTCTCATACCAAGCCCGCGGAGCCTGTTTCAATCCATAAATCGCTTTGACGAGCTTACATACATGATCTGGTCTCTTAGGATCAACAAAACCCTCTGGTTGATGCATATACACATCTTCTTGAAGGAATCCATTAAGAAAAGCATTATTGATGTCCAACTGCCTTACTTCCCAATTAAAAGTGACAGCAATTGTAAGAACAACTCTAATGGTGGCTGTTTTAACTACCGGGCTGAAAGTTTCACTGAAATCAACACCAGGAGTTTGTTGAAAACCCTTGGCCACCAACCTGGCTTTGTGCTTCAACAGAGAGCTATCAGCATTGAATTTTGTCTTAAACACCCATCGGCAATCAATGATCTTTGAAGACCCATCATAGGGTACAAGATACCATGTTTGGTTTCGTTGGAGAGCTTCGAATTCACTCACCATAGCTTGTCTCCACTGAGGTGAAGCTAAGGCTTCAGGAATGCTATTGGGCTCAGCTACTTGAGTTAAGGACTTTGGATCTTCAAAAGATAAAAGCCCAACAAACGGGTATTTGGGCTTGAAAATACCACTCTTGGCTCTAGTGGTCATAGGATGCACATTAGTAATAGGTTGATCTGTGATGTTAGTGGGACCACTTGAAGAAGAGGAAGATGATAAAGAGTTGCTCCCCGATACAGAAGAAGAGACAGCTAGTTGTGCAGTGATATCATCACTCCTCAATAAATGTTGAGGTATGAAAGTGGCTGGTGAGCTCTGTCTTGGTGAGATAGTGGTGTGTGAGCTCTGTCTTGGTGAGGGAGGCAGCGTATCAGATTGCTCAGAGGATAAAGCTGCTGTAGAATGAGGCACGGAGTGAATGACTATGGGGACCACACGTACACTTTGAATCCCACTAGACTTGCGATTTAAAAAACCTGTTGCAAAGGGAAAAACTGAAGGATCAAAAACTACATGCCTTGAAATGTAAATCCGTCCAGTAGAGCTCAAGCACTTATACCCCTTTTGTTGAGAAGCATAGCCAAGAAACACACATTTTTGACTATGAAACTGAAACTTGTGATTATTATAAGGCTTAAGACAGGGATAACACGCACACCCAAATGGTTGCAAGGATTTATATTCTGGCTCTGTTTTGAAGAGTTTAAACAGAGGAGTGCTATTGTTGAGAACTGGTGTGGGGAGTCTGTTAATTAAAAATACAGCAGCTTGAAAAGCATCAACCCAGTATGTTAAAGGCATGTGAGCTTAAGCCAAAAGAGTTAAACTAGTTTCCACAATGTGCCGATGTTTGCGTTCAACATGGCCATTTTGTTGAGAAGTATATGGACAAGTGTATCTAAGATTAATTCCATGAGTTTGAGCAACATTAACGAAGGGCTTGTACTCTGTTCCCATGTCACATTGCAGGCTCTTAATTTTAGTTCCAAATTGATTCTCAACTAAAACTTTGAACTGATTGAAAGCATGTATTGCTTCTCCTTTGCTCTTTAGTGGATACAACCACATGTAACGGCTAAAATCATCAACAAAGTGAATATAAAAACGATGCCCTTGAACAGATTGAACAGGTGAGGGTCCCCAGAGATCAGTATGAATTAAATCAAGAGGAGTAGAAGCATGAGAGCTAGAATTAGGAAAAGGTAAATATTTAGATTTTCCATACTGACAGGCTTCACAAAAAAGTTTGTCTCTAGACTTGATTTTCACATTACAATCACTTAATATTTGTCTCAAAACTCTGTCACAAGGGTGTCCTAATTTATGATGCCATTCAACTAAATCAGAAAAACATGCTTCTGGAGCAAAAGATAGTGTAGCAGCAAAATGAGCTTGAGCTTGATCGTGATTATCATGCCTCATTGGATACATTCCTTGTCGTGGTTTCCCTTGAAGCAACACTTGTCCTGTCACTTTGTCCTTCACAATGCAGCCATGATCAGTAAACAAAACATCAACCATGTTATCTTCAATCAACTTATAAACACTCATTAATTTCTTAGTTGCAGTGGGAACTATCAGAATATCATTCAGCTTGAGTGAAGAAGGAGAACAAGGAATAGTAGTTGAACCAACAGCTTGGATTTGAGTTTTCTCACTAGTGCAAGTAAGAAGATGACACTTACCAGTTGGAAGAGTCTTATCTAAATGATCAGAAGATGGAGAAACATGGTAGTTAGCACCGCTATCCATATACCAAGCTAAATCAGAGACGGTACTTGGTGAAGCAAAATAAGCCTGAGGAGAAAAGGCCCCTGATGATGCATTTTCGAAGTCAGTTGGTGGCTGAAAGGAACGATCATAGCGATGGTAACAGTTTGCGACTAGATGACCAAAGCGACGACACAGGTGACAGTAGGGACGACCACCACTTACTCTCCGGAATGAGCGCCCACGACCGCGATTGTTGTTTTGAGTCCCTCGTCCACCACGCCATGAACCTCGACTAGCTTCAGGACGGTGATAATCTCGCTGTGCAACATTAACAGTAGGTTGAATAGTCAGAGATGAAAACTGATTGAGCTGTTCGATTCTGCTTTCAAAAGCTAACAACGAAGCTTGAGCATCAATCCATGTGAGTTTGGGTTGATCAATAAGTTTAACGACTATGGCATTATAGTCTGCATCAAGACCATTTAGAGCTTGAGCAATGAGATCTTCGGTGGAGACAGGGGAGCTGGCCAAAGCAAGCTGATCTGTGAGGTTCTTCAGTTTAGTCAGAAATTCGTCTATACGCAACCCATTTTTGCGTGTTCGCTGGAGCTCCGACTTGAGCGCCATGACTTTGGCTTTGGTTGATGCTGTCGCAAGAGCTTTAGCTCCATCCCAAAGCTCCTGAGCAATACGACAATGAAAAAGTTGTGCTTCTATCTCCATGCTCATTGTATTTCTAAGCCATCCAACAAGTAGTCAGTCAACAGCAGACCATTCTTCATAAGCAGGATTGAGTTTCACCTCAGCACCTTCTGGGATGAACTTCTGTGGAACAGGGCCGACTCCATTGACATGAGTTTCAAGTTTGTTCCCTTCAATAAAAGGTAGAATAATTGACTCCCAAAATAAATAGTTCTCTCGGTCCAACTTGACTGAGGTAGCTTGATTATGAAAGAGGGGATTAGTTTTGGAAACAGTATTGACAGTAATGGTGGTAGGTGTATCATTGGTTCTGGTGGAAACAGAGTCCGACATGTTTGGTGAAAAAGAAAGCCCCTGGCTCTGGTACCAAGAGGGAAAGTAGACGAAAATCACAAAATGAGAAATGAGCCAAAAGCTTTGATAGATAGCTGGCTCCCACTGTTCACGTTTATATATAGGGAAGCGGTACAGGGTAACCAATATACAAGAGCCACGTACTGATACAAGGACATATACAATACAACGGTGATAACTTTATTCTCATCCTACAGCAATGTCTACTATTATAAAATGATTTTATTCTCTAACTGACATAAAGATAAAACTAAAACTCATGACTCGTATAATAAGATAGAAAACCATTTACAACGTAATTTAATCAAGATAGGCAACCACTAATCTATCATTCCCTCCGAAGCTGGCCTTTATCTTTATGAATCACATGATCCCCATAGCACTGCATATCATTGCTAGATCAAGACAATGGAAGAGTTTGCCAGAATCTATCAAGTGTTCTAGAGATCTAACTCTCTATGAGCTCATTCAAGTAACATGTCATGAAGAACTTCTTCATAAGAGGCGACCTATCCAATTATCTCAACTGTTTCTTTTCTCATGTAACAACCCGGAACCAGTTTCGGTACTCATCACTTTCATGAGCACTATAAACTCATTAAATCTGGACTGTCTATATCTTATTTAGATAGTTCAGATTTAAAATCTTTAATTAATTATTTCTAAATAAAAAAATATTTTTTGAAAGAATGATAGTTAAGAAATTATCTCTATTTTAGATTATATACATATTAAAATAATTATTTTAAATAAATAAAAATAAAAAATAAATTAAATCTGAACCATCAAAATGAGACATAAACGGTTTAAATTTGAAGAGTTTGGGGTGATGAGTACCGAAACTAGTTTCGTAACAATCCCTACCCTATATTGCCCTGATGCAGTCATATGATGATGAACTTTCTGCTTAGATCACCAGCCATTGAATTCTTTAACAGAGAAAAGGAACTTTCAGAAATTAAAAGGAACCCAGAGTTTTTTCTTTATTTAAAAAAAAAAAAAAACAGTTTTCATACCAATATGTGACAGAGCCACTTACATAACTTTTTTATTTTTTTGGACCATCATTTACATGGCATGAAACACGTGGATTGCACCTCAACTTTTTCAAACTAAACTTAGGAACTAGCTAGAAACGTCTATCAGATGTACAAGCTGATTCGCAATTAAAATGCAGCAAAATATTACAAACCATGGTAAAAGTCATCTCAAAGCCTTTTTTTTAATCCTAGATCGATTTTCCCCTCAGAGATGTTGAGGAAGCAATGAATCATAGACTCATCAATCCCGACTTGCCGTTCTTTTGCCACTTGACAAAACGTCGCTGGCACACAATAAGAACAGAGTGCGTGAGATATATAGATCGCATCGGCTTGCGTCATACACACATTCATTCATATTTCATACATGCAAGATAACGTTTAATAAGAGAAATCATTATCTCCGCGGACGCCTAAGTGTTGAAGACAAGGATGCCTCAACATCAAACTCAATATTAATTGCCAACTAGTGTACGAAGTCAGATGCTACGCTAGTTAATATACTTAATTTACTCAAGTTTACAGCGACCTGTGATTTCTAATTTGTCATTCAAAGTCAATACAGATGAATAATTTAGAGATGGGTTATTTTTATCAGCAATGCACCGCTGCCTTCCTGTGCCGGTAGGGCTGTCTTGAAGCCTATAGTTTCTCAAACTCAATTCTTTCTGCTTGTAAGAGCAACCATCCATTACCATGGCTCGGCCTAAATACGCCTTTCATCTATTTCTCTTTCTGCTCTTATTTTGTCCTCTTGCTGCATTCCCTCAGGTATAATCATGCCTTCTTAGTTACCGTCGTATTTTACACTCATTATTGAATTTTAAAGAGTATTTCATGGCAAAATAGAGGGGTGTCCTGAAAACTTTTGAAGATCTAAACGTAGAACTTGTTCAATATGCTGCAGGGGCCGTCTGGGGCGTGGTTGAATCATGGTGGAGATTTGTTCAACAGAAGATTCGCATCCAAGGAACGTAAGATCAGCCCCGAAACAGTTCACAAACTGGCTTTGAAATGGAAATTCTACACAGGCGATGACGTTTCTGCCACTCCAGCCATCTTCAACGGAACCATTTATTTTCCAAGCAGGAACGGTAATGTGTACGCGGTGAAAGAGGCAACTGGTTTTCTTGTATGGGAGCAAAACGTGGGCAACGTAACAGGATTCAATGCTACTGGTCTTTCGGCTGGAGCTAGCTTTTCTAGGTCAACTCCCACCATTGTCCATGATGCTGATTTGCTTATCACTGGAGTCTACGGCCCTGCTGCGGTCATGGCTCTTAGAAGAAGCACCGGCGAGCTGATGTGGTTGACTCGCTTGGATCCTCACCCTGCAGCCGTTATCACCATGTCCGGTACTTACTACAACGGGTTAGTAAGTTGTTATAGACTGAAATTGATCGTCTTGACAAATTTATGACTTTGTTAATTGAAATATACGAATTGTTGATTTTATTTGCTTTTGGCAATCCTCATATATAGGAGTTTCTATGTTGGCGTATCTTCAGTGGAAGAAACTTACAGCATTAACAAATGCTGCGTATTTCGTGGGAGCCTCGCGAGGTTAGATGCTCGAAGTGGCCATATCTTGTGGCAGACCTATATGCTTCCAGATAACAATAACCAGAGAGGAGACTATTCAGGAGCTGCTATTTGGGGAAGCAGCCCCTCCATTGATCCACTGCGAAACCATGTCTACGTCGCCACAGGAAACCTATACTCCGCCCCTGATCGTATTGTTCAGTGCCGGCGTAGGCAGCTGAATCGAACTGTGCCCATTGAACCAGACCCATGTATTGAGACTGAGAATCACTCTAACTCAATGCTGGCCCTTGACTTGGATTCCGGGAATATCACATGGTACCATCAATTGGGAGGCTATGATGTTAGTAGCGGAGACTGTCTCAACGCTTCAGCCGCTCCTCCTTCTTGTCCTCCTCTGGGTGACGACCCAGATACTGATTTTGCAGAGGCACCCATGGCTCTCACTATATCTCATGCCAATGGAACCAAACAAGACATTGTTGTGGCTGTCCAAAAGAGCGGTATTGCATGGGCTCTGGACCGAGACAATGGAAATCTCGTTTGGTCTACGGTGACGGATTAACTTTCATATATATAAACTCAAATTGATTATATCCTTAAATTAGCAATTAAGAAGTAAGTTATATATATGTTTTAATTTGATGAATGCAGAAAGCTGGACCTGGTGGTGCAGCGGGAGGAGGAATGTGGGGCTCAGCGACAGATGAAGCAAGGGTTTACACCAACATTGTGAACTCAGATGGCAAGAATTTCAGTCTGTTACCATCAAAGAAGACGACGAGAGGCAGTGGGTGGGTGGCGATGGACGCAAGCAACGGCAAAATCTTATGGTCCACATTGGACCCTCAGAACTTAACGCTTGGACCAGTGAGTGTGGCAAATGATGTTATGTTTGCAGGATCCGCAGCCCCAGATGGGTCTATTTATGGGATTCATGCAAAAACTGGTCACATTCTCTGGTCCTTCGAAACTAACGCAACTGTTTATGGAGGCGTATCCATCAACAATGGCTGCATCTACGTTGGTCATGGTTATATTGTGGGCCTCGTCCCTTTCTTTACCAAGGGAACCCATGTCTTTGCCTTCTGCCTCTGAATAAAGAGGAATCACGCTTACGTAGTTAGGTCCCGAAGAATAAATTAAATAAAAGTATTTTTAAAACGAAAACTCAAATATGATCAATGGGCAAATATAGAGGGCATGAGATTGATTGCCTTCGGCTTGGGTCACAACACACATATTTAAATAATTACCGTTATTATTTGAGGCCATAGTTTCTCAAACTTAATTCCTTTTTTGCTTGCAAGAGAGCAACCACCCATCCCCATGGCACCTATAAAGAACGCCTCTCATCTATTTATTTGTTTGCCGTTATTTTGTCCTCTAGCAGTAATATTATCTCAGGAATTATAATCATGCCTTTTTAATTTACCCTTTTATTTTACCCTCAGAATTTGAAGCTTAAAAAGAGTATTAATTTCGGAGCAAATTAGAGAGCTTAACCCCCTTAATCACTGCTAGCTAGGGACAGATGAAGCCAGGGTCTACGCCAACATTGTTTAAGGACATGGATGCTCGTGGGCACGCAGGTTGGCTGGTGCGAGAAAAATTAGTTAAGAACTTTGGGGGTGAGAGATCGCGCGATTTGAAAATTGCAAACGTAAATACACAATAATCAGATTGTTAATTAGCTATAAATATTATATATATATATATATTAACTCTGTCAGATTTGACATTTGAGGAATGACTATCAAGTTTTATTATTTATATCATTTATCTATTTTCAATAACGCAAAAGCATCTATTTTGTAATTTTCTCATAGAAGAAGCGATATTTCCACATTACAGTTTTACTATCCCTATAAATTATTAAAATTTGAATGATGGTGAATTGAATTTAAATTTTGAACATTTTTTTACTCAAATTATTTTATTGACCAACTGTGTTAATAATACAAGGTAAATAGACTTTATTTGGTCAATGAATCTTTCATTCCATCAATTTAATAATCTTTCAAAATTATATGATTACTTAAACTTGTATATACGATGTTCAGAATTAAAAAAAAAAAAAGACAAAGAAAGAAAGCCTGGATGTTTGATTATTCATTGTCAGGAGTTGTGAGCTGTGATATCGTAATTAACGTGAAAATTGATCTTCTAACAGGAAATTTTAGTTAAGAAAAATGTCAAGAGTTCTTTCTCATTCCATATTGATTCTTATGTGTGTAGAAGACTTTCAAGGTAAGCATTTGTTTATGGGTCTCTAATTATCAAATACTGATATTATGTGCGCATTACACTGCATCTGTGCTAATATTATGATGTACATTTCTCAAAGTCAATGAATTTCATAATATATCTGATACTACATGTGAATGTTCCCGTACTTAATAACTCGATTCATGAATGGACGAGGGCATAAGATAGAACGATTAAACAAGTGACTAATATTCATGAGTAGCAACTACCAAATACAAAATTATTAGATGATTTTATTACTAAAAGTATGCCAGAAGAAGTCGTCCTCAGGGCCAATGCATATTAAAGCTTAATTGACTCTGTCAGAATTTATTCAAGAAGTTTTAGAGATAAGGCGCACGTCACGGCACCTTATATGTAGAAATCATTAATTAACCAAGTTCCACGTTGAAAATAAAGCCTCGACTTTATTTTCAATAATGAATTAGCCAAGGACGTTGCTCCTTAATTATTATCTTTAAACTTCAAAATGAGAAATTTCCATTACTATTTTGTACCCGGGGGCCGGTTCTTGTCCTTTTTATCATGTCGGAGCGTTTCCAATCATTTCATTTACTTCGCAAAGTAGGGACCGCGTGGGCATGGCGGACGGAATTGACCAGTCGGTGAATGCTCCCCATAATGAGGCGAGGTGAGCGGCACTTTGCATTTTATAACCCGTCAAGCAGTTCTGACTTGTGAGTCTTGAAACAGTATCTCCTTCTTTCTATCTCGTTTTTCACATGACAATGTCCAACACCTTTGTGCTCCTATGTCTTCTCTTAACTGCTTCTGTGCTTGTTAATGGATCTGTCGAGAAGAAGATTCGGATATATGAGCTCAAGAAAGGTGATGTCTCTTTGAAGGTCACTAACTGGGGTGCTTCCATTTTGTCTCTGGTACTTCCTGATAAGAACGGTATGCCCTCTCTTCAATTCTCAAATGTTCAAATAAATAGCCCAACTTCTAAGCTTGGGTTTTCTATCTAATTCTGTTTCTTCCTCTGTGATTTGACTTCAGGAAAGCTGGGCGATATTGTTCTTGAATATCGTTCAATCAAGGATTACACTGTAAGTTTTCCGTACTTATTTCTCCTCTGGCATTTTCTTCAACAAATTCCTGTGGTTATTAATTACTTCCCTTGCGTAAATAATGATATTGAGAGGGAAAGCTTCATGATTCTTGAGCTTGGAGTGATTCGTACAAGAGGTCTAAATCAAGATAAAGACGCGACATTTGTGATCGAATTTTCTTTTCATTCCCATTAGCAGCATTCATTTCGTTTTACTCTTCAGTTGCATAATTATCTTACTAGATATCAGAAAAGGCACAAACGATACAAAAATATTTCAGAGCAGTGTCAATGCTGCAGTACAAGTGAATACTAATAACACTGTGAGTGCAAATGCGAAAATTATGCAGACAAACACAACAAACTTTGGTGCTACCGTTGGTCGGGTTGCTAATAGAATTAGAGGAGCTCAGTTTAAGCTTAATGGAACAGTTTACAAACTAGTTGCTAATAGTGGAAACAATACAATTCATGGTATGTATGGATCGTTCTTTCTCCTCATTAGTACATATTTTACCCCGACAAATGTTTGTTAATTTATGCCGCTAGCTACCACATCTCATATATGAAGAGACATGCCTAAATGATTAGGTGGAGCCAGAGGTTTCGCTGATGTTATCTGGAATGTTGAAAGGTATCAAAGAGAAGGTGACAATCCAAGCATCACCTTCAGCTACCACAGTGTTGATGGTGAACAAGGTAAGTTCAACTGCACTTTGAGACCCATATGTTACTGTCAAGATATGGAACTGTGAACAATGCATGTGATTTGAATCCAAGGGCGAAAGCACAGAATTAATGAATGCTCTAATTCTAGAGTAAATGTTCTGTCTCTAACTCATCCGAGAGGTAGATTAGTTGAAGTATTCATATCAGTTGACAGACACAGGGTAGAAGAGTACTATACTGTGAAGATTAATGTTTCTCTAACTCAAATGAAACATCCATGTGATTTGTGATATTTGAATCGTGCGTGCGGCAGGATTTCCTGGCGACCTCATTGCAACAGCCAGCTACACTCTTCTTGGGAAAAACCAGTTGAGCATAACTATGAAGGCAAAAGCCTTAAACAAGGCTACACCAGTGAACCTGGTGAACCACGCGTTTTGGAACTTAGGGAATCATAACAGTGGCAATATTCTGGGTGAAGTAGTGCAGATATTTGGATCCCAAATCACAGCTGTGGATAGCAAAAACATCCCCACAGGAAAATTCACATCAGTGGAAGGAACCCCATATGATTTCCTGGAACCACGCACTGTGGGAAGCAGGATCAATCAGTTGGCCAAAGGTTATGACATAAATTACGTGCTTGACGGTGAAAAGGGGAGGATGAAATTGGCAGCCATAGTGCATGATAACAAGTCTGGGAGAGTGATGAAGCTGTTCACAAATGCCCCAGGTGTGCAGTTTTTTACTGCTAATAGCCTCAAGGATGTGAAAGGGAAAGGTGGGTTTGTGTATCAAGCTCATGCAGGACTGTGCTTGGAGACTCAAGCCTTTCCTGACGCAGTGAATCACCCTAATTTCCCTTCAACAATTGTGACCCCAGAAAAGCCTTACCAGCATTACATGCTTTTCAAGTTTTCCGCGTGACTAGGCTTTTGAACATTCTCTCCTTCCATGTGTAGCTTGAGGGTTCAGCTCTTGATTACTTCACCGAAATTGTGATTCTCTGAATTGAATAATAAAAACCTACGTTGTTCCTTAAATGAATAATAATAAACCTATGCTGTGGTCTTGTGGACATTCCTTCACACATCCATCAATTCCTTCATTAAAATTCTAAGAAGACAATCAGTTTGAAGCAAAATAAAAAATCTAAAGTGAAATCAGTTAGAAGAGAGGAAGCGTATGCTTAGTTTGATTTTTAAGGATTATTATTAGCATTTTTTTTTTAAGCAACAGCCATGCTTTTCTTTTCCGCCAAGAATTGAAATAAATAGAGTGGCTTTATAATTCATACAAATAATTTTATTATATACGGAATATTAATTAATAATTAATAACTAAATTTCACAATCCTTGCGAAGTTTGGGGAGTCAAGGTAGCACATGGTGACAGTCGTCTTACTCTATAATTTTAACACCTTGTGTGTTATACAAAACAGGAGCCATGGGTAAAGAAACAGACCTTTTTATTTAAAAAAAAAAAGAAAAAACCATATTGGAGGTACCTATACTTTCTCTCAATTTTTAATTTGGTACCTATGTGTTTTTTTTCCCTTTAATTAAACATTTAATTTTATCTTTTTAGCAACATTAGCTTTTATAACTTTATTCTATTGATATTTTTAGTCTCTACATAAGGATTAATGATGTTAATAGAGGAAAAATAAAGATTTAGTTAAGAATAAAAAACACATAGATACCAAATTAAAAATTAAAAAAAAGTATAGGTACCTCTAATATGATTTTCTCTAAAAAAACAAAGAAACAGATTTTAAGTAAATAAAAGAGAAAAATTACTATTCATCCAAAGTGCAAGGTAGATTTTACTCCAACATGTTGATGTTATCATGTTAAAACCACCTAGGTGTCCTCTAGTGGGCCCATCTTCTGTTGCTGATGTGGAAGCTGGTCATAGACAAAGGAGGGGGAAAAAATATATATAAAAAAAAAAAAAGAAGAGCGAATCGATTTACTGAATCCCTCATCGTTGAACAATGACACTACCACAGAAGATGTCGACGCTCTGGAATCCCGTCATTAACTTCCAGAGCGAGCTGCCTTGCTTAACTTTAAGCTCAGGTTCGCTCCTTGCGACTCTCATGCTTGTATGATTCTTGACTATCACAAGGACATAATCTGTTCACATTGATGGATATCAGCAAAAATTTGGAGCATAAGTAGAAGAAACCCTTGGTACAACTCCGATTCATTGTGTTCTATACATCCCGAGAAAACCCAGTTGCGGTATAATCCTTGTTTGTCAATGACTTCCTCCCCCGAGACGTCTGTGTTGGGCACCGGTAAAAAATCGAAGGCAGTATGGATATGGACGAAAAACAAACAGGTCATGACGGCTGCCGTCGAAAGTGGATGGGATACTTTCATTTTCTCGCCGCAGCATCGACAGCTTGCCACTGACTGGTCATGTTTGTACTCTGCGTTCTTAATCTTTCGTTTCGTTATCTAGAAGAGCGAACTCCTTTTACCCATTTGTTATTTTGAGTCTCATGAAAGATGAATCATGTCACTGAAACTGAATATAATGTGTTGAATACCAAAATTTTGTTCTTTGACTGGTACAGCTATTGCGGTAATATGTCCTCTATTTATCAGCGAGGGAGAGATTCTGGATGGCCAGAGTAACAGGGTTGCTACGGTTTTTGATGTTTCAACTCCTGATGAGTTAGAGCGACTTAGGCCTGAGGACGAGCAGGCAGAAAGTATTGTAGTTAATTTGTTAGATTGGCAGGTATGCCCGTTGCTCACTGCACTAATAGCAATCATGTTGACCTTCCACGGGAGATGAGGTGTTTGCTTTGCGTTAAGATTAACTCGTCTATCATTACGATGAAGTGTCGTTAACATGGGAGATTTTGTAAGGTCGTGCTAGTTCTAACTCATTGTTTTACTTAGCTGTGAGATCTAAGTTATGAATCGTCATTTGCAATCAATAATTTCTCGATGCGTTCTGTAACTTTGGCAATTTCAATTTGCTTTGATTTTTTGTGATTGCTTGATTCTCAGATATGCTTGGTTCTATGATTAATCTAGTGGAGAGTATTGTTATAGCTTCTATACTTGGTGTTAGTCTGTTGGATTCTTGGAGTTATTGAGTTTCCCAGTCATCTTATGGGCATTCATTTGTGTCATTGGCTTCAACTGTAGCATGATCTGTTTTCCAACTCATGTTAGCAGCGTCCACCTTATCGACTGACGTTTTTCTCCTGATACTGGCTGACTTCAGTTTTTTGCTACAAAAGTTTGGTCTGTCTTTTGAAGTTATAATAATAATTTGTCTTAGATAATCGGCGTTTATGATCTTGAGTAATATGCATAAAATGCTAATTCTCTCTGTATGGCATTGCTTAGGTAATACCGGCAGAAAACATAATTGCAGCATTCCAAAGCAGCCAAAAGACAGTGTTTGCTATCTCCAATAATCCATCTGAAGCTCAAATCTTTCTTGAGGTATATAACTGGACTAATATAAATGTATTACTTTCAACTTGTGGAGGCTCTGTAAGCTGGACAGCAATTTGTAGTCCTCTTTCGCTTAACTTTCATCTCGCTATTGCTCCATTTGGATTTAGTAGGCACTGGAACATGGGCTGGGTGGCATAGTTCTGAAAGTAGAAGACGTTGAACCTCTTCTTAAGTTAAAGGTAAATCTTTAGCTGGGTGAAACCTCTTTAGTAATGAGGCTTGACCTCTTGTTTCACTATGGAACTTTCAGGAATATTTTGACAGAAGAAAAGAAGAGAGTAATCTACTGAACTTGACCAAAGCCAGTGTCACACGTGTCCATGTGGCTGGAATGGGTGATCGTGTCTGTGTTGATCTCTGTAGCCTTATGAGACCTGGTGAAGGACTTTTGGTATGCGTCCAGTTCCTCTTTTAACAATTGTCCCTGAGCTAATTTAGCGAAATTGACATTTGTATATGCAAATGCTTTTCACAGGTTGGGTCTTTCGCTAGAGGACTATTTCTTGTCCACTCAGAATGTTTGGAGTCAAATTACATATCAAGCAGGCCTTTCCGGGTGAATGCAGTAAGTTCTACACTCAAGTGTTGTCAAAACTATTTTAAAACTCATTTTTCATAGTCAATGACCTCCGGATACAATTGCTCCTCCTATCTCCAGAGATTCTGCGCAAACTGGTGTAGTTTGAGACCAAATGCCCTAACCCTGTTCCTTTATTTGTAGCCCATCCACGTGCTTGGGAAATGAAAAATCACACACACACACACATCTTTCTATTTCTCTCTTGCATTCGAATGTTTTAGAATTCCAAATTTAAAAGTTAATATTATGGTGAAGAAAAGTTGCGGTTTTTCCTTTTACCAAATTACTGGCTAGTTACCCTACTTGGTGTTCAATTTTTCCAACAACTATGCAAACCGTAGTGACCAATTACATTTCATAATAGGGGCCTGTGCATGCCTATGTTGCTGTTCCAGGAGGAAAAACATGCTACCTGTCAGAATTAAAAGCGGGAAAAGAAGTGATAGTGGTTAATCAGCTGGGTCAACCACGAATTGCAGTTGTTGGGCGTGTGAAGATTGAGAAAAGACAACTAATCCTTGTGGAAGCCAAGGTTTGTGCATGAAAATGGAAATAATTGATAAAACTGTTTCTGCAAATGACTAGACAAGAACTTCTGCAAGTAATATTGTTCCTTTTGCAGAGCCATTCTGATGATCAGACTATCTACAGCATCTTTCTGCAGAATGCGGAAACAGTGGCCTTGGTTGGTCCTTCCGAAGGTAATAGTTTTATTTACTATTTCCAGCAAGTTTGGGTTATTTCTATGTGATTCCTAAATTGTTAATTGTTTTCAGGAAACACACAATCGATCACAGCTGTTCCCGTGACCTCTCTTAAAGTCGGAGATGAAGTTTTGTTGAGAGTACAAGGTGGGGCTCGCCACATAGGAATTGAAATTCAAGAATTTATTGTTGAGAACTGAACTGATAAACATTACATGGCTATGTGTTAAAAAATAAATATTCCTTTTATTTTAACGAGATCGCAAAATTTTCAATCTAGTCCTCTAAAATATCAACCTTTCAATTTTGTCTCCTGATAAGTTTTTCTCCCAACCCAGGAGACAACCAACTAACCGATTTCCCAATTTGAGAACTGCACAAAAGCTCAAAGTAACAAGCAATATGAGACTTTGATGCGTGCAAGAATGAGAAGTAATTGTAACTGGAAAAACTACTTTGTGTGACGTTGCAGAAGAGAAGCGACGCCGTGTTGGAGAAGCAAGGGTTTCGTGAAGTCAGAAGCCACCACCCAGTGGACAGAACCCTCCTGAGCATTGACGTGAATTAATTAGTGAATTTTACCAAGCGAAAGTAGCTTGTTATAGTGCTTGATGAAGAGGCCATGCTTGATGTCCAAACAAGTCCATGAAATTAGACAGTTACAATGGTCGTTCTCATTTCATTGATCTAATGGCTAGATCAACATTACATGATAGGCTAGCTTGATAAAGGAATTGAACATCAACTTGAAAATCAAAATTGTAACTTTTTCAAAATGAAATGTGTGAGGAGCTTCGTGTGACTTTTAAGCTTAGATTGCAATGTTTGCATGTTGCATCGACCATGATAGAGGGGGGGGGGGTTTACCGGGGGGCTATGAATATGATCCTTTCTAAGTTTTTAACTTTTTTTAGTACTACCTATTTAAAAGTAGGTCTTGTTTATCGAGTTGATTATACTCTTTCGGTATTTAATATAAAATCTAATTGTTAAGTTAATTTTGATCCTAAATATAAGACTATTTTTTATATTTATTAATTTTTTCTAAATTATCCTTATAGATACTCTCTTAATCATAATTAAATGAGAGGGAAGATATTAAGAAAAATAATTATAGTGTTTTAAAAAAAATGTCATTTCTTATAATTAACTAACTTACTTAACTTCTTTAATCTAATCAAATTAGTTAAATAGATATTATATTAGGGACAGGAGAATTACATAACTTTTTAAAAATTTGAACCCGATCTTAACGAAATCCGGACAAACACTAACTTAACATGCCGAGGTTTTATCGCGAAGTCATTGAACACGTTTCCTTTCCTGCATCAACATTAAATGACTATCTCTGGTTCTTAATATAAGAACTAGTTGACTAATTTGAGTAAATTAAAATAGTTAGTTATGTTAGTTATTTGTAATAAATAAATGTTATTTTTTAAAAACTATCCTTACGAATCAAATGTATTGGCTAGAATTATCATTATTACAAGAACTATCTTTAAAAAAATTAGATAAATATGAGAGGTAAAGTGAATTAGGATCTTTAGGACTAAAATAAAAATTAAATAAACTAAAAAGCGAAGCTCGTATGTCAGAAGATGACTCTAAAAAATGACAGCAAATGGGAAAACAGAAGAACAAAAGACGATGCCGACAATATATGTGCCTGTACAGAATCAAATCGACTTGTGTTGTTGCCTGTAAATCTCGATTCTTACCTCTAAGGTCATGGAAGTGAAAAAGAAAAACACGCATTTACACACCTCGAGATCACATTTGCAAGCTAAATAAAATATGTGAAAGGGGCTTGCGTGTGTATTGTGCAGATACAAAATGATTGAGGATAAGATTTTATTAAATATTTAATGAAGTTAGTTAATGGCTGGGCTCAATCATGTTATGTCATTCAGGTCCCTTTAACCTCCAATTATTGATGAAGGCATCAGCATCTGATTCTTTGATATATGATGGCCACTTGATACTGTCCTCACACTTGTCACTCTATCCGCAACTGTGTGTGTTCCTCATTCAATCTGCCTTTGACTTTTCTTATTGCAGGAAGCACAGACAAGACTTCACGATATGCCACTATTCACCGCTGCTTCCAAATAATTCTTCCGCTTCCATTCAAAATGCAAGATTTTGATCATATATGTTTATTGGGTGTTTGAATATAATCTAGCCAAAGTGAAACAAATTACAAGTCGCTTACATGTTTGGTATTGGTGGCGTGTTGCATCTGCCTTTGCATGGGTTGTCAAATGTCGAGTTTTGTATTTAAAGAGAGAATTTTAATTTATACTATTTTGATCCTTAAAATATAAGACTTAATTGAATATTCAATTTAATCCTAAATAAAATATCTCAATTTACTTTTTTTTAATATTTATCTATTTTTTCTTTAAATAATTATTATGGTGATTACATATGTTAAGAAGTTTCTATTAAAAGGCGATTCTAGTACACATAATTAATAATGATATTTTAAGAAAAATAATATTTATTTATTATAAATAATCAATTTAATTAATTTTTTAATATTCACAAATTATATATCTAGTTTTTATATTAAGTTGTAGTGTTATAAAAAAACCGTGAAACAAATTGACAATGCAATCTTAGTTTCTTATTTAACTGACTTCTTGTGTCGAATTTTTTCTCTCAAAAAGAAATGCTATTCCAAATAGCCTCCAGTTTACAACAAAACTTCATTTCGAATTGTGTGGATATCTGGATTTGAAATTTTCGATCCAACTTGCTGCTATTCTATAATCACTCTCACTGATATCGAATTTCAACCAAAACATTGTAAATTAATTAAATTGACGAGCTCATGTTTGGAAAAAAAGCAATAAAGAGAATATATATTCATGTAAAAACATTTTTAAAAAATTTAGATCATATATATGTTTTATTAAATTAATTTTTTAATGATTAATGAACTAAATTTACGTAGAGATTCCTCCATATAGTAGTCTTAGCTTCTCTGCTTAATTATTTGAAATGCCTCATGTATAAAATTTATGACTTAATTTTTAAGAGTTAAAATATAATGAAAAAGGTTTATAATTTTAGTACTCCTCCGGTCCTTATTATAAGACCCAATATGACTTTTTATTTGGTCCTAATTATAAGACCCAATCCATTTTCTCTCTTATATTTATGTATTTTTTTCCAAGATAATCCTTCTAATAATGATAGTTTTAGCCAATATACTTAATTAGCAAGAATATTTTAGGAATAACAACACTTATTTATTATAAATAACCAACTTAACTTACTTCCTTAATCTCCTCAAATAAGTCAATTGGGTCTTATAATTAGGACCGGAGGAGTATTATAACATGATAAGCAGACAGACTCAGTAGGCACTAGCCAACCAAAGCATCCATAATATGTCGGCTACGGATTTCACTATCCAAAAGACCAACGGGTAGCTAGAAACGTGCATGCATGTTATCAATAATTAATTACTAAATCTTACTGTAACCGAAAAAATTACTGAGTCACATTTGAAACGAAAACCATAAAAATGATATGGTTTGGTTAGCATTAATTAATGAGGTTAAGAACTGATGAGAAGGGTATAAATATAAGTTGGCGAAGCATGAAATAATGAAGGGGGGGTCGCAGCGTAATGGGTAATTGATTGTATCTAAAGCAGACTCTATTTGAACCGTATCCTGTTATCAACTTTCTGGCAGATACCTACAAACAAACTTTACTCAGTAACTTTGAAAGAGAGAGATAGAGGGAGGTTTTGCTTTGCCAGTAGCTCACATGGCATCTTCTTCAGCTTTCAGAGCTAAGTAGTTTCCCTTGTCAGACTTATATTGGCAAACGTCGCCTTCATTTCTCAGCGCCATCATCCCACTTTCCCAACTCCTAGCCCTTTTATTATTACTGAATCAATGAATTTCGTACTGTTCACTTCACAATACCAGCCCCACACCTCCTTTCTTTTTTTTAACCTTACGCTTCCTGCTTTATAAAGTACCAGCCAGATTTGGCTCTTCATCCAATAACGACATGCTTTCTCCTTGCCTCATCTTTCTCCAAAATCCCTTCCCCCCTCCTCATGATTCCAAAGCACCAACATGAAACTATTATTTTTATGTTTATATACTCAAACATTGCAAGCACTGAATCCCATTTCTAATTATGCCCCATACTTGATGCCAGAGCTGGAAATCCACTAAGGATCACATGTGCCTTGACTTCAACTTATCATTTATTTTTTATTTCTTGTAGAAGCATATATGTATATACGTTGCAGTTTTGGTTTCTAGCTGAAGTGCATATATATGGTAGGGAAGAGAAGTTGCACGGACTACTCAAAATTCCACCAATTCCTCACATGAAGATGATAAGTAGATATGTTCAAATTTTATACACCATTACTACTCTACTTGAGAAACGTAAATTCAAACCGAGATTGAGAAAAAGCTTAACTTTTTTTTTTCCCGTTTCCAATCAATCTCACCAGAATCATTTCAAGGTTCAATGATAATGGTGCTGCTCTTGAGGCCAGGTCCAGAGGTTCTGCTGCTGATCATCGATAGTGTTGGTGCTGAACATGTTGGAGAAGGTTTCGTCTTGGAGGTCTGATCTTGTTGAGAACTGGAGGAGTTGTGTTATGCTGGTGGGCTTCAGATTAGAGCCTACGAGCTGGCTTTTACCGTTCTGAGAACAAACAGGACTGTTTCTAACTGGCGTTCTTGAAAGCTCCAAATTGATGTCTGAGCAGTTGTCACTTCCATTATTGCTCCAAGAACCCTCGGTTTCTTTCTTCACCAGGCTCACTGTTCCGCCTTCACAGTGATCTCTTCCTTTCAGAGCTTGCAGCTGCCAACACCACACAGTAAAAATCCAAACATTAATCATGGTAGTCAACCATGTAATTGATGATATATCCATATTTACTTCTACGTGGATATCGCAGAAACCCGTTAGAGACCCAAAAGCCCAGGAAAAATGGGAAAAAGAATAACAACTATAATATAATATATGTGTGAAAGATCCAATTTAGAATTTTTTTAGTTCTGTCAAACTGACACTTCACAGGCATGATCAGACTAATTAATCAAGAAAAAAATAAAGTTAAGGAGGGAATCGATGACTTCAAAAGTCACTGATACATGTGGGATCAATAATTAAGTCAATGAAACGGAGGTTTACAGTAAATGTGAAGCACCACAGTTCGAACAAGAAAAAAGCACTTCCTTTCACAATAAACAATAAACCGTTCAATGATACTGTTCGGTTCTCCACTTCTAAACACGAAGATATAAACCAACAATTCAACATCCGATTTTTTGGGGAGAAAAGCTTTAGGTCCATTCATATATACATATATAACTGAGAAAACTGAATCCAGCAAGTTAGGAAGAAGAACAAGGATACTCCATTTTAGTTCTCAAAATACGACTATCGATCATATGTAGTTGTCTGCTGAATAAATCACAAGTAAGAGATCCAAGTTCTCACTTTTCCAAAGAATTACTAGTATCATTAAAAAATGATCAAGGCACTAGAATTGAGTAGACAGATGGGACGGAAAATTGAATAAAGCGGTACCTCTGCATGAAGTTTCTGGTTCTGAAGGTTAAGAGCATTATTGTCGGCTTTGAGAGCTTCGAACTGTTTCTTGAGGGATTCATATTCTTTCTCGAGGTTCTTGGTCTTCCATCGAGCTCTCCTGTTCTGAAACCAAATGGCGATCTGACGTGGCTGCAGACCCAAAGCCTTAGCCAGCTCCAGTTTCCTCTCTGGCTCAAGCTTGTTCCCAACTTCAAAGCTCTTCTCAAGTGCCTTGACCTGCTCCATGTTCAGCCTCTTCTTCTTCTCCCCTATCTGCACCGATCCGTCATCCGACAAATCATCATCAGCTCCGTTCACTTCCATATCGCACTTGCTCTCTATCCCTGAAAACGACATCGATCTCTTCACCATGAAAGGTGCACTCCCTGCGTTTTCACGAACAAAAGATTAATTTTTTTCCTTAAAAAAGTGGGATTTATTAAATTTAATTAATCCTTTAAGAGATAGGGAGGGGCACGGAGAGAGAAAGAGATAGAGGAGGGCTTACGAGTTTGGTAGTGTTGGGGTGGTAATGGAGGGAAGGATTTGAGAGATGGTGATGAGGAGAGGTGGGGGTCGTGATGATGATCTTCATGGCAGTGATTGGTGTGAAACATGAAAGTATGAGAAGGAGGGAAGGCCATGGTTAAAAAACTGGGAATTCAGATGAAATAAAACGTAGCACAGATGGGGATTTATGGTGAGGCTTTGTCTATAACAATTTAAGGAGGTGCCGATCATCGCAGGGTTTGGCTCTCACTCTCATGGTGGCAGAGTTTTCAGATTCAGAGAAAGGGAGGATAATGCTAATGGATGCACACAGACTCAGACAGACTCAGAGAGAGAGAGAGAGAGAGAGAGAGAGCGAAAGGTGTAATTTTTGTTAAAAGTATAATCAAAGTTTGGAGCTTTCCTCGACCCCCACCCTCTGATATAAATGGGTCTTCTCTCTCTCTTTATTCTACTACAGTATAGTAATAAGTGTGTAACAAATCGACCTCGCAATAAATCAATGATTCCAGAATTAACTTCTGGGCCAAACAAACTATTCTTATTTATGCATATTTTGGCCATACATTGCTCACCATAGCTCGGAAACAGAGGTGTTATCGACCAATCTGCTCTGGTTGATCCCTGACCACAGCAAAAATCAAATAAAAGACGAAGAAGAAGGAAAAAAACCCAATAGCTTCCTTTTTATTATTGTTTTTTGGCGGGAGAAATCTAGAAGTTACTCGTATTACTTGGTTGGGTATATGATCCTTGAGCGGTAACAAAGTGAAGAGGTTTACATATATAATGAAGAGAAGTGAGATTAACAAGGGAAGAGGAGAGAAGGACAAAAGATGCCAACATTGACAACTTTAGTTGGAATCTTGCACCTGTTGCATAGGCCAAACAATAGCCACTTGATTTTATGTGCTCAGAGAGGTAAGTTGTTAGGTCATGTGTGACGAGGAAACACTGGCATTCCGAACATGAAAATCCAGAATCCAAGGAGAAGTATGTACATATTATATTATTTTGATATATATCAGCATCTGTGATGGAAACTTGCACTTGGAAAATTTTATTTATTAATTGCTTAATGAGATCTCTGGCTTCGCCCCCATATATATATATATATATATATATATATATATATGGTTATTTTGTACTGGAGATACTCTCATTGGGATTTTCAAATAATACTATATATATTCACTCCTAATGTAAACATGTTTGCTTTATTGTTGTTTTTATTGGTTAATTCATAAACTTAATTAATTAGAGCCCAGAAAGATGCATAAGCAGCTAGCCTCGCCCTGGAACCAGCCTGCTGAATTAGTTAAAGCCACCCCCAGCTTTTCCCCATCATTAATTATTATTTTAGCTTTATTCAAGATTCTTAGCCTGATTTAAGTACAGAGCCCTTTTAAAACAAAATTTTGAGGGGAAAAAAAGCGGGATTCTGGCAGGCATGCAATCAAGTTTTGTGGTGAGCTAATTAAATGTGAGGTTATTTTATTCCATGTGCCTGCAGTTAAAGTGCTTTTGTGTAGGGTGTTTTACAAATTATGGAGTAAAAACGAAATAAAATTAACATAATAAGGAATGAATGAAAAATGGCGAAGATCGATGTTATCATCATATATGCATTGTAAGTATATTAAAACTTAAAAGTGAATAGAGTATTGGCGAGTATAACAGGTGCCAAACTAGATATTGACGTTAATAAGTTGAAATGGCATGCACGTACATATGCTGGGAATGCAAGGTTATGGAGGGAAAAAATGACAAATGAAAATCAGGGTTATATAAAATGAAAGGGAAACACATACACACAATACGATAATGATAAAATTATGTTAGATTGTAGGATTTAAAGGATAAAAATGCACCATTAGTTAACATTACAAATTTAGCAATGGAGGAAGAGATGAAATAAGGTTTGTATAGATATCTCACTTCCCTCCTTATTTTTTTTAATACTTGGTCTTTTTATTACATGGAATTCTCACCCATGCAAATTCTGTAAGAATAATGTCATACATGTGTGTGAAAGAATGAATCAGGAATAAATACTGGAACGTATCCAATGACGAGCTACATGTAAAAAAAAAGAAGAAGAATAATGTCAAAGAAAAAGAGAGAGAAAAATATAGGAAGAAAATAACAAAAACTCGTGGGTTTAATCCTGCAGAGAGGGATAGTAAGTTGAGTAGTGTGATAAAGATGAGAATAAAAAGAAATGATAATATATATGTTCACAATCTTATAATTTAGTAATATGAAAATTTTCTTGTAAATAAAAAAAATTGTGAGTATGATGTGTTTGTAATTTTAGACTCTGAAAGAAGCGCATATGGAGTTGAATTGAGGAGGCGGAGGAGACAGCCCATAAAATGACATAAGAAGAGAAATTAAAGGAGAAAATGGATGGGATGGGCATGTCCTTAATCCTTTATCCAAGCAAGGCCATATCAGTGGCCACCTCCCCTATTCCAATGCTCGCAGTATCTATGGGAACCTCTTTCTGTGGCCCCCTCCCCCACCTTCCTGCCCCCTATCCTACTTCTTTGGGCTACCCTCCATTATCTCTCTTCCTCTTACTATAGTACAATTCCATTTTTATTTTCATTTCATTACAGATATATATATATGCCCTCTTTTCCCCCCATGTGCCTTTGCCTTCCCCCTGTTCTCTCTTTTATATTTATATTTCTCTTTCAATTTTCTTTAGTGGCGAGCTCTGCTTGCTAATTCGTCTTCATACTATATATTTTCCTTCACGATCAAATCTTCCGAGGATTCTTTATCCTCACCTAGTTCTTCTATTCCCCTAACCATGCATTATTTTGTTTTTCGTGCTAAGTTGCTCAATTCACATCTTTATTTCTGGTTCAATCTGGGATCTGATGCCCTCCTCATGCCTGTGTTTCCCAAATATTACTACTTTATTCAGCGCGCTTCCCCCCATAGGACAATCATCCAGCGGATCCCATTCTTTAATTAATTCCTACTTGTCAGTGCTTCCTCAGCTTTAAGCCCTAATTAATTAATCAATCACTTCTTTCTTAGTTCTTGTTTTCGCCTTTTAGTTTGATCTCTTGAAAAATTTTCTCTATTCCAGAATGTATTTAGATCCCGAGCAGATAATCTGGACAGATCAAGTGAAAATGTTGTCGTATAAAAAGAAAATCAGTACAGTGAGGGCAAGAATATATAATCACGTGTGTTAGGTTCTAGATTACAATGCATCATGTTAACCTGTCTGTTAATGATTGGAACTTTGCGTAGTGCTTGATATGTTTTGATAACAACTGCTGTGTTTGAAGCGTCAAATAATGAAGAAAATGATGGTTAGGAACTTAGTTATGAACATACTCATCCAAATTATTATTTGAATGCTGGTACGCCAGGCTTATTTATCCATCTCTGAGATTGAGGGGGTCAGGAAAAACGGGTGAAATATAAAAACCAGAATCCTACTTCTTGCATGATCGTAATTAACTACTATAAATGACATACAACCTAGCTGTATCCATTAAGCAGCGTCCAACATTGAATATTTATTTAAGGAAAAAAACAAAAAAAAATCTCGAACAAGTTAGCCAGCCACACCGGCTTTGGAATGACATTTGGATGGGAATAATCAAATGTCGAACAAATTAATGTGTGATATTATATGGGATATGTCGGAACATTATTCTTTGCAACAGTAACATTGGAGCATTATTACGGTTAATATATGTGAGAATGAGAGTGACCAGGGCGGTGTCTCTATCGTGAAATGACTATGGCTACGGCCAAATAGGGTTAGATAGGGTTTAGAGTAGATGACAGGGATTTAGTTAAATACTATTTACAGGCGCACTAACTTAACCCTTCATGGCAGCCAATTCAAAGTATCACACATCAATGTTTCCTCCTGCCCCCACATCCTACTATCTGCCAAACCATATTGGATTAGCAGCCACATTTTTTCAAAATCTTTTTTCTTTTTGAATCATGAATTTTACTCTTTTCCCCCCAGAATTATTTGTGGGATGCTAATTACGTTAACATCATTTTCGGCTAAATATTCGAGTATTTCATATGTTGCATCGGAGAGGGATCATGTGGAGTGAAATTAGGGGCGTGCGTGTGAGACAGGTGGAGGACAGATCATCTCATTTGATTTCACATGTACTCGGTGCCTGAGACCACGATCGCTGTCACAGCTCTTCAAATGATTAGACATTTTTGCTGTTTTGGGGACTTTGATTTGAAAGGGATTCGTCTTTTCAAAATGATAATTAATTGAATTACGAAGGATTGAGAAATGGCCAGATTTACGTTTACGCGCACATCCAAACAATTCATGGGAACGGTGTGGTGGAATTCTCAAATTATTCACTACGCGTTCTTGTAATTAATATAAGAATTAATTTTGAGAGTTGAATTTGATTTTAAACATGAGAACTCAGTTCATTTTATCTTTTTAAATTTAATTTTTTAATTATAAACAATTTGAATTAAGAGATAATTCTAATATATATAATTAAATAAGATAATTTAAAGAAAATATCATGGAATTATAAAAATTACAAATTAGGACCTATGATAATATTAATATGAGTTTTGACAACAACAGTATGAGTTTTAATAATAATTTTTATAAAGCAATCCCTGTATATAAATTTTTTAATTCCATGATTTTTTTTTTTTTACAATTTTTCCTAATTTAAAACTGAATTTAAATGAGTACAAGTAATGATGCATGAGAATCGTAGAGAATCTACATGGCCCTTGGTCTGCAAAAGAAGCCCCATTCCTTGAGAAAAGAAGGGTCAGAGATGTACGGATGATGATGGTGCTGAGGGAGAGTACAGCGTACTGGCAAATCGCAACCATCCATTTGGACTTGTTTCTGTCATGCATCTTTGGGCTTAAAACATCATCCCATTGAAATTAGACCCCTTTTTTGGTTTTTGTATTAAAAAATTGGAAGTTGGGCTTTGATAGATGCGTCTGAAATTTTGGCTGCGTTCCTCTTCCTCCTTCACGCTCCTTCTTTTTGCTGAATTGCTACCATTTTTCAATTCCTCTTTCTCGAAGTGTTTTTGATCATATCTTTTCATATTCCGGTAAAAAAAAGAAGAGATCATATCTTTTCATATTATACATATATAGGAAACACTGATTAATTGCATCAAACTTATTTTGTCAGATTATATTTCCCCCCTTAAAGTGATGTATATTGTATACAACGTATAAGACTTTTCATCATAAGCACCGTATATTCACTACTCTGATCTAATTTAGTTTGGAAAATTGAATTCCAAGAAGTTAACTTTTAAGAAAGCAGATGCTTTATAGATAATTTTCTTATTCAACATTTCATTTCTTGAGATGTCAGAATTATTTATTTGAATAAAATTTGTTAATTTTTACCATCAAATACATAAACAATAACACGACTCTTTTTATTTCATACTATATGAAGAAAAAAAATATTTATGGATTTAACTATATATTTTCTTAAAATATTATAAAACTCTGGGAAAGTAAAACTTCCCTGGATTTTATTTGGAAAGTTATTTTTCGAATTACTCGTATTTGGGAAGTTGGGCTTCTAAATTCTATAAAAAATTACTACTTCCAGTCTTAATTATAAAATCTCGTTCGTATACTATAAATAAGATCTTATAATTAAGATCGGAAGTAGTATGTTGAAAACCAAACAACAACAACTGATTTCCTCCCTCGGAAGTACCTAGTGATCGGCCCCTTAAAAATTTCTTACTCCCAGCATTTCTACCCTTATAGTTTTGAGGTGAGGTGAACAGGTGAAACCAATAAAACCACGTCCGATTTTGGAGTACAATGAATCTTGTATTCAGAAAGGTAGTATTAAATATCTTCTAGGGAAAAAAAAAACTTAAAGGGCTATGTTAAAATCACATTTTGGCAGCGCCCAAAATTAGTTGCAAACACATGCGTGAATGTCGATTATACCATGATCAGTTATGTAGAAACCATGAAGACGACTTTACATGGGATGATATATGTGAAAATTGAAAAGGTAGCGTGTCCCACTGTAATTAAAATGTATGAGAAAGAAGAAAGAAATAGTGAAGAGCGGTTGGGGAGAGCGCAATTTCGGGGTTCAGGACAAACACTCACACAAAAGGCAGACATAAACAAGTGTTTGCTTACGTAGCAGAGGGCCCCACCTGGTTTCTAATTTCCCTACCCTATCCCCTCTCCAATTTCCCATGCCGCTTTTATATGTGTTACAGTGTTAGCCTCTTTCCATGTATCCATAAAAAGAACAAGGGTCCAAAATAAAACTAATAAGCTGCTGACAATCAGAACATAACGCATAAATTGTTCATTAAGCATAAAGCTATATATATATATATATATATGTGGTTTAGTTGGAGACAGAACGAAGCTGATGAAGAAGAAGTCGTGTTTCTAGCTCCTTGTTGGCATGATTGACAAGGGTTCCCCTTGTTACAGTAGGTGTTGGTTCAATTGTTTTTGATATGCTTTTTCGATCTTAAATATAAGTTTTTTTAGTGTAAATTATACTATAAAAAGAATTTTATAATTACACTATAAAAAGGATCTTATACTTAATATAAGAGGAATAACTAATTTTAATCACAATCAATACAGGTGAAGGTAACACGAATCGTACACACTGGAATAATAAAAGGATGAGAGAATAACGAAAGAGTGGGGAAATTAAGGGGAAGCCGCGAGATCCAATAAGCACAGAACAGCGTGGAAAGAAGTAAAAGGAGGGAGCACGTGGGCATCACGTGGCCCTCAAAGGACGTGTAATAATGAGCTGGACCAATCCCCATGCAGTCCCTGTTCCACGTGTGATCTCATCTGGATAGGGGAATTGAGCTCATTGGAACGTGCATCTCATCCTCCTTCCCCATCACTTCTCTGATCTCTTTCATTTTGTGTATAACGTGTTGGCTTTATTTCCTGCTCATCACGTTATCTCTCCACACGTTTGGATTCTCTACGCTCCTCACAATGAAATCATAATTAGATGCATTTTAAGTTGAATAAGAAAAAAAATGCAAACTTAACTTTCATATTTAACTCTACTCAAGCAAGTGTCATGTTTGGGACAAATTTCAGCCCCGCTTCCCTCATTGTTTCTGTATTTTTCTTCATCCGTTTCTCAATTCAGTTTTAAGCCTTCTTTCTCATTTATATTTCACCAATAATCTCAAATCTATATCTCACCAACATTTCTGATTACAAAAACCCTCCCTTTCCCGCCCCCCTCAGGAAATGAAAGTGCTTTCATTGAATAAGTCGGTTGGACCATCATTTTCTTCTGACTATGACTTCTTCCCTTTCATACCAGTCATTTCATCTCAACTGCTCTGATCTTCCTCCTTTTTTTTTTTTTTGAGAGTATGTATTGAGTATTGACCGAAACGATTTTTTTTCCTTATTTAATGAAAACATTCCATTTAAATTTGCACTTCTACTTATCTCACAAATTAGTTTGATAGGACCGTCTCCTTAGGATATGAATCAAGACGGTGAATTTGCATTGTTCTCTTAAATTCATATCCCGAGCCCCGTGCATTGAACCTGGAAATTCTACTATTTACGGCTCCCAAATCATAGGGGCTTTGATATATACATGTACATGTCCCAACTAAATGATTAATCATGACTTATTAAGAAACAGATTTATCATATTTCAACCTTAAAAAGATTCATCATAAGTTGTACGCGTACGTGTTTCAACTAAATGCAAGCAAATGCCCAGCTCACCGTTTTGTTCCCAATCAGGAGAGTTAGTTATTTATTAGCTTGATTGAAAATATTAAATCTTGACAATCTCCCAGATCCATTCACCTTCGAAAATATTGAATTATCATGTCTCTATCTGAAGCTACTTAATTCCGTTTGGTGTGGTATTTGTCTTTCAATTGCTTAAAACCCACCATCACCGTACAAATACCTTTGATATAATCCGCTGCTTCTTTGTCCACTCTAGTTATTATTTCAATTACTTAACACGTACATTTGCCAACAACAAAAAATAAATAAATTAGGTATGCTATCATTGAACCCACCAGAAATATGTCTTCACCTGGTATTATATATATAATACTGTACTTCCTGGCAAATTTTCCCCGCCAAGACTTTTTCTTTCTGTCCGGTCCTGTTACTGTAATTGATTGGAGCTTTCTTCTGTCTTCAAATGTTTTGCTCATTAAAGTTTTCTTGTTCTGTGTTCACAATACTCAAAGCTTTCTCTATTAAATATAAGTAACTACAGATGTTTCTTCTCTACTGATTTTTGTTTAACACGGTCTTGATCGTCATTGGTTAAAAAATTGGAGCGAGCGGGCGCGCGCGCACACATGTAGATAAATTAATTAAAGTAGGTTTTCATGCATAGCTGTAACACCTACCATATTTATCGGTAGCTAGCTAGTTATTAGTTAGTAGATGCTGTTAAATGATTTCAACCGTATTTTATGCGCGTACGCTCGTTATGTATACCAAGGGAAGAAATACAATTACTAAATCAATATCTATGCAATGCATGATACTATCGCCTACTAATTTGGATTAATCGGGCTCACAAAATTTAGATAATTCAAATGTTTAAGCGACGAAGTCCAACGTATATTACCCTGTGCACATTGATTCATCAAAAGAATCCATTTTTATTAAGACAAATCAGGAGAGAATACAAAGAGCATCTTATATTTGATTGCGTACGCACGACTGATCCATTGCATTTCAATGTTGCACGTATTTTCGTTAGATGGTTATCATCATCAACGGCGGTCGAAACACAAAAAAAGCTAATTTTTCTATAACATACCAGTACATGGAATAAATTAACCAATTGAAATAGTAAAAATACGATATTTTTGTACTCGAAGACAATGACTGTTACTAAGCGTAATAATTATGTGACAGGAAGTTAGTAGAATAGTAGTTTACTTACCTGATGTAACAAGTAACAACTAACACTAATCCTTAAAGAACAAACAAAACTAAAACAGAAGGACCACCCGAAGAAGGAAAACAAAAACAAACGCAGTGCAGCCAATGGTTTTGGATATTAATCCCAATTAAGAGGAAGGTTATAACAGTAAATTCGATGCAGAAGTTGTTGGACGCGCTTGTGAGAAAGGATGATAAAAAGGCAAGTGGGGTCCAGCTAAGCGCGGCACGTTAAGCTTATGGAGAGGGTTTTTCGCCTCACTGATGTCAGTGGAAGGCAGCATACGCGCCATAAAGTGCGAGTGGGGGTGACATAGCAGCCCTTCGCCGCAGCCTCCCGGTAACAATACCCGCTTTTAATACGAAGGAAACAAAAACAGAGGTCTCAGTTCTCACATGGCTAAGAAAGACGTGAAGGAAGGAACAGATGTTTCCGACTCGGTTTGTTCGTGGAGAGTCATTCAAGCAATGATTTTCGCATTCTTGCCTTACTGATTTTCCCGTCTGAAATCATATTTTGTTGCTTTATATTAAAATCTCGGTCATGTCAAATTCTTCGTAGGCCGATGTTGCTCCATAATTAACGAAGTTATTATGTTTTTGTTTTTAATAAAGAGATAAGGGGCCAGCCCGTGTGGGATCAGGGTTCAGAGTGCCATTCCATTATGCTACGCGATTCATCTCTCGCCTTCGTTGTTTGACTTTTCCTTTCATTCCTTTTCTATTAGAGACCACTTCTCCTGCCCCGTTGGTTCATATCTTATATCATTTCCTCACCAATTCTTCAGGACCAATTCAATAATCTTCCCCTTCTGCTTCTTTTGTCCTGAACAGGTCGTCTTTTTCTCTGCCAGCCTCCTTCGCACCAAAATCCCAGCACAGAAGCAAAGAGAACCTTCTCCGTTGGATTCACAGAAATGATTGATGAGCCCTGTCATCGATTTTGGTCGTGGATTTTCCACAGAAGCAAAACCTGTGTCCTAGAAACAAATTGATACAACTCTTTGGTGGCTTCCTTCTGTATTTGATTTTTCTTGTGCTTGTCCTTTTTGTATTTTGTAATCATGGGCTGTGCTAGTTCCAAGCAAAAACGGTGTCGGCATTGCAACGCTCCGTATTCCCCTGTGCCGAGAAGTTACTCGATGCACGTCCACCACCCACCCCAGAAAGAAGGCGATAGCCACCATGTCGTCGCTCTCACATCCACCACATTGGGTTCCCTCAAGCTCGATTCTCCTCTCTCAAATTATCAGAAAACCCACAGGCTTCCTGAATTTGGAAGCCAGAATGGATTCAAGTTTTCCAACAGCAAAGTCAGCGACAGTGATGGTTTCAGCTTTGGCGACGGCAATTCGACTGAAGAAGAGAGGAAGAAGAAGAAGAAGAATGAGGCATTACCGGAAAGTGAGAGAAAGAATAAGGAATTCTCCATGGGGCTAATCGAGGCCAAGACATGGTCCAGCATGATCGAGCAGAAGCTACCAAAATCTATTCCCAAGACTCCAACCAGAACTCCTCCAGGTGAACCGGAGACCATCAACACGTGGGAATTAATGGAAGGTCTTGAAGACATCAGCCCCTACCGATCACCCAGTCACTTCAGGAGCTTCTCTTTCGATCAGTCTGTTTCTGCTCCGGCCGATCCACCTAGGCCAGCTGGTATGGTACAAGATGACACTCGGCCCTCCAAACCTCTCTGGCTTCAAATGACGGAAGATGAATTAAATCCCACTATCCCCCCTGCAATTACCGATTTTGATCCTGAAGTTATTTCCTCATTCAGAATGTCGTTACAAGAGCTCTCCCCGGACAACCCTTTTCACCTGCGGCGAATCAATGATGAGAAACAAGATACCATAACTGCGAATAACTTTCCTTTTGATGGCACCAAAGAGAAGATAATTGAAGGTGATACTCTTCCATACAAGAAAGACAAGGTAGTTCTGTACTTTACCTCCCTACGCGGGGTAAGGAAGACTTATGAGGATTGTTGCCATGTGAGGCTCATTCTGAAAGGATTAGGTGTCCGCGTCGATGAACGAGATGTGTCGATGCATTCGGGGTTTAAGGATGAGCTCAAAGAGCTTCTGGGTGATAGGCTTACTGGGATTGGATTGCCTGTAGCGTTCGTCGGGGGTAATTTCATTGGGGGAGCTGAGGAAATTCAAAAATTGCATGAAGATGGTAAGCTTGAAAAATTACTCAATGGCTGTGAAAGAATTGAGAACGAGTGTGGAATTAGTACTGACATATGTCAAGCCTGTGGAGATATTCGATTTGTGCCTTGTGAAACATGCTCCGGAAGCTGTAAAATTTATTTGGAAGCTGATGAAGAAGATGAAGATGGTGAAGCAACTGACTATGGATTCCAGCGGTGTCCTGATTGTAATGAAAATGGGTTAATCCGCTGCCCACTCTGTTGCTCATAAATTGCAACTTTCAATTACATTTTAACAGAGGTAATTTTTCAGTCTTCTGGGTGTATGTTTTGTGGGTTCTTTATTATACATTGAAATTTTGGTGTCAGAGATATGTAGGAAGGGGCATGGGTGAACAATAATCTTTCACTCTTTCTGTACAACAAATACAGTTTAAAATGTATACTTTTTGGTTCTTCTTCTTCTTTTCCTTTTTCCAAAAGAAATAAAATTGATCGCTATCATCTTTGGTGGACATTATATACATACATACATATATATATATATAGAATGATTGCAGCATCATATTGTGTAATTTATAATTGATAATTGATTTTGCTTCATTTACTTGCCAATTAATTTGAAATGTGCAATGTATGGTATTGATTGTAGAATTATAGTTGTAATGTTTAACGATGATTGATTTGAATCGTGTGAATGATGAAAATGATGGATGTGGAAAAGCAAGCGCGCGGACATATATATGAATAATCTAAATTAACAAAACAGAGAAATTTTTATTCAAAACTAACAATAATTTTTCAACCCAGAAGAAGATAACTTGTAGTCACACAATTAATTGTAGAGTTGAATATCTTCTGTGCAACTGACTTGTATTTATTCCTCTGCTAATTAGAAAAAATGTTATCTTTAGAAAGTGGAGTTTATGAGCTCAATGCAAGGCACCATGCCTGCCATGATGATTAGGAGCAGCACGCTTGTTTTCACGGACCCAGGTTATGGGTTGAATTATTTAGAGGTTAAGAATGAACTATATAATTTTTTTTAAAAAAGGAAATCAATTTTTTATACACATGTCATGAAGAAAGTCCAAATCCGCATCCCTATGTTGAAAGAATGAATGATTTCAGGTCTTTAGTTAACGCGTTGTGAAAAATATAAAGTAACGCATGAAAATGTATTTAAGCACAGTAGAAATTAACATGGCAGCGCGTCAGATTATTAAAAAAGTGTGACTTTTTCATGTATATATGGAGTTCATTTCTGTCTACCTCTTTTTTTTTTTTTTGGCCTGATTCATTTCTGTCTACCTGACATTATAATAGTAGGCAAGAGGATTTGAATACAAACATAAAACAAACGTAGGCCAGAGATGTATCTAGTGACCTGGTCAAATCGCATTTCAAGCTAAATAGACTATTTGGCTAAGAAACATACTCTACACAACAATCCAAAGGCGCAAAAGAAAAGGGGAAGTTTAAAGAAGAAGCGGCCACAATTGTTTATGATGCCACTGAAGTCTTCCGCCTTCTTTTTATTTGTCTTCCAGTTCCAGGCCCTTTTGGTTTTTCTGTGATGTTGAATTTTTGGAGGTTGCTTGGCGGGGACAAGAAAAATCACCAATATTGACTCTGAGGAACAACCAGACAGGAATACTCATATTTAAAAAGGGGGAGTTTGAAATTTGAAACTGGGAAGGTTCTTCAAAAAGTACTATTTTTGTTTTTTTAATGATGGAGGGGAGGGCGGTGCCATATATTTCATTAGGGGAACGGCCACCCAATTATGTAAAAGAAAATGATTGGAAATTCCATTGTCCCTCAATCTCATCTACCCGGGGGGGGGGGGAGGGGGAAGATTTCAACAGTTTATCAACACCCAAATCATCCAAATGATGGGGATGGAACGAAAGAAACTATCGTCTGCATTCATTTCTTCTGGTGGCCTCCTCATCGCCCTGTTTAACAGTGTTCACGTGTTTATATTCATATATACAGGGCTAAGAAAATCCCGACAGGGAAGATGTTTTATGCCATCCAATCAAAAGCCTATCGGTGGAATTTGTCAGTGGTAGATGGCAATTGCTTGCCGACTACAATTGGGCCATAATTGAAGTGCCCATTTACCTATCTGCGATTATTATTATTAATATATATATTCAGAATTATATTTGACGGTCAGCGTCGGAAAGAAAAGAAGAGAAAAGAAAAGGTCACGGTGGCTACAGTGGCGGTGGCTGTTTCTGAAAAGTGATGCATGAGATAGAATCCAACCAGAACTACAACGACATGAACATGGATTAAAAGGGACTGCATGAAAGACGCATTTCAGAAAGAAAAAGAGGAACCCATACAGCAAATAAAACCGGCGGATGTCTGTCTGTAATAGTGCGCACCAAGCAAGGTATCTACCTCACTCCCTTTTCCTATTAAAACCATTTCTGCTTCCTTCCCATTAATCAAACACCACCGAGTCAAATAATAACACTAACAAAGGCTTCCCATTTATTTGTGATGCTGTCAAACTAGGCCGGCACAGGCAACGCAGCCTCTGGCTTTTTCGACACCATAAAAATCATTATAAATAGTTTTCTCTGAGATTAGTTGAGTGGGATGCCTATAAAGTGTTAACATCATCTGGTTGGAATCGAATATTTAGCCAGCAACAGTTCCATTAAACTATGACAAAGCAATTCACAAGTTGTTATTTATATTGCTCCAATGTGTAAGCAACACCATTTGGCACGCGCCCTCATCAATATTTAACGACGCTACGTTTCTCACCTGAAATATTTCGTGCCAAGCACCCCAAGAAAACAATATTGTCATCTTTTTTTCTTCTTCTCATTATTGTGTCAATGTCTTGTTTAATTTGCCTCCCTGTTTCACAATACAATTCCGTGAGAGTCTAGTCACGGGCGTCACCTTACGTATTTTGCCGCAACGCGTTTCAGAAGTCAGACATCAGTTCGCGTTTAGACACTCAAGTTTATTTCTGCATATTATACAGAATTATTTATGCAATACAAAGCAAGAAAATATGAAGATCAACATGTTATTGTTCTGTTGACAACAGGAAGCTTGAGTACTTACAAGTTAGCTGCTGATCTGATCTGGGGTCCTCCAAATCTAATGCTCCCAATCAACAGATGTTCCAATGTTTTAATTTAATACGCGCCCATGTACAGCAGATCAATGGCTTAGGCCCAATCACCATCCCAGTATCAGCACTTCATTACTTGTACAGATAGACGGACGCACTTGACAACTGCACAAAGTTCCTAAAGATATTCATCTAGTTTTATACCAAAACCAACCTTAGAATACGACAGTTTCAGTTTGAAGTTTCATTTGTTGCTTCGCTGACCCAAGTCAGCAGTAGCTTTGGCCGCATTAGTCAACATATCTGAAACCCAGAGAGCTCCCTTTGCAAAGTAACTGCTATTGACGACGGCATTACCAGCCGTCACTGCCGCCCTCCCTGTAACTTTAGCCAAAGCTATAGCAGCTGTCCCTGTAACTGTCGCAGCTGATTTGGTGATATCGGTAACATGATACTTCTCGTCCACTGATTTGAAAGTTTCCCGGCTGGAATTAATTGTATCAGTCAACCCAATTTTTTTGCTGAGCTCCGCAACTCTGGCTGCCGCTGTGGATGATACTCGATAAGACTCGTCAAGATCTTTTGCCTTGATCAGTGCACCTTTCCCCAGCACATATCCCTTGGCTACCATTGTTTTCACAACCTCCTGCGCCATAGTTACTGCCTCCCCTGGGGTGGAAACAAATTTGTGCAGATGAATATCCTGTAAAAGAAAAGGACGTTCATTTATTCAATAATAGAAAGAAACAGACTTGAACAGTTGGTATTAATTACATTTTTTAACAGGGAAAAGTAATGAAAAATCGCAGGTTGAACGGAGTTTTGTTTCCAGAATTCAATAGCAAGGATACGTGCCTTTTTAATATAGAAAATCGTATAAGCTAGGTAAAACAATTGAGATGATGGATCAAAACAGTCACTTGTGAGATCATCACATAAGTTACTCTGGGAGAAGAGAACACAAATGTTTTTGAGATATCATAATGATGAAAGGAGCAACTTATTCTGCTTCACATGAGGGACAAACCAGCAGAAGTTCACAGCTTTGATTTACATTTATGTCATTCGCTACTTTCCCATGAGAAGGAGAGAGTTGTGCTCATAGCAGGCCTCCAACGGACAAGAAATAGCGGTAGTTTATTCAAAGCATCCAACCTTCTAAAACATTAATTCATCACGTTCTATAATTGTAAACTACGATATTACAAAAAAAACCAAGGAATATTCATGAAATTTGAAAGGAATTTTAGTTTCTTCATAAACAATAACATGCTTTTTCTTAAAAAGGTTAATACAAATCTTAGTTCTTCAAGTTTACTCTCATTTTGATTTTAGTCTCTCAAATTTCAAACCATAGGCTTTGATCCTTCAAGATTTTTTTTATTTAAAACATTGGTACCTAGGATTCAATAAAAACTTGGACAATTTTTCTCTTGAGAGACCAAAACCTATGGTTTAAAACTTGAGAGACTAAAACCGAAATGAGAGAATATTTGAGGGACCAAAGATTATATTAACCTTTCTTAAAACACCATAAAACAGAAGTTCATTTTATGGATGGTTGTTATATTGTTCTGTTCAATTAAAGCAAAAAGCTTTCTAACGAAGGGTTTCAAGCATACTGATGAGCTACTGTCTTCAGGTCTTGATGCAAGGCTACTCCAGTTATCACAGTCATCTATGGAACCTTCCCAGCGAGAAATGCATATGGGTTGATCGACAATCACAGATCCCTGAGATGGGTGGAGTGAAACACAATATTAAGATTGAGAAATATATTAATGATCAATACCAGAATATTGAATAGCTAATGTTCAACCGCAAAAGATGAGCTATTCCAAAAACAGACTGATGAAGGAGTTAATATTGAAATCTTACAAGGTATCTTGTCATAAATCTATTATAAAGGAAAGTTATTGCGTGTCCTGTTCTAAATGTCCCGCCAGTATACAGTATCACCAGATAGTATTTTTCCTTCCAGCTTTATTATTCTTTGTCCTTAACGTCTTCATGCAATATTTATTCCCGCACAGGCGAATTCAGTCACCAGTCTAGATGTTCAGATGAAATTACTCAAGTGTCTTGTATTCATGTAAAAGGATTTTTATAGGTTTCTTGTAAGCCGATGGGGATTGACTTGGCCGCTGGACCTCAATTGTTGACATATTCTAGGAGAAAGAGGATGAGAGATGGGTCTTTTTTTTGACTTATACTAGGAAAAGTGAGAATAAGAAAGAAGAGGGTCCGTGGGAGCCTTTAGATGGTAAAGGAGGAATTGTGAACATTTGACCGTCAGAAAGAGATAGAATAGTGAATATAGCGGGATGACGGGAAGGGTAGAAGCAAGTGGATTGAGAGCAGAATTTAGATGGAGAGTCTATGCCTCTCTAATGCATTCGAACGCGGGCTTTTTCTTTCCTCTTTGTTTCCTTCTTGCTTTTGCCATCTGTTTAGCTAATCCTGTGAGACTTAGACCCTAGCAGAATCTTTATGCATAAATAATATTATTCTAGAGTAGAATCCATCATAGATTAAAAGTTGGACAGAGACTGTTGACAGGCTGCAATTAAGTCACTAAAGATAAGCTTCTTTAGGAAGACATAATGTAGATGACATCAATCCATGATATCAAACATTTTAAAAACAAGGAGGCAAGACTGATTAGCATCAACATACATTCAGCAACAAGGCAGTTTCCAGAGCATAAGCATCCCTAAAGGTCACATATGCAGTATTCGCATCTTCGTCAGATCTGTATCGTGACAAAAGAGGAATTATATAAACAAGCGTCTTTCACCCCAAGCCTTGCAAGTAATGAAATTTCTATATAACAGTAATGGGAAATAAAAAGTACTCCTCTGGTCCTTAATATATGGCCTATTTAACTAATTTAATTAGATTAAGGAAGTTAGGTAAGTTAGTTAATTATAAGAAATATGACATGTTTTTCCTAAAACACTATAATTATCTTTCTTAATACTCTCTCTCTTTCTTCTACCTGATTATGATTGAGGGAGATCCATAAGGGTGATTTAGAAAAAATTGATAAATATGAGAAATAAATCTTATATTTAAGACCAAAATCAACTCAACAATTAGGTTCTATATTAAGGACCAGAGGAGTATTAAATGAAAGTATCGATACTCAGTAGATTTTGTTCAAGCTAACTTATCAAAAGGGAAATGATCATTATATATTTATATTTCTTTTCTGCAGGTCATTATTATTAAAGTCTATCAATTTGACAGAGGGATATCCATTAAAAAAAAAAAAAAGTTGAAATGTTGTTGGGATAGTAAACAAGGTTGGCCATTAAAAATATCCCATGTTTGCAATGTCTTGTCTTCAAGAAGTAAAGACCAAATAAGCATCGCATCAAAATGTCGCCATGGACTAAAATCATATGTTGAACATATACTTGGTTTGATTTAACTACAGGATTACACATTGCATTCAGTAAATAAGATTGCAGAAAATTACCTGATGATTTCAATATGCTCAATTACACCAGAGTAGGCAAAAAAATTGTGCACATCCTTCTCTGTCGCTCTAGGGGATAATTTGGTGACTTCGGCGGTGTAACCACCGGAATTCATTATTGTCCAGTGACTGAAGCCTCAACTGGAAAATTTGGAATGAATAGACCTACGAAAAGCAACGGAAATCAAATTCCACCGAACAAAAGAAGATGTCCTCGTAGTAAATCTTTCAATCACTCCAGAAATCACTTGTCAGAAAGCATACTTAAGCCACACCTTTTCCTTTCATTGCTCCATTCATAAGGCCTTGTATATAATAACCATGCCGTTCAAGGTACCAGACATTATCTAACAATTCGGAGTATGCTTACTTCCCTTGCCCATATCGAATTCATTCCAAAACATTCAATACATAAATTAGATATCGGCATTGACACATGACATCACGGGCCATATTACAAGTATCTTATTTATTTTTCTTTGGTATTAATCCGATGCTTCAAAAAAGTTATTTTTTTCATCAGAAAAGAAATGAATAAGAAGAAGGAAGAGTGAATTTCACAGTTAATGCAGCCACTGTTTTGGGGGAGAAAAGCTCGCACCTACTTCATAGAAACAGGCTACATAAACAGATTTTTTTTTTTTTATCCTGGTTTTCAATTTCAAGGACGGCAAGCTCACATTCAATCGACAGAACAAATAGAAAATTGACTTGAAATATATACAGGACAAAACAGAAAGCATATATAGAAGGGAGTAATAAAGTAAAATCACCTGAAGGCAGTAGAAGAGCACCGAATGTTATTAAAGAACTTGACGAAAAAGCGAGAATTTGAAACTGAGAAGAAAGGAGGGGCTGAAGTCTGAAGATAGCAGTGGATCTTGAGAAAATAGAAAATTGAGATGAAGCAGGGTATCAGACGAAGGATAGCGCCCAACCAGTCCAAAATTTGGAGCAGGCACAGGAGATTCTGATCCCACGCGCACGCCACTTGTCTCTTTGGAATTTTGGACCGTAATTGATGACGTTCTCAATATTAATGGGAGCGTGATCCCCACTGTCTTTCAAAAGCGTCGATGGGACTTCAGAAAAGCAACTGGCGGGTACTGTAGTTACAGGGGCCGGTGAGGATGACCTGCAAGCGGAAATCGGTAACAGATGATTACCAAATAAAATTACAAAATTCCATTATGCTACCTCCTATCCTTCGAATTAAAAGCTACGTTTCATTTTTATTTTTATTTTAAATATAAAATCTAATTTATTTTGCTTTTATATTTATTTATTTTTTAAGGTAATTTTTATAATAATAATAGTTCTGGCTAATATACTTGATTAATAAATATATTTTCAGAAAGATAAAACTAATTTATTACAACTAATTAACTTAATTAATTTTTTTAATTTATTCTAATTAGTTAACTAACTTTTATATAAGTACTGGATTTAGAATAAAAAAAAAACAAACAAGAAGCAAGTCAAAAGAAAGTATATATATCATTATTATTGTTATATATTAGTAATATAAAATCCGTGGGAAAACTTTGGGAACCAAAAACTAATATCCCGTTTGTAGAATTAATATTTAATAAAAAATAAATCCTTTTTTTTCATAATACTCAGACGGGGATTTACAATATCTGTTTTATATTGTTGTTGTTAATATAATAACTCAACAATACCTACTCATTCTTTCTCTCATATTTCAGTGTTCTTTTTTCAGTTTGATGTTATCACTAAAGTGTGTTTTCTTATGAATGTAGGTTGTCTTACTCACTGTCACCTGTAACTTTCTTTATTTTTAATATAAGCCATTTTGTTTTTTCAGAAACAAAAAAAATTCCTCTAGGGGCTTGGTCCTATTGTGTTGTATTTATTTTCGATTGGGCACTGCTTTGGGCTATACGACAGATGGACAATGCAAATTAGACGAAGGAAATGGGCCGGAATGGACTGGGCCAATAACCCAAATAAGATTCATTTTTCTCCAGTTTGTTTACGGACTAAAGCTTGTCCAACTTTCTTCCGAATCCCGATACTCGCAACACAATTGCACAACTGGTGTGGTGAGCTCTCTCTTTTTTTTACTCGAACCCGGTTAACCTGCATGCTTTTAAAATACAAATTTAAATAACTGCCTTTCAGAAATGATATATATATTAGTTCTGGTTCTTGATATAAGAACTAGTTGACTAATTTGAATGTATTAAGAAAATTAGTTAATTTAGTTATTTATAATAAATAGGTGTTGTATTTTCTAAAATATCATTGTTAATCAAGTATATTAGCTGGAACTACTATTATTAAAAAGACTATATTAAAAAAAATACATAAATATGATAGGCAAAGTGGATTGAGGTCTTGTATTTAGAATCAAAATAAAAGTCAAACGAGCTCTTATATTAAGAATAGGAGGTAGTACATATACAAGTTTTTTCAGCAACTGAGCATATTAGGGGTGTTCATCAAGCCCGCTAGCCCGGTATGCCCGCCCAAGCCCGCAAGAAAATGGCCCTGCCCAGCCCGAAAAAAAAATAGCCCAAAGAAAAATGGGCATTTTTGGGCTGGGCATATTATGGGCAGGGCAGGGCTGCGGGCATGGTATGCTGCCCTGCCCATTTGGCCCTGCCCGTGATATATATATTTATAATTCTTTTTTTTTGCCAAAAATACTTAAAATGATATATAATATATATAATAATATATATTATTCTCCCCTCTTTCATTTGCCATAGATATATTTAGTGGTATGCGTAATTCTTCCTTCTTAGTATCTTTTTAATTTTTTTTAATTTGGTTTAGTATCTTTTAGTTTGTTTTTATTGTTGGTTGTCTTGCAAAGATGCAAAAGCAAGCTCACTTTAGTGTTATATTAAAAGATATATCAATTTAAGACAAAGCAAAGTTATTGATTTGTTGAATTTATTGTTTATTCAAGTATTTATTTCTTTATAGTTGTTATAAGATACCTTTACTTTAACTAAAAAAATTTTCACCAAGGTATCACTATTTGGGCTTGGAAGCCCGCCCTGCCCAGCCCGTTATTGCCCAGCCCGAAAATGGTTAGGGCTTCTGTGGGCAGGGCAGGACAGCGGGCCGCAAAATGCAGCCCGCTCATTTTTCGGGCTGGGCATCGGGCAGGGGGCATGCCCTGCCCAGCCCTACCCATGAACACCCCTAGAGCATATTCATTCATACATGAAAATGTAACATAAAAAAAAAAAATTGGTCAGGTAACATTAAAAAAAATTAATTATGCGAGAGATTAATGCATACGATTGTAATTTTAAGGTATTTATTCCACAGTACTGTCATTTGCTGCTGCATATACACATACAAGATCTGTGGTGGAGGATATGATATAGAGTGACCACAGAACTCATGTATCGTTTTCCAACTGCAGACGAGGGAGGAACGTGTGGATATCATATGGGTTGGTTGACAACGTTACGTAATGTCCCTTTCTGCTGTTGTCGGTTACAAACATGAATCTGCAGGAGTAGTTAATTCAATCTCACAGTGCCCCTCGCAACTTTCACGCAACTTGCACTGTAAAGTCAAACTTTGGTAGCTATGTTGTAGATATATATATATATAGCCCCTCTGTTTTTCTTCATCAATTAAATACTATAGTTTCACTGAGATAAAAAGTAGCCATCCACGGCCTATATTCCTAGCTCCAATTCCCCCATATCATTCAATTATGGCCTGCACACTACCACGTTTCTGGTCAATACCGCTTTTTTCGATTCAGCTTTTGTATGTATAGTTATTGTTGGCAGGGAATGCTGCTGAATGGCCATTTCTCATTGAATGTACGTAACCACAGCAATTGTACATTTTATACAAGACTAACTGATAAGTATATTAAAGACTAGCTATATGCGTTTAGTAATATTCAACAGTATAGAGTGTGAATAAGATATCGATTGCATTCTCTGAAACCTTGCTCGCCCACTTGCATATACATGGATATATACGTTCAAACACAGGTTTCCAGGATTCACCGTAACATCAACTTAAGTGTATTCTGAATTCTTTGGTAAGGGATTCAATATCATTATTAAAAGGTGAAATAGGTAATACTACCTCCAGTCCTTAATATAAGAGTTAGTTGATTAATTTGAGTATATTAAGAAAATTTATTAAGTTAGTTATTTGTAATAAATAGATATTATCTCCCTAAAATACCATTGATAATAATATGTATTATCTAGAACTACCATTGGATCAAACATTTAACATATACATCTATTACAACGACTACCTTAAAAAAATAAATAAATATAAGAGATAAAGCATATTAAAAACTTATATTTATAATCAAATTAAAAGTTAAAATAGCTGTTATATTAAGGATTTGAGGTAGTGTATATGTATTAGGAATCTAAGCATTACTGCATGATATATTAATTCTATTGTCTCTGTTTATATATGATAGACAACATATGCACCACATGCGTGGACTAAAAGTGAGTTCGTTGTTGCCTGTCAATTAAATGTAAACTGCGAACTTTTCTCCACCTTCTCACAATAAGCAATGATATATATAGGTGAGATGAGACTTACAGACCCTCCCATGCATATTCACGGGAAAATATCATTAGAATAGTCAAGGATAACATTTTACCATCCAAGTACTAGAAAATTTTCTTTGGTAAGAATTACATGATATTATCTGATACTTTCAAATTGAAAAAGCATTACCTCATTGTATATCCATGCACACGCGCACGCACACACATATATGCGCGCTGTGGCAGAAACACTGCATTGATCATGAGTCAAAAATAGGACAGCAAAAAACAAACTATACTATTTTGTTTAGTGTGATTTAACTCTAGTTTTGGGCGACAAAACAATTTGTGGACATGGTTTTTGATGACATGACGTAGACACTTTTTATTAAAAATGCTTTTAAAAAAATATTGATATCACCAAATATACGAGGCCCCTATGCTGGAGATTCGCTTATGTTTTGATGAAATGTAAAATATAAACTTTCATATACGTACACACACGCGATTGATCCCTGGTATAAACTAGTCTCTTTCTTGATAAGAACAAATATCGATCTTCTCGGTATCAGTGCTTGTAGAGATTTTAATGACGGAGAGAGGGATAAGCACCAACATTACACAAGGATGGAAAGGAAAAATATAAGTAAGAAAAAGGCAATGGTCCCAACTGCCAATGGTATGTTAAGATCGTATATATATATCATCAGTGCCGGTGGTGGAATCTTCTAAAAACCAAGACGAGGCACGTAACATCATACACATAGAAGGAAACAGTGATATCTAAACAGGGAGATATAGAGGGGTGAGCGAGAGCTGATGGCAGCAAATACATAGTTAACGAAGAGAAGAAAAACATAGCAGTACAAAAAGTCCACAATGATGACAGAAGACCATAGTCGATGAAGCGATCGCATCAAGATGACTGACAAGAATGGCATTTTCTAGCAATATTGTCAATTAGAGTCATCACTCGACATTAGGGGTCACGTACGTTGGTACATGTTGGAGGAAGGATATGTCTTAATTGTTATATGATGATACATAAATATATACATATAATATATAACAGCCAATAAGAAGATAATCAAATTATAAATATTCAAAACTAGCAGCAATAAAAAGGAAACTAAACCTAAAAGCTCAATTCCTGGAACAACCACTTCATTCCAAACCCCCTTTTTCACCGTGTAACCGAAAAGGGGAAGAAACTTTTCTGTGGGTATCTTTTATAGTTAGTGGTCTCTTTCTGAATACTGAAAAACGATGGTCTCTACGCGAAAAAGGACCATCCAAAACATTGGATCAAATCACGTTCATATCATACACTTTCCAGTCGGGGCTTTTATATTTTTAAATATCCACATTGTAGAAACTTGAACCCAACTTTACCGACAATATTTCCGAGTAAAACACCTCTAGATATTCTTGTTATTATATTATAGCCTCTGCTGTTTAACAAGTCTACACATAAGCAAACTCTGAAAATATAGATATATATATATATATAACCCAAGCCATTAAAGTACAGCGCTTCATTAAAAAAAGGCTTAAGGAATTAACAACCACTGCATTTTGGGCTCCCATGGAATATAGAGAGAGCGAGCTAGCTAGTACAACTTAATTTTACTCCAAAGCCTTTCTTGCGAGTGCCCTACCTACCATAAGGGGGTGCCGTACAAGCGTACACCTCAAACTGCACTCTTGCTTGCTAGGAAGCTGGACAACCCTAATTAAACGGGGGGGGGGGGGGAAAAAAAGTACACTCTTATATAATCTTGTTGAAGAAGGAATTAAAAGCACACTTAATATCATTGCTTATTGGTTAATTAGGCTCCTAATGATGGAAGCCTCGGCACTATCAGCATCAATGGTGGACAGTAACTGAGAGAGTCGCTCGCTTAAGTCGTCCACTTCTCTGTGCAAGTTCCTGATGTAGTTGCAGGTCTCCTGTAGGACCTTGGACGCTGATACCTGCGCAACAAAAAGACTAAGTACTCTTAATTACTTACCAGTCACTTTCTTCTACCTATATTTTGCCGTCCTGTGTGCCATTATGGGGCAGAGTTTTTGCTGCCTAGCAACAAGTTTCAGGGTCCAGACTCATTCTCTCACAACGTATTGTTGTAGCTCAAGTGATGTCTCCCTTAACCCAGGTAGCCAGTCAAATATTTCTTTTTTCTTTCTGGGGTTCTACGTTACTTTTTAGCAACTTCATATCCGTTTCATTAGACCAGTCAAAATGTAAACACTCTGACGTCTATAGAAATCTGCACGTATTTTGGATTTGTATGGAAACTACGTCCTTAATACCTGGGTCAATCTCGGACTGTCCGGAGATCGATCTTTTTTTATATTTATTTATAGATAATATCGTTTACATGTGGTTCCCGAGCCACCTCACTAAGTTAATTAGATTGTTTTGGGAGGAACAAGAAACAGCATGTGAGGCCCTTAAGCTGGCCATCTTCATCAGACAAAGGGAAACCTTTTTTTTTTCTTTTTGTATATATATTTTATATGAGCTATAGGCTAGTCCTTGCCCAAGTGTGTGACTCTTTATATGTCAATGAACTTCTCTTAGATGGGTAAAAAAATTAAGCAGTTAGGTGAAGGCTGAAAGCCCCACAAATAGTTTTATATACAACGAGTATAGAAGAAGAGGGCATATAAGGCATACCTTACTGGAGCGTCTATCCCGAATCTCAGGAACAAGTTGACGCAACTTGGAAACAAGTTCGATGATTTGGTCATCGGAGATTCTGGTGGAACCTGATTGCTGCCTGGACCTTCTGCTAGACATGTTTGTGCCTAGAGCTTGTTCTTGTGTTGAATTAATTTCTAAAGCGCGAGCGAGAGCCTACCTAGCTCTTGTCGCTTCCCTTCAGTTTTAAAACAAGCAAGCAGATCAGAAGGAACCAAGAAAGAGCAGGGGGAAGGAGGGGAAATTTAATAAGCTATAGGCAGCTCAGAAGAAGAGGAGAAGGAGGGAGGAGAGAAAGGAGTAGCTAGTGTTAGATGTAAGCTTAGGTATGCAGAAATGAAGAAAGTGATAAGAGAAATTTAAAGAGGGGGGGGGGGAGGGAAGGACCACAAAAGTTTGAGGGGGAGAGAGAAAGAGAGAGTACAATAGCACAGACAGCGATGTTGGATAAGCGGAAAACAATTGCGTTGGAGAAAGCAGTGGTAGGCTTAGTGTTTATAATAAGGAGAGAGAAATTTAAAAGGGCATAGGGCTCTTTCTCTGACCGTGTTCCCAATTGGGGCTTGATACTCAAGTGGATTTATAAGAATGTGTTTGTTTTTAAGCTAACAAAGTGGGCCTTCCTGTACATGTCCCTCTAAGCAGCACCATGTGATCGATCATACGAAACTAAAACTCTCCCCAACCCCTATCTCTATTTATAATTTCTCCCCACTAATCACACAACCCCACGCCACTATTCCCATACTACTACGCCAGCGGTTTCACGAGTCTTCGCTCCTATGTTTCAGGCTTGTGAGTCAAACACCATTGCTTCACAAGAACTGACATGGCGGCCAATCATTGGTCCAAACCAAACCCATGGTTTGTAAGCCAAGCCCCTTCATTGACCATTGGATCTGAACTGCCGTGACCGGCGCTAGCTTCACTTTAATTAATGTTTCTTTTTATTATGTGCATTGTTACGAAAAGCAAGAAACATGCATGAGAAAGAACAACCCAGCATTTATATATGTTTGATTGCACCAGGGACGAACCAAAATCTCCCCCGGAATATTCATGTCTATCTTAGTGGTGTGTATCCAACTTAAGATTTTTATTATGTAGTTGAGATGGAGGATGAGAGCTAGGGACAGGGGTACGTGAGGAAGCCTAACCTAATGAGAGTGAGAGAGAGAGAGAGAGGAGGTGATGGGTCACATGCAATTTCCCTGAAGCACACGACACGCCACGTGGCATGTGTTGAGTGCGAGTGGGCATATATATAATGAAGGGAAGAGGTTTCCCAAATCAGGCATGGATCGGAAATTTCCTTGCTTTTCTCAAGCACCGTCACGTGCAGCTTTCAAACTTGGACGACCCCTTTCGCACCTTGCGGGGACCTCCTCCTTTCTACCCTGTCTCTCCCCCCTTCTCTTCTCGTCTTTCTTCCTTTTTAACATTTTTGCTAACCACCGGCATTTCCCTCCCAATTATCATACTCATCATCATCTTCTTCATCCTTCTGCAGCATCCTCCTCACACTTTAATTCCCCACATCACATCGCTTTCACATGCAATTTGGTTCGATCGTTTCAAAAACTTCATTTTACGGTTCTTCCACCAGCAAATTAATTAATAAGAAACGGATATATATATATATATATATATATATATAATCAACCGACTCCATGTGGACATATATCATCATCATCACGCGCGCACACTACGTGCATGCATGCTTGGATTTCAATTCAGAAGCTCTAACCGAGGTTTAGAAAACTCGGTTTGCCCTCCAAACTAAACAACTAAGCCTACCTGAGTTGAATCTGTAAACTCTGGTTTTCGCAAAATTTAGTTCGTTTAAACTTAAGTTTGTAAATGGATTTCCAAACACATTCCGTAACGTTCCTGTTGGAGCTGGGGGGTGGGATATATATTGTGTCAGTAGATCATTGGATATGGATTGGCGGATGATGAGAATTAATTGTTGTGTTGTGCTATATATATGCCCAGACATTGGAGTATATGGATGTTAGTGCAATGATAAGGCTGTGATGGAAACTCCATATCAGTTGTAACGATAGGGAGTGAGGCTCCTTAATGCAGCAAGAACGTACACATTAGATGCCCGCTGGCCCAACTCATTTATGACTAGCTAGGGCAACAGGCAGAAATTTCACAATAACAATAATACTACCTCCGATCTTAATATAAGATTCTGTTTGACTTTTATTTTGATCCTAAATATAAGACTCCAATCCACTTTGTCTCTCATATTTATATATATTTTTTCCAAAGTAACCTTTCTAACAATGATAATTCTAGTTGATACATTTGATTAGTAAGGATATTTTAGAAAAGACAATACCTATTTAGGACAAATAACTAACTCAACTTATTTCCTTAATCTCTTCAAATTAGTCAACTGGCTTTTATAATTAGAAAAGGAGGTAGTACTATATTAATTGTTGATCAGGCGATGACTCTGCCATCACAAATCGAATACATGTCTCGAAATTAGGAAGCATTAATTAATAATTAATGTGAGTACTACGTCATAAAAGTATTGGCAAGCCTACAGTTATATATTATTTATCCAGTCCGTTTATTTTTACGTGTCATGGTAACAATTTTCAATGAGCTCTCTATATTTCTCATCTCCAACCAATCATCCCCTCGATATTAATGTATGCCAAGCATATAAATGAGTTGTGTTATCATATTTAGCACATGCACCTGGGCCTCAAACTTTATTATTATACCGACTACCTAAAAAAAGTATATTTGTGGACCTCCTCTAATAATTTATGCTTCTTGCGTCATTGATTTTCAGATATGACTTAAAATTTTCTTAGCTGAACAGGTGCTATGCGTGTAGGGAAATATGTGTGTGTGTGTGTGTGTGTATAAACCCAGAAAATTTCATATAATTGAACCACATCACACAGATAGAAAATAGGTAAAAATTAACGCGATTGAAACTATCGTGTTGTGTGGTATTAATTAATATACGGTTGGCTTTATGTTGCACTAATGAAAGCCATTGCTCCCACCAAAATTATATAGGCCTAAAATCAAATACAGACGATCTTAATGCCTCGTATAAAATTGAAGGAATCCTGGTTCAAAGGCTCTGCATTTTTTTCAATGTCCAGTCAGCTGATAGCGATTGGGGACAAAGATTCCACAGTAAGCAAGATTCTGAGTGAAAATCCTAAAACTAAGAATTAATTTGGGGGGGAGGGGGGACGGTCTTCTCTGTGTGGAGTATACTCCTTGATTCAACTTCTCAAAAAAGTTTTAAAAAGGGCTCTAGATCAATGAGTTCTATTTGCCTCTTGGATGATAGGAGTCAAACGCTTTTTGTTTCCTTAATTAGTTACAGATAGCTGATTAGGACTCAATTAAAACGTGTCAAATCAAAAACCAGCATCAGGTTAGTGTGGTGCCCTTAACAACTGATTAAACCGACCGGTTATGTTGCATTTTGGGTTTTGGCTTATTTTTATGCATTACCTTTTCAAATTTGTGTCTGTGCATGCTCCCGGTGGCTTCCTGCAAATATATAGATGAATAAATTCATGTTTAAAATATCGTTAAAGTATTATATTGTGTATCATTAATAATCCTAAAATGATTCCAATAGGTGAACTCGTCGATATACTACTTATATAACAAACAAAGCACATATTCTTTGTTTTTCTTTTTCGCTCATTAATTAATCGTTAACAAGCAATATGATTTTAATTTTGTTAGTTAAGCAAAGAGAGAAATATTCAAAGTGATGTGTGTGGATCTCCTGCAAAATTTATGAAAAGAAAAGAATTGCCGCCGTTTAGAAAAGCTGTACGCACAGATTAAATCAAATCTCCGACTTGATAGCACTAAACAACAAAAGTAATTATAAGTAATTAGTTTATTAGGAAAAAAATAGCTAATACATTGGCCAACCTTAAGAACTTCGTAATCAAGACCTTTTTGTCTAAACATTCTTGAAATGTAACTTTTATTCTAGAAAATAGTCTGGTCCCACCGGAAATTTCCAAGCTTTAAAATGGTTCGCATACATAAAATTTGGGTTTTATTTGTTACTTTTAAAGTCAAAAAGAGGGGGCAACCCCATGATCATGTAGACTCACATATCTAAACCCGACAAGAAGTTGGAAGTTAGAAATCTGTTGGAATGCATGATGAACAATGAAAGATTCAGAAACAACAACAGGAAAGTTCAAAAGTACTTTATAAGCACATAGCCCTTGCCTCCTCATGACAGTGCATGCGTATAGCTCCTACTTTAGTTACTTAAATCTGAAGAAACTCCCCCCCCAATCTATCTTTACATCTTTTTTCCAATTCCAAATCCATTGCAAAAAAAGGGTCATTAGCGCCACGCTTAAATGCTTTTGATGATTTTGCAGCCTAATGATAAGCACATTTTTTCCACTTTATTAGGAGTAAAACTAGGAGATTAAGGAGTACTTCTTTTGAACCTCCGACATTCAGTTAAATTTTGTCTTAACCACATGCGTCAAAGTTGCTGAGGCCAAATTATTATTAATGCACTTTATAATTTTCTTTGGGAACACACAACTATTGATGACCCAGGCCAAGCGACTCCTGGGAGAACCTAAATATTCAACGGATTTCGTGGAACTAAAGCTGCCCTTGAGCTCCACAAGATGCTTACTATGTCCATCCACATATCATTGTCTACGTTGACCTATAAGCGTTTCCATTCCATCCCACCGTTCACGTTAAGTCGGTCTTACTTTTGATTTTTAAGGCTACGTTCAAACTCCCCACCATTCTCAATCTTTTTGCCTAGTTCTCATTTTCCAAAGTCATGCTGTCTAATAAAGAAGCATCCCCACTGACATTAGACCAAGGCGCTTTTTTCTTCACGTATATTATTATTATTATTATTATTCTCTCCATCCTATTTTATAAGTAATAACTACCATTCTTGGTCCAAAAAAAAGTAATAACTACCATTAAATATAAGTAAAATTTACAAGTTGCCTCAAATTTTTATAACAAATTTCCTATTTTGCCCTCATTAATTACTTATTTTAATACTTAATATATTTATTATTTCATTTCTCAAACCATCATCTCTCTATCACACATTCTCTCTCTTCCATAATTCTTTTTATTATAATAATTTTCTATTCTCTCTCTTATACTCTTTTCCCCCATAAATAAGGGTATTTTAGTAAAAGAACTTCTAATTTCTACATATTTATTTTTTTAACTAATTTAAACTAACATTTTGATTTACGTGATGAACTCTAACGTTACTTATAAAACGAGACAGAAGGAGTACTTTTTTGGCACACATTATACTGTTACTGCTTACTTTTCCGATCATGCTCACTAATCAGTGGTACGTAGATTATACCCTCTTTTTTGTAGCTCCTCAATCAGCGCAGTACTTAAAGTTTTATGTTGTCCCATGCGTCTCTTGAAATTAAAATGGCAAGCCCTTGTGAGTTTGTCGGAACTTTCGGCCTAATTTATGTGTTA